GGTCCAATAAATAATATTGAATAAAAGACTTAACATGTTCAGAATAGATATCCGACCAATACAGGCGATATCGAAATGGATGCTGAACCTTTTGCTTCTTCTTGAAATACGTTAAAAAAAAAGGTAAATTTTAAAAATTATAAATATTATTTCTCATCAAATCGGTTCTCGATCGGCGATGTATCACGTGGTGTAACCACAAAAAAATTCAGACTAATTGAAAATCTCCTTTTGGCAATCGCAAATAAATGGCATTATACATATACAGAGGTAGTAATAGAAATATTTATTGATTTGGCCGCCAGCCACCGGCCGCGCTCGTTAAATATTGTACGACAAACATTTATCAAGTGTAGCTGACTAGCTGTGCGCCACCGATGTTTGCTGGATGATTTCACTATTCGATAACAGGCCCTCTAGACAAGTGGTAAGCGAATTCGTCGATGGAATCGACATCGCTAGTGAATCCCTGAGTTGAAATGAGTCACCCGGCGTTGCTATCTCATTCTATCTCACGGACTCGCTAGCGATGTCGATTCCATCAACCAATTCGCTCGCCACTTGTCTAGAGGCCCAGAGCCTCTAGACCAGAGTATTTCGATGGTAATTATTTGTCCGAAAGTAGAAGTCAGTAACGGCGACTAGCTAATAATATCTAAGGGTAGTCAATACGAGTATATAGCAATATAGAAATAACACCTGAGTCCTGAGGAATGGCAACGCATGGGGGTATCATGGGAGAAGTCTACAGTGTTGTTTAGTCCATAGTACTGTTCATGTCTACAGGCGACGGTTAACACTTTTCCACCACTTTTCCGTCAGCATGTTTATCATTCTAAGTTGCATAAACATATTGTATACTGTACTATTGCATTATCATCCATTTTAAAAAATAATTACAAAAGTGATTAGTGACTTTATCACTCACTTCCACTTATTATCATTATCATCACCATCATCATTAAGTTCAACGTATACACATATTTTTTTTTGTAAAATCTTTTACTCAGTCATCCTAATGTGGTGTAAAGTTTAAATTTAAAAATAACTATCGTCTTAGTATTTTATTACACACATTATTTGTGTTTTTAGCCGACTGCGCATCTAAAAATATGAAAGCTAGCAAATCTCCAGAAAGTTGAGTGTGCCGCCAACCTTCTCGACGTAGGGTTGTCGCTCGTTCACTACCGTATGACATTATTTTATGATCCATGCTCTAATTCGAACATATCGCAATAAAATTTCTTTTTAATACAATTATAAAACATTTTGATATGATAGATTGATTTTTAACATTATTTCTATTTTACTAATATATTTTTCAACCGATCCTGTACGTGCTAAAATGAAATAATAAACAAAAAAATTAAATAACCGAATAAATGACAACAACATGCTTGTACTGTCAACACTGAAAAAAAGTTAAAATTGACAGCACAATCCCCATCTTAAAAAAAAAAAAACAATTTAACTGTAAATTTGACACAAAAATCCCTATTAACAAAATGATCCGCCATTTATTGAATTAATTTGTTACAAACAATGTGATAAATGAAGAACCGCTCGACCGATTTTGTGCAAACTTTTTCTACCAGTCAACACCATTTACTGTTTATAAATTTAACAATTTATAAAACAATGACACTAATAAACAACTCATTATATAATATGTGATGAATACTACCTATAAAGTTTTTTTTAATGGATGATAATGGTATGGTAACCCCGCCTGCGCTAACGGGATACGCTGACGGAGCACCAGTGAAGGGTGATAGGTGAGAATGAAAACAGGCCCGTTAGCCCATCATGATGAATTCATCACGAATTAACCATGATAGTTTCCAGGGAGAACCGCGAGGAGGTCGACCTGGTTGGGTATATTGCTAGCAATGGAATTCTCAGTCTCTATTACTAACAATCCTTTTCCCCCCACCTATAAAGGTTTGCGTGCTATTAAATATAGCGAAACATACTGAACATTGGCAACTACTGGCAAACCCCCTAAGGGGGAGGCTTATGTTCAGCAGTGGACTATTAAAGGAATATTAAAAAACAAACTGTAACGTCGGGGGGGGGGGGGTGGTTAGTAATGCGGACTACCAGTTCCATTGCTAACGGTATACCCTGTCGGATCTATCTCCACGTGGTCCCTCCTGGAAACTATCGTGCTAAATTCCAGATATATTTAGCACGACGGGCTAACTGACCTGCCTTTTCATTCTCACCTATCATCTCTCACCGGTGCCCCGCCAGCGTATACCGTTAGCGCAGGCGGAGTTACCATTGCATTATCATCCATTAAAAAAAAAAAAACTGTAACATCATACATTATATATCGTAACAATGTTTTTGGCAAATAAATTATTATTTTTTTTTTTTACAAAAAATCACACTTCCCCTCGTAAGGAGAGGAGATGGCAAACTAACCCCCGGCAGAAGCACAATGGGCCGGAGTTCTGGGTCCCAGGTAGAGAAACCGGTGTACAATGCGGGCAGTTTCTAAGAGCACCGCTTTCTGCATCTTTTCCGGGAGTGAGCCGCCTCGGAATCCCAACCGTCTGAGATGTTGTTCCAGACTAGTTGGGATAAGACCGTTCATCAACAAAACGATCGGAATAATTTCGGTGGACGCCACCCCATGACGTGACATTTCGGTCACCTCGTGAGCCAAGTCGAGATATTTTCTGGTTTTCTCGGTTTCGGCTTTCACGAGGTTCTCGTCATGCGGTATGGTGACATCCACCAAAAACACCCTCGAGAGTGACCGATCCATCACCACGATATCAGGTTTGTTCGCAAGAACTGTCCTGTCCGTTATGATGGATCGGTTCCAGTAGAGCCTGACGCTGCCGCTTTCGAGGACCGGCAGGAGCTCTTAATTATTTACTTATTCATTAATTATTATTTAATTTGATTAACGACAATTTGCGCCACCCCTAGCCGCGACCTACATAAAGCCAGCGTTGATTATACCGCGGCGCGCGCGACTCTGCCAAAATATAACCGCTAATTGTTCGCGATATAATTGCTAATCACCGGCCACTTTCACGTCATTGTTGCACGTGAAAGTGGCAGGACTTTGTGATTTGTTGCGCCTCCACGTTTGATTGTCAATTTTTAACCGACTTTAAAAAAAAAACTTTATTTTTTTATGTTTTTTACCTCATAACTCGTCATTTCTAAACCGACTTGCAAAGTTCTGCTACGATATAGTTTCAGATTAGTCCCATAATTTTTTTTATCAAAATGGGTTCTGTAGGTAATTTTTTAAATTGAAATAACTTGTTTTGCCACTGTTGAAGTTGGTTTTTTTACGTACATATCTGTCATTTCTGTTATAGTAGGCAGAAACAATAGAACGCCAAATGCTTCGATTCAAAGAGGCTTCCTTCATTTTCTCCACATTCAATCTATCATTTCATACACGCTCGCCAGTGTTTTTAATATAGCCCTTTTGGTTTTTTACTTTTTTCTGGGAAATATATATTTTAAGAGACTATTGACTAATCCGTCTTTAAAAAAAAAGTTCATGCTCACTTATTTACTTTATCCGATCAGTAAGTACTTTATATTATTCTCAATTTCATGTATAATATAGTATATTTTACATATGTGTAAGTATATTTGTTATTAATATATATTTATTCGTTTATATATGTAATTTTAGTATGTATGTATATCAATAATTACTAGTACCGCATTCGAGTGTTCTGACACTTCCCTATGGTTGACTGGGAGAGAATGCTTTCAGCATTAAGTTCGCCATGTACACATACATGTACTAATGAATAAATAAATAAATATTTATGTACTGTTAAGTTTTCCTCATATGATGTGTTAGACGTAAATTGATATATCAACATACCGATATATAAAAGCAATTTATAATAACATGATTAATCTACATCTACACTAATATTATAAAGAGGAAAGATTTGTATTTTTATCTGTATGTATGTTTGTAATGTAAAAAAACTCAAAAACTAGTGTGCCGATTTCAAAAATTCTTTCACCATTAAAAAGCTACATTCACCTTGAGTAACGTAGGCTATATTTATTGCTAGAAAAGATTAGGGATCCTTACTAAAACTTTAGTAACGTAACTCGAGGTGTAAAAAAATGCTATAAAAGTATCTTTGGTCGCGTGCGCTGCGGAAACTATTGGTGATAGAACAAAAGTATGTTCTACAATATTGGAGAAAATATCAATGACTACAAAAAACTTCGCGACACTATATGTCCAACTATTATCGTTATGTCACAGTAATCACTTTTTAAAATGTTGTAAAAGCCGCGAAGCCGGGACGCGCCGCTAGTGACTAATAAAATTGTCAGTAATGTCATCGTGATAAAGGCATTTGGACATCATTGCACCTGATGATAGTACTTTATCTACTCATTCTATGATTGTAATCACTGTTTGTATTTAAATTGATTGCAATTTAATTTAATTAATTCAATTTAATTCATCATCATGTAATACCAACTATCCACTGCTGAGATCCCCTTTAAGGGAAGGTTTTGCCAGTATTTGTGACACTTGGCAGACCCCCTTATGTACGCCGATTTATATAACTAATATTTCAAATATTCTCATGCATGCACACGCTTGTTACGAAGCCTCGACTCAACCCTTAAAGAGAGAGGGGAAAGGGATTGTTAGTAATGGAGACTGAGAATCCCATTGCTAGCAATATACCTAACCAGGTCGACCTCCTCGCGGTCCCCCCTGGAAACTATCATGTTTAATTCCTGATGAATTCATCATGATGTGCTAACTGGCCTGTTTTCATTCTCATCTATCACCCTTCACTGGTGCTCCGCCAGCGTATCCCGTTAGCGCAGGCGGGGTTACCATACCATTTTCTCCTATAAAAAAAAAACTCACTATCACGTTTATTATATTAGTAAGGATATTATTTCGCGAAATAAGAGTAAAGTATAATTTTCATTGTTTTTTGTTTTGTTTATTTAATTTTTTAATTGACTGATTGTTTCAGGTTGGGCGTATACCAGCTGACCATCCGTTAGTGGGTGGGCACAAAGGCCCAGTGTTGGACATAGCGTGGTGTCCGCACAACGACAATGTCATCGCCAGCGGCTCCGAGGATTGTGTTGTTAAGGTAACACGCGTTCCGACCATACATACAGATAGTTTATTTTTTTAATGGGTGATAATGGAACAGTAGCCCCGCTTGCGCTACAGATATCTTGGATTTTTAGACTACAGATATCTTTAACCGCGGGATATCGTTAGGGTAACACATAGGATCTATGAAATGATGGTATAAGCCAGGGGGAAACACAAAAGATCCCTATGGGTCGACGTGCACCGGCTTAGCTGACTCCATATGCGAAAATAAGATAAGTACCCCGCCAGCGCTAGTGCTGTACACTGGCGGGGCACCAGTGAGGGATGACAGGTGAGGATGAAAAGGCAGGTCAGCTAGCCCATCGTGACGAATTCCACTAGAATTAATCACGACGGTTTCCAGGGGGAACCGCGTGGAGGTCGACCTGATAGGGTATATTGCTAGCAATGAGTCAATAATATAAAAATACTTTACCGTCTGGAAAATATTTTTACTTATTTCTGTTATTAACTAAGCTGAGATGAGAGATGGACAGCAGCGTCCCTCTTAAAACATTACCAAAGTCTATCTGTGGTTGCCAATCTGCCTACCAAGTATGGTAACTACTGGCAACACCTCCCTCCCCCCCTCTCTTCTCTCCCTTCTCCTGGTCATACTAAATTTTTGGATCCTGGTTTTGAAATCAATCTTCTTTCATAGGTGTGGCAAATCCCAGACGGCGGTCTCTCCCGCACCCTCACGGACCCTGTGGTGGACCTCGTGTACCACCAGCGGCGAGTGGGGCTGGTGCTGTGGCACCCCACCGCGCAGAACGTGCTGCTCACCGCCGGCTCTGATAACCAGGTCTGTTGCGAAAACTTCTGCGAAGGTGGCGCCACCGTGTTATAATGTAAACAGTAGTCAATTGGTTTTTGGAAGGCAATTGACGGAGTGCCTGAAAAAAATTGTATAATTTCAAAAAAGTAAAGTTTTTAGTAGTGTCCGATCGAACTTTCGGTTTCGGTTTCGGCTACTTTCGGCCTCAGTTTTGGTTTCGGCCGCGCCGAAACTTTGTGTTTGTGTTGTGCGTGTGTCCAATTAAAAGTTGTTTTTCTTTTGTTTACTTCCAAGAGTAAGTCATAATTTTAAAATGTTTTTACATATAAATATATATGACATATTAATTACATACATTAATTAGTGTTTATTATTACCCTTTAACTATCTGTGTGTTTGTGTAAATAAATGTGTAAAAAATACACTAGATTTCAGTATAGAAGAGAAATTTTTAATATATTTCAGTAAGTTTCGGTTTCGGCCGAAACTGAGGCCAAGGCCGAAAGTTTGGTTTCGGTTTCGGCTGTAAAACCTGTTTCGGTAGGACACTAGTTTTTAGATAAATAGATACTTTTTAATGTTTTACGTGGGTAGGGGAATTTCCCATCTCTATGCGGGAGGCCTATGTGCAGCAATGGACAGATAAAGGCTGAGATGATGATAATCATGATGTAAGAGGGAATATTTTCAAGGTTAGGTTTTTTTCAAGAACGTGGGGTTCTCCAAAAAGAGGATAAAAAAGTTTCTTCAAAGTTGGCAACGCGCGCGTAATACCTCTTATATTGTAGGTGTTGATAGGCTACGGTAACTGTTTATCATTAGGTGGGTCGTATGCTTGTTTTATACCTTAGTGGTATAAAAAAAAAGTTAACACTACAAACTTTTTTTTTTATACAACTTAGAATGGCAAACAAGCTGACGGCCCACCTGATGGAAAGTGGTAACCGTCGCCTATAGACATGAGCAGTACCATTGACATAACAGAGTATACTGTTTCGCCCATGATACCCCCCCCCCCCCCATGCGTTGCCATTCCTGAGGACTCAGATGGTATTCCTCTGTACCCAGTAAATTCACGCCATATCCCACCCTTCAAACCGAAACACAGCCATGCAAACACAACTGCTTCACGGTAGAAACACGAATGGGACAGAGGTATCCAAGCAATCGACTTTTGTACAAAGTCTCCCTCTGGTTATGCAACATATATGTGTGTTACATTATACCTTAGCCAATTTTATAATCAACAATTTGAAATTGCAATATATAAATCTACGCATTGTTGGCTTCCATCCCAATGATACTAGCTTGTTTACTCGCGCAGTAAGTAACATGATGTACGGCCGAACGGATTTGAAAGAATCTTAGTACAAAGATAAACCACGTCCTAGATTAATACATTATACATCGGTGTTATGGTGGCGGTCATCCACCGTGCGTTTTTCAAGGCACTCTCTTCCACGCACAACCACTCTTTGGAACTCGACTTCCAGCAGCAGTATTTCCGAACCGATACGACAACATAACCTTCAAGAAAAGAGCATATTCCTTTTTAAAAGGCCGGCAACACACCTGCAATGCCGTTGGTGTTGTGGGTGATCATGGGCAGCGGTAGTCACTTACAATTAGGTGAGCCGCATCCTGTGTTGTAAAAGAAAATACATAGAATACGGCATACAGTTGCCACATCGAGAACAATATGGTTAATCTACACTTATAACAAATCTGTAGAGAGGACAATTCTGTACATGAAATATATTACCAAAATAACTATCAGGGGGTGATTAGTCATCGGTACTGATGCCAAAAATGCAATTAGTAAAATTTTTGTCTGTCTGACTGTATGTTCGTTATAGAAACAAAAACTACTCGACGGATTTTAACGAAACTTGGTACAATTATTCTTCATACTTCCGGGCAGGTTACAGTATATATATATATATATATATATATATATATATATATATATATATATATATATATATATATATATATATAGTTCATCACGCTATGATCAATAGGAGTAGAGCAGTGAGGGGAAATGTTGGGAAAACGGGTGAAGTTACTCCATTTTTAAGCTGCCGTCGCGTGTGCAGCCTTAATGGCCACTTTTTAAAATGTAAAAATGTCCACCCGTGCGACGCCGGGACGGGACGCTAGTTTAAAATATAAATTAATGAGCAATAGTCATAAGATCAGGCAATTTCAAACATTGATCATTTTCATATCACTTACCATCAGGTGAGCCGCATGCTCGTTTGCCCCCTGTGTTCTAAAAAAAAAATATCAACCGTTAGTCGTCCACTGCTGAACATAGCCCTCCCTCTATTGGGGAGTTTAACCTAATGGGTGGAATGTCCTGGGATGGGCAGAAGCGTCCCTCTTTAAACATCACCAAAGCCTAACTGCGGTTGCCAACAGGCCTGCCAAGCGTAGTAATCCACTTTCACATTTATAATATTAATAATAAGGATACTATTAGGAAATAAAACAAGAATTAAATTCGATTTATTCAATATCTATTCTTGCCACCAGATAGCGATATGGAACGTGGGCACTGGCGAGGTGCTGATCACGCTGGACTGCCACCCGGACCTCATCTACTCGGCCTGCTGGAACTGGACCGGCTCAAAGCTCCTCACCACCTGCAGGGACAAGAAAATTAGGTAACCACCGCTTTTAATATCCACCGTAGCACCGTACTCTTTTACGAGTGTAGGGAAGACATTGAAGAGGCTAAAAAGGAAGGAAGGGAGTTTTGTAAATGTGTAGGAGAGTCGCTCAAAAAGAAATGTAAACAAAAAAAAAAAATACAAACCGAATGTTCTTTTTAAAGTAAATTGAGAGAAGGAATAACCATGTGGGACTGATAAAGGAAACACTAGGTGTCATGTCGTATAGGGAGGTCAAGGATATAGCCGGAAATATATTTACCAGAGGGAGACTGTACAGAAGTCATTTGCTTGAGCACCTCTGTCCCATTCGTGTTTCTACCGTGAAGCAGTTGTGTTTGCATGGCTGTGTTTCGGTTTGAAGGGTGGGATATGGCGTGAATTTACAGGGTACAGAGGAATAACATCTGAGTCCTCAGGAATGGAAACGCATGGGGGGTATCATGGGCGAAACAGTATACTCTGTTATGTCCATGGTACTGCTCATGTCTATAGGCGACGGTTACCACTTTCAATCAGGTGGACCGTCAGCTTGTTTGCCATTAGTTGCACCGACAAGAGGAAACTCTTAAATGAAAAGAGAAAGGGCAGGTTTTCAATTCGGCTGTATTATTATTATTTTTTGTTTGTTACATCATAACTGTACTAGTTATAAACCAATTTAGATTTTTTTTTATTAAAAAGGTATACTTTTAGATGGATCGCATAGAAATTTTATCAAAATAGATTAAATATTTTCATTTTCAAATTAAAACACGTGGTTTTGCCACAATTAATGTAGTTTTTTATGGAACAGGTGGGCCGTCACCTTGTTTGTCATTCTAAGTTGTAAAAAAAAAATAAAAAAAAAACAAACTTTTTTTTAATATACCATTATATTATTTTAAGCAATACTGCCAAAAACAGTGGGAAGTATTTAATACATTTAAAAATCTTCTTCCTTTCAGAATAATTGATCCACGCAAGGGTGAAGTAGAGTCGGAGGCTATTGCCCACGAGGGCAGCAAGGCATCCAGGGCGATTTTCCTCAAACATGGCCTCGTCTTCACCACTGGGTAAGAACATGACACTTAGTCAAAGAATTAATTCCATGCAGTAAATAAACACATCAAAATTTTTAAATTTTAGCAAAGTTAATATACTCAGTAGTGTCGTAAGAGGCGACTAAGGGAACTTATAGTCGAGGAATGGGCAGCAGCGTCCCTATTAAAACATCGCCATATGCCTAACTGCGTTGCCAACCCGCTTACCAAGCGTGGCAACTACTTGCTGTAAGACTGCTGATGGGGAAGGCCCATGTTCAACAGTGGACTGTAATGACTGTTGTGATGATGATATGATGAATATATTTAATAAAATGTGGCCAAAGTCTTCAACAATTCATAAATTTTTATCAATGCCTTTGTTCGGGTGTTAGGGATTTTTTTTTAATTCGTACGTATACATATTTATTTTATCATCATTGTCTTAGCCATTATCCGTCCACTGTTGGACATAGGTCTCCCCATAGACTTCCATAAAGAACGGTCCTAAGCCACTTCCATCTCTATCTATTAACTCCCTGCAATGCTTTTGAGGTCGTTACTCCATCTAGTGGGGCGACCCCCACTCCTTTGTCCGTACGGAGTTGCCATTCAAGAACTGTTCCTTTTATATTTGTTTTATGTAAATTATTAATTTTATAAAGTTTCGATTTTTGTTTGTAATATATTAAGTCAATAAATACTTAACCGATTTTAAAAATTCTTTCACATATAGCAAGTTTTATTATTAGTAAGTAACTTGGAGCTCAGGCGAAGTCCAGGTGAGTCACTAGTGTTTTATAATATAAATTCCAAACATACTTACTGGCGTGTGTGTGTGCGGTGCTGCTCTGTAGGTTCAGCCGCATGTCGGAGCGCCAGTACACCCTGCGGACACCGGACGCGCTCAACGAGCCCATCGTGACAGTCGAGATCGACACCAGCAACGGCGTCATGTTCCCGCTCTACGACCCGGACACCAATCTCATCTACCTCTGCGGCAAGGGCGACTCCGTCATCAGATACTTTGAGGTGAGCCACCACTCTCTTATTAGACATTACTTACTAGGTTGAGCACGATTGTGTCATCAGATATTTTGTAGTGAAGCACTACTCCGTTGTCAGATATTTTGTAGTGAGGCACTACTCCGTTGTCAGATATTTTGTAGTGAGGCACTACTCCGTTGTCAGATATTTTGTAGTGAGGCACTACTCCGTTGTCAGATATTTTGTAGTGAGGCACTACTCCGTTGTCAGATATTTTGTAGTGAGGCACTACTCCGTTGTCAGATATTTTAGAGTGAGGCACTACTCCGTTGTCAGATATTTTAGAGTGAGGCACTACTCCGTTGTCAGATATTTTAGAGTGAGGTATGCGACCATTTAAGTGTGAGTGTGAATTCTGATGATAGTCATCATCATCGCGAGAATTGTACAAGTAATTGTTTTGAAAATTATTATTATAGATAAATACTATTTTTTGTTTCCTCCAAAAGATTACAATAGTAAACTTATTATAAATATAAATAATTACAAGAAATAATCACAATGAGAAAACAATGGGCGATCTTAGCGCTAAGAACGATCTCTTGCAGGCAACCTTTGGACGGAGACATTCAACCTTGTATTTGATATATTTACAGGTGACCCCAGAGCCACCGTTTGTCCATTACATCAACACGTTCCAAACACCAGACCCACAGAGAGGTAAGTCCTGACTGACAACGACGGTCTTTTGTGCATTTCATGAATTATTTCCATCCTTGTAATACTATAAGAGCTGATAAGAGAAACAAAACACAATATGTACTCTTGACCATGTGGAGGTCGACCTGACAGGGTATATTGCTAGCAATGGGATTTGCAGTCCGCATTACTAACAATCCCTTCCCTCAATATGCTGTGATGTTTATGAAACTGTTTATGTCTGTAAGAGACAGTTGCGACTTTGCATTAATTTGTTTTTTGGCGCAGGTATCGGCATGATGCCGAAGCGCGGCTGCGACGTGGCCACCTGCGAGATCGCCAAGTTCTACCGGCTCAACAATTCGGGCCTGTGTCAGGTAGCCACGTGTTATACATATATTGTACAGGGTGTCCCGTAAGTATCGGACCAACAGGTCATGGGGTGTAGTGAGACAACAATATGCAAACTTTACGTTTACAAGTTTTTAAACGATTTAATTTAATTTTGAACAAAGCTGGTGTAAAAAAACCTTTTGAAACTATATATATATATATATATATATATATATATATATATATATATATATATATACATGAATATATGTGAATCAGTGAAGAATGATGGGTGAGGATGAAAACAGATAATTTGGCTCATCGTGATATATTCGCCAGCAATTAACTACTATAGTTGCCAGAAGGGATCGTGTGAAGATCGACTTAATAAAGTAAAATATATTGCTAGCAATGGGTTCGTTAATCTCTATTGCTAACAATTCCATCCCCTCCTAATCGTCTCTCTGTGTGCAGGTGGTGTCGATGACAGTGCCACGGAAGTCGGAGCTGTTCCAAGAGGACCTGTACCCTGACACGCTGAGCGACGAGGCGAGCCTCACGGCTGACGAGTGGATCGGCGGCGAGGACGCGGAGCCGTGCACCATGTCGCTCAAGGTACCCCTCGGTCACTCGACACAGATGAAACTTAAACCGTTGCACTCGAGACCTGATGTACCTAGATGGGGCCATAAACAAATGTACACGGCGAAATCGTTAGCAAACATTTAAGCGTAACCGTGACATCTGCCTTCAGAAGTGTGGCAACGTCGCACTCACCTGTCAGTTTTCAAAAACAATTGCATAACATTTTTTAATGTTTTTGATTGGTTATTTAAAAAGCGCTCTATTAGTGAAGGAAAACGTTAATCTTTAAATATAAATCTTACTATTGAAATGTTTGCAATCATTTTGGTTTATCTGACTACCCCGCGAGGGACAGCTTGAAGATGTGTTTAAATGTTCTCTCACTTATCTTGGTTCGATTCGGTTGTTTTTTTTTATTATTACTTCATAACTTTGTCAATTATAAACCGATTTGTAAAAAAAATTTTTCCCATCCCTCATTACAACACCCACGGGAAAGGAAGGGGTGGCCTATTCTATGCCGGGACCATACGGGAAATTATACCATAAACTAATATAATTACGGTTTATGTGTAAAAAAATCGCCAAAATGACAAGGTACAAAAGTTTTCAATGTTGAGGAAGTGAACGAGATTTGTTCGAAGCGAATATCAGTTCAGTGTTCTATCGTGTCTGCCTACCCCAAACTTGTAAATAGGCATGAAGATATGTGTGTGTGTGTCTGTGTACTGTTTATTATAACGTTGTTTTACATTATTGTATAAATTCTAACTACATTTCGTCAAATACAACATTTATACCTTTTTGTAGTGTGTATTTTATTGTAACTAATCAATAATTTACATAATTTTAAACATATTAATTTAGATTTGCTTTTGATTTACTAATAATCGTTTAATGATAAAATAACGTCATTAGGACCTTAACTAGACCCATGTTTAAGGTACAAAAGAACTTTTTGGTAGGCTAGAAAATATAATTAAGTGATTTCTCAAAAATAAATCTGTCTAATTTGCTTGGAGCCTTACATTTTAAGGTTTTGTTTATACCGCTGAGGTGGCAAACAAGCATACGGCCCACCTGATGGTAAGTGGTTACCGTAGTCCAGGTACCGTAGGTAGTGCATTGACTCTCGAAGTCGATCTGACAGGGTATATTGCTAGCAATGGGACTGGTAGTCCGCATTACTAATATTCCCCTTCCCCCATCCGAATGTCAGTTTTTTTTTTATACGACTTAGAGTGTCAAACAAGCTGACGGCCCATCTGATGGAAAGTGGTAACTGTCGACTATACACATGAACAGTACCATGGACATAACAGAGTATACTGTTTCGCCCATGATACCCTCCATGCGTTGCCATTCCTGAGGACTCAGGTGTTATTCCTCTGTACTCAGTAAATTCACGCCATATCCCACCCTTCAAACCGAAACACAGCCATGAAAACAGCTGCTTCACGGTAGAAACATGAATGGGACAGAGGTGCCCAAGCAATCGACTTTTGTACAAAGTTTCCCTCAGTTTGTTTCCTGGACCTAATTTAGTAACTTCTTTATATCCGCTACCAGGAATTGAATTGGAACTAGATATGCAGAAATCCATTTGGAATGTTTAAAAGAGATGGCTATATTCTGCCACAACTAGGCCTGATAGGGGGGGAAAGGGATTGTTAGTAATGGAGACTGAGAATCCCATTGCTAGCAATATACCCAACCAGGTCGACCTCCACGCGGTTCCCCCTGGAAACTATCATGGTAAATTCCCGATGAATTCATCATGATGTGCTAACTGGCCTGTTTTCATTCTCATCTATCACAATTCACTGGTGCTCCGCCAGCGTATACCGTTAGCGCGGGCGGGGTTACCATACCATTTTCACCCATCAAAAAAAAATAGGTCTGATATTTTTTAATTAAAAAAAAAAAGTGCAAAACATAGCATCTGTACGTTGTTTGCATTGATAATTCTGTTGGCTTCGTTTGATTTAATATTGTTTGTGTTGGAGTGTGTTGTGTTAACATAATTGTAATGTGTTTTTAAATGAATGATGTTATTTACTAACCGTTGCAAACTTTGAGTTTTTTTTTTAATTTTCTTTTTTTTTTTAATATAATTTTAATGATTGTTGTGTTTATATATATATATATATATATATATATATATATATATATATATATATATATATATATATATTATAAATTATTTTTGCTATTTTTTATATTTACATTCCCCATTTTATATATAATAGATAAAATAATAGAATGATTTATATTATCTTGTGAGTAAACAGTTTTTATCATTTCTAATCTTTCATTCACATATATTTTTTTTTATTACTTAAAATTTTAACTGAAGTATTCTAATTAGAAATAGATTGTAGATAAAACCATTAAATTTTCCCATTTTTTAAATTTTTTCAAAGAGCATTTTGATTATTCAATATTTTTATTTTACTTTATCTGTATTGACTTTAAATAAAAGATTAGAGATAAATAAATAAATGGTAATAAATAGTTTTTTTTTTCATCTTTTTTATTCAAAGGCTTTTATCCTATAAGGATATGTCAGCCCCATCAAAAATAGATTTGAATAATTCATAATTTTGTTAAAGTATCTAATTTATTAAAATATTCGCAATTTTTTTTTTTTTTTACCAAATTATTTCCGCGCTGATCTAAAAAGTACAGTTAATTTTGACATAATTTATTTGAAAATTTAATATTTAGAAAAAAATAACTAAAAATAACTACACACTGTCACCTCGCGGTGGTAGTCGGTGTAAGCCAACGGGAGTATCAAAAGACAGATGCTATAGGCTAGGGGCTCCCTAACCAAACTACAGGAGCGCGCGCTGGTTGTGCAGGGCGGGTACGTGTCGGGCCGCGCCGCGCAGCAGCTGCACGTCACCAAGAAGGCCAACGCACTCGCCGGCGCCAAGGAGAAGGACAAGGACCGCTCGCCCACGCCCGCCGCCGCCGCCGCCGCCGCCCCGCCGCCCAGCGCAGGGACGACGCCGACCCCACGCCGCCGCCCGCCGCCGCCATCTCCCCCGCTGTGGTTAGCTCACCGACTATTATAGACAGACACCCTGCAGACAGGACATCAGTAATTTTTGTTATTTAACACGTTGAGCCCGGCGCTGAATTTGCTGTCCTTTCCGTTCAGCCGGCAGCCGGCAGCCGGCGAGAGATACAATGTTGTATGCTATCGCCAAGAGATTGCTTTAGTACTAATGAGATAAGGAATTCTTTGTCGCGCTATTTTGGACGTTTTTTTAGGTGTATGTGTAATGTATGTGTGATTCTATTCCATATTTTCGTATGATGTATAATAAAACCACGTACGTACCTTCGAGAGGTGATCAGTTACAAAAGACCTATCGAAGTGTACAGATTGTTCGTAAAAAGAAAATTGAATTTAGTTTTGGAAATAGTTATTGCCCATAACATTGAATATGTCCGACGCTGGTCACATGGAAAATTCTAGTGCCGGTCCCCAGGGATCGACGCTGGTCACACGGTAAGTTCGCTGCCGGTTCCCAGGGACCGGCGCCGGGCCCAACGTGTTAATGGATGATAATGGAATGGTAACCCCACCTGCGCTAACGGTATACGCTGGCGGGACACCAATGAGGGATGATAGGTGAGGATGAAAAGGCAGGTCAGTTAGTCCATCGTGATGAATACACTTGGAATTCAGCACGATGGTTTCCAGGTGGGATCGCGGAGAGGTCGACCTGGTTGGGTATATTGCTAGCAATGAAATTAGTAGTCTGCATTACTAAAATCTCCTCCCCCTCCCCTCCCCCAGTGGCCATTAGGTAAGGTTGGAAGCAGGCCAGTTAGCCCATCGTGACGAAATTTCACAAGAATTAATCAAGATGGTTTCCAGTGGGAACCGCGTGGAAGTTTATCTGATAGGACATACTGCCAACAATGGTGATCTAATAGATCACCATTAGTAACAATCCCTTTCCCCCTTTTTAACCCCCCCCCCCTCCCCACCGTATACCGGTAGTGGATGATAAGTGAGGATAAATACTTTTTTAAAAGGTGAAAATGAGATGGTAACCCCGCCTGCGCTAACGGTATACGCTGGCGAGGCACCAGTTAGAGATGATAGGTGAGGATGAAGGAAGACAGTTGAGCCCTCGTGACAATTTTAGCAATTGTTAACTATGATTGTTTCCAGGTGGAACCGTGTGGAGGTTTAAAAGGATTTGATTTAAAAGACACATTTGCAATAAAAAATCCTCTCGTTTTCAGGAGAAGCAACTGTCGGACCTGGTAGACGAGATCCGCAAACTAAAATCCGTGATAGTCAAACAAGAGAATCGAATCCGTGCCCTAGAGGCTGCAGTCAAGGGAGTACTGTCCCCGCCAGCTTCGTCCCCTCAGCCGGTAGCTCCGGAACCACCCAATCATGATTCACCCGACGCTATGGCTCCGGACGAGGTCTGAACATGTTTATATATATATATATTTTTTTTTTGTATTTTTAATCGACTAATAGTTGAGACAGGCGGGTTCCCTATTGGATGTTTGTAGTTTATGTCTTTGCTTATTTTTTTTTTTAATCACACGTGTCCGTCGACTTATGAATGTTCTAGAGATAAGCTTCAAGCGACGGCGAGTGTTCTATATGTCATGTGAATCATCTTTCGAGTATATTTTGTTATTATTAATGACTGTTTACAACGAACAATGATTGCTCTAAGCGTCTTATTGTTGTGCTGTTGACACGTGTCTTTTTAATGTACAGTAATAAAAAAATAAAAAAATGTATTTATGTTGTTCAGAAAAAATATGGCTGTATGGTATTAATACCTTTGTCTTAGTAGGATAAATAAAAATCTGATAGTTTATCGTAAATAAAGAAAATCGTGCAATAAATTTACTAAGCTCATTTTCACAATAAAGTGCTCATTAAAAAAAAAAAAACTGTTAACTGTAATAAAATCATCTATTTCGATTAAAAATACAAACAGGTTGATATTTTTTCTGCAACTGGCAATTATGAGTTATTGCAACGTACAATCTAATATCATCTCTGTTGTAAATAAAACAAAGTCTATTCTCCCAAGTGTGTATTAGCCGATGACGTATTAAAAAGATCTCTAAAGCAGTTGGAGAATGAATATCAACGCAATGACAATGAAATATCAAATACATTTAATAAATTATAATACACTTGTAATGTTATCAAAATAATAGTCCGCCATGTTGGCATGTCTTAGCTGTCAAAGAAATTTTATAAATAAAAAAAAATGTATTTCTGAATGTGAATGATATAGCAAAAAGAATTTTAGGATATATATTCAATAAATAATTTTACATGTAAATCAACAATTAATACGTACTGTGAATTATTTTCAAGTGCATTTTTTTTTTTACAAAAAGGCAAATAATAAAATTATACACAACACGATAAAAAAAAAAACACGACAATATTCTAGATGCACTTATCCATAGCTAAGTTTGCAGATATTTTTTTTTTTAAAGCAAACTTTATTTTTCAATTGTCAGACATTTTTTTATTTTGATAGCATTGTGTTACAAAATGTTTATAGAAATATTTGGCTTGTTTGTTGATCCTTTACAAAGTCTGGCATCGTCTGCATTATCTGACCGTCGTCTTAACAATGTAATTAAACAATTTCCAATATTGACTGTTTATTTGAAGTGACTCCGTATAGCTTCAAAGTGATTTGCATACATTGAGCAGAGGTTTTGTACAAGAGTTGTCTCTCTCTGTCACACTGCACTGTGTCTAACGAGATGTGACAGTGAAATTATTTCTCTTTTAGTTATTTATTTTATTTATTATTTTCGAGGGTAGTTTAAAATAATAATTTAATAATTAATTTCTTTTTTATACAACTTTGAATGGCAAACAAGCTGACGGCCTTACCCTGATGGAAAAGGGGTAACCGTCGCCTATAGACATGAGCAATAGTAAGCTAATTAAAAGCTACCACATATAGTTAACGAAAATTGAATTAGTTACAGTCTAGATCAGTGTTTCCCAATTATTTTTGTGCCACGCCCCACATGAACATTTCTAAAATTTTTATGTCCCCATACATAATTTTTCCCGACAAAGTTTACTCGACGACTCTAATCGCCCAGTTGATACTTTGGTAACGTCAAATGAAATTATACCTAATAAATATTTACAGCTTTTTTTATTTACTTTTTTTTTTGTTAAATTTTGCACTGACATCTACTTGTAGCATTGCATTTAAATGGCTTGAAGCAAGAGGGTTAAAATCGCTTCGAGTCCGTTTTTTAATTGCCCCCCTTAACTATCAAATTGTCTCTCTGTGGGGCGTGGGCCCCACGTTGGGAAACACCGGTCTAGATAATTAATAAGTTTGCAAACAGAAGCTCGTTAAAATCTAAATGAATAATTTGCTATAGTTTTTCTTATATTCTTGCTAAGTCTTACTGACTTGTCATCAGGAATGGCATCGCAGAAATTTAAGGCAAAAAAAGTAATTGAAAAATATGTGAAATTGTTTAATTATTTTTTAATTTTGACAGGTAGAGTGCCAGTTTCTTTGTGTACACCCAATTTGATAAATGTTCTGATATTTCATTGTTTAAACACATTATGAATTGATATGTATATTTATTTATAATATATTGTTGTAAATACATTAGTTTTTAAAGTGATACGCAGAATATATTGTGCCTTATATACATACATACATACAGTAAATTATAATATATACAAAGTGTAAGTCTGTGTGTAACAAGACGAAATCTAGTGACCAGTTGGTATGGAATTTGTAAAGCATTGTCGAATGAACCCTTTCATACAAAATGTATTTTGTGACCATACAGTTTGTATGAAAGTTAGTATACAAATATAGGTAGTTAATCATTATTATTCTCCCCGAATGATGATAGTAGAATTAGTTTAAACGAACTTGTCAGTGATGTTTGATCATTGTATGTAACGCTTGCCAAGCGTGGCAACTACTGGCAAACCCCCAAGTAGGGCTTATTTTTAACAGTGGACAGTTAAAGGCTGATATGACAATATCTATATATAGTCAATATATAGAGAGAGGGAGACTTTGTACAAAAGTCGTTTATTTGGGTACCTCTGTCCCACTCGTGTTTCAACCGTGAAGCAGTTGTGTTTGCATGGCTATGTTTCGGTTTGAAGGGTGGGATATGGCGTGAATTTACTGGGTACAGAGGAATAACACCTGAGTCCTCAGGAATGGCAACGCGTGGGGGGTATCATGGGCGAAACAGTATACTCTGTTATGTCCATGGTACTGCTCATGTCTATAGGCGACGGTTACCACTTTCGATCAGGTGGGCCGTCAGCTTGTTTGCCATTCTAAGTTGTATAAAAAAAAACCTATTCCTCTGTCAGAGAGAATATTTTTGTCTATGCTCCTTTAGGTTTGGGTAGTTGACGAATACTGTACTAGATTTCGTTTATACCGTCTTTGTTACACGCTGTACTATACTAGTTATGAGTCACAACATTGATATTTGTAAAGGAATTTAATAAAACAATTGGTGATGTATATTTTGTGCATTTAGTGTTTACAAATTATTTGAAAATTAATCATTCATTCGGAGTTATTGTAAAACAGAGGGTTAGATATCGATTGGCTGTCCGTGTGTAGCATTTTATATATATATATATATTTTTTTTTAATGGATGATAATGGAATGGTAACCCCATACCTATCAACCAGTGATAGTTGATAGGTGAGGCTGAAAAGGCAGGTTAGTTAGCCCATCGTGATGAATACACTTGGAATTCAGCACGATGGTTTCCAGGGGGGACCACGGGGAGGTCGACCTGTTAGGGTATATTATTAGCAACGGAACTGATAATCCGCATAACTGACAATCCTTTCTCCCCCTACTAGAGGAACATATTGAAAAATACATATATACATAATGGGATTGTATATAAGAGGCTAGATCATCAATTACAGTCGCTTCAAAGCGCCTTTGCCAGTCAAAGGTTTGTTAGGTTTTGATTCACGTGTCGGTTGTGGGTGCATCAAAAAGTAGACAGAATTCACTTTGGACAAATGTGTATAAAACTTGAAAATGGCGCGTGATACAATCGAATATAAATTCAATAATATATTTTAAAAAATAAATGGTGTAACACTCGTCAAATTCATGCCCATGTCCTAATTGTTAGGACATCGATGTAATATGATATTTATTTAATAACATACAATGATGTTCTTCAAAAATGGCGTATTGAGATTTCTTAAAGGTTGGCAACGCACGCCTGACATCCTTGGTGTTACAGGCGTCCATAGGCTGTATATCATCACACGGGCCGTATGCTTGTTTGCCACCATAGTAGTATAAAAAAAAATAAGACATAATTATAAAAAAAAAAATGTCTCAAAATGGACCCGGATTTTAGATTTTTGCTAAGGAAAAAATAAGCTTATTACATTTTACACATGTCCATAGACAATTTTGTCCAGTGTACTCTTGTCATTATTTTTATAATTGTCAGATGGCAACACTAAAGCTCTATCTCCTTCTAACCCTTTGTTTTGCACTAGTTTTTTTTTTTTTAATTTTCTTATTCTCTACTAATTTTGTCATGTTATGTTGGCACCACTGTCTCACTCTGTAGGCGAAGTAATTTATTAAAGGTGTTAGGACGCAAGCGTGTGCCGTGACTATTATTATATTATTAATCTATTTTATCCCACTGCTGGGCAAAGATTTCTATATTTCCTTGAAAGTTGTACAGATATACAGGTATAAATAATAAGCCATAATGATATAATTACCATAGACTAACTTGTAAGATCTCATGTGTTTTTTCGAATTTTGTATTCTGATGTCTGTGACTGACTGTTTTAGTCAATTATTATAATTACCTTTATATAAATGTTTTTCTATAGCAAATTTCTTTGAAATATTGTAGTTCTAGATATTATATTAAAAAAAAAAAAAAACTAGATTCTTTGACGAAGTATTTAAAAAAAGAAAACAGACATCCCATAAATGAGCTGTTATATATTGAAAAAGGAACGTGTAATCAGTCAAGAATTGGGCATAATGACACTAATACCTTTGCCTTATTGTGATTTTATTAATTTACACAGTCACCGCACGTTTGCGTTCGTAACATTGAATTTAGTTAAGTTAGTATTAAGAGTATCTTGTGTTATGGTGCTTATTGTAATAATTGATAATGTAATGCGTTACGCTTCTATAAGTGCTGGCTCAATGCGTTGAATTCTTTTAATGTAACTTTAATTTAAACCTATTGAGGGCGATTTACCTTTCATGAGGCCAATGTGTAACTAGGAGACGGTTGGGAACCTCGTTTTAAATTAGGACTGACCAAGTTGGTTAGTTAGAAATAATGAAAAATTTACAATAATTTATTCAGTCGACCTGTGGGTTGATTCAGAATATTGTTTTTTAGCAATAGTGCCTTGTATCATATTGGGGTCGTTTCTGAGGCATCATTATTTTAAACCTGTCTCTAAAATTACAATTTGATATCACAGCAGAATCTTTATTTTTTGTTCAATATGAACTAAATTTCTAAAACAGTTAAATCGAAGTTATTAGAAATTCAGTATATGATGGTTTATAAAATAGTAATTTCTCGAAACTATTAAATTAAAATAGGTTAAGAGAATTAATGCCCCAGAATCGGCTTCATTGTGCCCTTTTTAAATATTTTACTAATACTACTGTATTACACTGTGGTACAAATAAAACAAACAAACTAGGATGCAAATAAAAACAATGAATTGACAATATGGTGGTGCTATTGGGGGGGGGGGGGGAAGAGAGTCTTATTTCGACGGTTTTTGTTTTTGAAAATGATATTTTTCTCAATATAAAACTATTTTTTTTTATTTTAGTACCAGATAGGTTTAAAAAAATGTTTATTCTTCATAACTAAACAGTGCCAAATTAGACGATCCAATGTTAACAGACGTGGTCAATGACCTCCCCCCCACTCCACCGCGAATACAGCTGTCCTAGTTACGCTCGAGTTCAATTAGAACAATGCTAATTGTTCTGAAACTAACTGTTATACTGAACTGACTGACAATAACACACTTTATGCCAAATTTAACCTGTTTTAATGTTATTAACATCGTTCCAAGTCTGTTGTTATGACAAAACTATTTTGATTGATGACACACACACATATATATATGTGTATATATATATGTATATATATATGTATATATATATACACATATATGTGTGTGTCTGTGTACAAGTATATATATGTACACAATAATATTTAAATAAATTTAAAAATGTTTAATCTTGTTGAAATTGGCATTACTAACATCCTTTTGCACGAATGTTCTACTAGCAAACCTGCCCCCCTATACAGGCTGCAAACGAAACTACTTGTAGAATCGCTTGTGTCAACGCTCACATGCGAAAGAAGATGACAGTGCATGTCGCCGTCTCATTCTGTCAAATGGACTCGCTGGCAACAACGATTCTATCAATAGATTCGTTTGTATTTGTCATGGGAGGCTGAATGTTTTTATCAAAGAAACATGAATCGAATAGTGATTAAAAAAAGCTGAGTTTATTTCTCAAGTTAGTATAAGAAGCTGAAATTTTATAAGCTTTTTCATGTTTTTTTTTTTTAGAAAACGTGTTGTTTCGCTGGTAGAATACTGCTTCGAAAATATGATATTTAGGTTTCATCCAATATGTCTAAAGATTTTTTTTAATTTCTAAGAACATTTGTATTTGTAAAACTGCATAGTTCTTGTAAAATAAAAACAGAGAATCTATGCAGATTCTCTGTTTTATATTTAGAAATTTAGTAGTCTGAGTTACATTTTTAAATAAAAGTACAGGTACAGAAAAGAACTGTTTATCCAAAATCAAAAACATTTTGAAGTTATCATTACTTCAAACCTATGTAAATTATATATACCTTCTAAATGGATAAAGTTTTCTCCAAAATGGTATATGTAAAATTTATGCTAACCTCAAAATTTTTTAATTATGGTAATTTCATCAAATTAGTTTTGTGGTTACACTAGATTTGTCTATTGTCGCGACTTCTTACTTTACAGTGCCACAGTTTGGCGGTTTTTGAAACGGGCTATACTCCAGTATATTCAAATATTTTTTTAAATACATATCTATTGTACATTTTTAAGGTTCAATTTTGTTTGATAATTCTGACAATTTATTTTAAACATTTGCCCGCTTCTGTTTACTAGTGACACTGTATTAATTTCATCAATGTTTAATCCACTTGTTCTAAGTATTCAATTAATTTAAAGCTTCGTTGTAACATGATTAACACATAAATTTATTTCTATGGCTGTCCCTTTTGTCTCCTTTGACATTATGTGAACGTCGACGAGATGTTAGTGTCTCGCTTTTAGTCAATTGTTTATGGTTCTTCTTGACAGCTAGTCATGTCATTTAGGAATTGACAATATTTGACAGTTGCACTGTCACGGTGACAGCGAGTATTATAGATTAAATTGTATACCTAGTATTATTATTATGACGATTATTTCATTTTTTTTTTGCTAATTTTAAGATGGCGTAATTTTAGATGTTCTAATTTTAAGACCATGACAAGGCAGTGTATGGATTTTTATGTGTATGTCAGTGCTTGTTTTAATTTTGAGGGTTTCGTGTAAATTATTATTTCTTTGTACGTGAAGCTTTTATTGAATTTTCTTTTTGTAGGCTTTTAACCGTATTATGTAAATGCAAACAGTTAGCAATAAAATGTACTTACTGTAAACTTATACGACAATAATATAATATATATATGTATGAAATGTTATTTTTTACGTTGAATATTTGTAATGGTGTTTTTGATCACCGTTTGAGATGCTTACCTAATGATTAATATATCGAATTTCATAGTATGAATACAGGGGCTTCCATATTTGATAATTATGTGTATACAAAGCTGAGAGTGGAGAGGGAACGCCCCGTGTGATGGTGCTCGCTATGCTAATTAATTCACATATGTATATTTGCTACTGAATTTAAACCGCGAGTATTGGTAACTGGTAAAAGAAAATAGTAAAATGTAACGCACAATCTGTACTCGTGTGATAGAAGGACTAATGCCTGTTATATTGGTGCTGTGTAGGCGAACCGGTGGCCGACGTCGGCGGTTGGGAATTTTAGAATTATGTACTGAAATTAGGTCGTTTCAGATCGTTGATGATTTACGTCGTATTGACTACCCATCAATCTCCTTTTACCGAGACCCGAGTCTACTTAAAGAATATTCTATTTTCTAGTTTTGTAGGGTTTTTATATCCCTATTACTGATGATGTAAGAACAATAAATTGCTGTGGGGGGGGGGGATTTTCGGCTTAATTATTTTTATTTCACCCTGAAAAAGTAAATATGCTAAATTATGAAGTCCTATCTATGGCGTGAAAGGGAGTGATTATTATTTGTATTAGAAAGGGGGGGGGGGGATGTTCGGTTTCACTTACTGAACGCTTAGTGATTTTTATACACACTGTAAAAGTAAGTAATACTGAAGTATTAAGCTCCGCCTGTGCCGCGTTGGCCCACCGGCGCGCGGTAGTGATCGTGCCAAATATCATGTTCGATTGTAAAGCGAACCTAACACGTATACTGTATCGAAATATATTGTCATAATTATGTGTTAAGTGCCTTGTTGTGTTGAAATACTCAAATCAAATGTTGCAGTTACGAGAGTTGAGCAGAAATATATGTCTATTTTACTATTTTCATTGGTCGTTTTATTTATATATTGTTTTATTTACATTTTATTTTTATTTTCAACCTTAATTGAATTAATCCCGGCTTAAACTAGGCCACCTCTTGCTTTCCCGTGGGTGTCTTTTTTTTATGGTTTGTGGTACAGTATTTAAGGCATCCCGTCCTCGCTATTGGATACGGGTGACGGAATGCCTATACAAGAGGGTACGTGGTGGGCGCAGTTTAGACGCAATATTTGAGGAGCATTAGGAAGGTACTACGGCCGGATACTGCAACAAATGAGTATGTGGTCGGCCCCTGAACTGGCGACTTCTGCTGTCTACCGGTCCCCAATTCGAGGGATGACCGATCACTGGTCGTCCCGTTGGTGTCGTAGGAGACGATTAAGAAAGGGCGAGATAAGAGCAGCGTCCCTCTTAAAATATCTCTAAAGACTAACTGCGGTTGCCAGGGAAGGGGGGAAAGGGATTGTTAGTAATGGAGACTAAAAATCCCATTACTAGCAATATACACAATCAGGTCGACCTCCTCATGATTCCCCCTGGAAACTATCATGGTTAATTCCTGATGAATTCATCATGATGGGCTAACTGGCCTGTTTTCATCCTCATCTATCACCCTGCACTGGTGCTTCGCCAGCGGATCCCGTTAGCGCAGGCGGGGTTACCATACCATTTTCACACATCAAAAAAAAAACTGCGGTTGCCAATCCGCCTGCTAATTTTGGCCAATGGTGGTGTTATAAGAGATACTCTGCTGTTCATCCCTAGATTTTTAAGTTTCCTTAGTCGGCTCTTAAGACACCCACGGGAAAGGAAGGGGTTGGCTTATTCTATGCCGGAATATAGGAAAGTGTATGTATGTAAAGTTATCATAACCTAAGAATACTTGCACTTACTATGTACACATTTTTGCAAATAAATTTATCTTTATCTTAATATTAAAATGTGAGTTTAAGAAGCGCTGGGGAAGAAAAACAGTCCACCTGATGGAAAGTGGTAACTGTCGCCTATAGACGTGGGCAACATGACAACAGACATGGACCATGGACATAAAAGAATACTTTAAGGGAAGGAATTTTTCAAAATTACTACGGGAATTATTTCGAGAAAAAAGAGTGGCCAATTCTATGCTGGAACCACACGGTATAAATAATAATATTAAAATACAGTATGGACACTGCCGCCCGCTGCGATCTGACCTCACCCCTTCTCAAACGGGTCAGCAAACTCAATTTTCACGCTCTAGTTGTCACTACACATGCAAGGGGGGAAGGGATTGTTAGTAATGCGGACTATCAGTCCCATTGCTAGCAATATACCCTATCAGATAGACCTTCCCGGTGTCCCCTTGGAAACCATCGTGCTGAATGCCAGATGTATTCATCATGATGGGCTAACTGGCCTGTTTTCATTCTCATCTATCACCCTTCACTGGTGCTCCGCCAGCGTATCCCGTTAGCGCAGGCGGGGTTACCATACCATTTTCACCGATCAAAAAAAAAAAAACAAGTACATACAATAAATAATTTATTTATCAAGTTCAAATGCCTGGTCGAACTGTTCCTCTGTAATTTTTCCCTTTTTCAATTTCTTCATCAGGGCCACGTCGGCCGCGAGCTCGTCTAACTCCTCTTGTGTGATTGCTTTCCGTTTCTTGCCTTTCTTCCCTTCCGCACCCACCTTCTGTTTCAACTCTTTCCTCTTTTTCCTACGCTGTTTTTTGTCTTCTTTGTTCTGTTTCGCTTGTTCCCACGGTTGTGACTGCGCCTAAAAGATCAAATGGCACATTATTACTAATTCGAGAATAATTGTACCTGGACATACGAGTTTTATTCGTTCTGTAAGGGGGAAAGGATTGTTAGCAATAGAGTTTGACAGCCCCATTGCTAGCAATATACCTTATTAGGTCGACCTCCACGTGGTTCCCCCTGGAAACCATCGTGAAATTTTTTTGTTGAATTCGTCACGATGGGCTAACTGACCTGCTTCATCCTCACCTCTCATCCTTCACTGGTGCTCCGCCGGTGTATACCGATGGCGCGGGTGGGGTTACCATTCCATTATCATCCATTAAAAAAAAAATTCGTTCCGTAATCTTGCTTGTATCTCAAAGCAATTTTCCCCATTGAAACTAATTGAAATGCGATTAATCCGCACTCCCATAAAACCACCTCTGAGGTCTGAGGTGGGAGAAACTTAGACACCGACATCCACCCTGCATGTTGGGATCGTGGTCTTTTTTTTTATTGGATGAAAATGGTATGGTAACCCCGCCTGCGCTAACGGTATACGCTGGCGGTGCACCAGTGAAGGGTGATAGATGAGAATGAAAACAGGCCAGTTAGCCCATCATGATGAATTCATCAGGAATTAACCATGATAGTTTCTAGGGAGAACCGCGAGGAGCTCGACCTGGTTGGGCATATTGCTAGCAATGGGATTCTCAGTCTCCATTACTAATCCCTTTCCCCCCTGAGGTCGTGGTCGGTGTAATGCGATTCCCACGTATTTCAAAACACTAGTATATCGAGGTACCACTGTATATGAAAGAGTTATACTTAGAAAATTTATATTGTATTGAATTGGAGCATTTGACGTTCTATCTGTACACATTCATGTTATGATATATCAATTTTTCTATTATTATGGAGTTACCATCATCATACCAGACGTTAACTGACCGCTGTTGAACATAGGCCTCCCTCTTTGAGGGAGTTTTGCTAGTACTAGTAGTTGCCACGCTTGGCAGGCGTGTTGGCAACCAAAGTCAGACTTTAGTGACGTTTTAAGAGGGACGCTGCTGCAATCCTTTGACCATTAAGTTCATATCTCTTACAACACCTACGGGATAGGAAGTGGTGGCCCATTCTATACCGGGACCATACGGTGGTATAGAGAAATCTTTGTGGTATACAAAAAATACCGTGTGGTCCCGGCATAGAATAGACCACCTCTTTCCTTCCCGTGGGTATCGTAATCTCGAGGAATAGGCAGCAGCGTCCCTCTTAAAACATCTCTGAAGCCTAACTGCGGATGCCAATTTGCCTGCCAAGCGTGGCAACTACAGGTAAAACCCCCTTAGGGGGAGGCTTATGTTCAGCAGTGGACAATAAATATATTGCCATACACTCCACATACCATCTTTTTCTTCTTCTTCGACGGCCACACACCGGTCTTCTTATACTCTTGCAACTTCTGCAACCTGCTCGCTTCCTTCTGTTTGTCTTTGTATGTTATGCTGTTAAAGTCGATCTCTTCTACCGGCCCTACAAACTGGTCTTTGTGTTCTTGCTTGATCTCAGGCATCAGAGGCAGTTTGAGGAGGCCGTAGCTGGTCGCGATGTGGCCCAGTGGTAGCTCTTTGAATTGCAGTAGAAGATTGCACTCGTGTTTCGTGTATGCCCGCATATGGGACACGAAGGCGCGTTGTCCTTTATCAAATATGGATCGGTCCTTCTTCTGTTGATCGTGGAGGATTTTTAATACCTGTTCCAATGTGATTTATCAGTGAGATTTTATAGTGAAATTGAAAATGGGTTACAAACACTGATTAGATTATTTGCTTTTGCGATAGCATATGCTTAATAGCCCTTAAGAAAAACGCGCGTGTGACATTCTTGATGTTACAGGCGTCCATAGAATACGGTAACCCCGTTTACCATCGGACGGGCCGTATGCTTGGTTGCCACCATAGTAGTATAAAAAAATCTATAATTAAATCGACGTTCAAAATATTAATATAATAAAATTTTATACATTTTTTGCTTATTATTTCAGAAATCTTTAATTATTTAATTAGATTAGAAAATATATTTTTTTATACAACTTAGAATGGCAAACAAGCTGACGGCCCACCTGATGAAAAGTGGTAACCGTCGCCTATAGACATGAGCAATACCGTGGACATAACAGGGTATACTGTTTCGCCCATGATATTGTTTCTGCAAATAATACGATGCTCCAGCATAACTGTTAAGTTACATTAGGAAACTTAATTTCTAACTAAAATTAAGCTCAATTAAGCTAGTAACGAGGTTAATGTCAACTTACTTTCAGCCTCAACTTTTCGCTGATCTTGATTTCGTCCTTGGACTTTCTCCAATCTTTGAGCTCCACCATCTGGTTGGTCCTGATGAAGGGCACGTAGGCGTCCTCGCTGGGCAGCAGCGGCAGCAGCGAGCAGCCGGCGGCGCCGCCGCGGGCCGCGCGGCCCACGCGGTGCACGAGCGCCGCCGGCTGGCTCGGCGGCTCCCACTGCACCACCCACTCCACCTCCGGGATATCGAGCCCTCTGATACGTTCACAACCTCTTAATACCATTCAACCAACTTCAAAGAACGTGTCTAAAACATTTTTAAGAGTGGCAATGTCTGGCTGGATACATTTAAGTACAGTGTTGGGACGAATTATACTAAAAATGTGTACCATACGCGAAATTTGTCAGTTCGCTGATGTGGACCAACATACATATAATAATAATAATTTTTATTTCAGACTTTTTAAGTCCATTAAAAATTTATTAGTAACAATATTCTTTAAACTAAACGCACGCACGCACGCACGCACGCACGCACGCACGCACGCCCGCCCGCCCCAAACAGACACGCGACCATATTTATTATATTAGTAAGGAATTATTATATTTTTTTTTTAAAGTAAAAGAAGAAAGAAACTTTACTTTGTGTAAACACGCTGTGTGGGTGTTGTCGCTGAGGTTAAAAATAAGAAAAAAAAAACTATATACTACTGAAGCAATGAAATATTTAGAAGAAAAAATTAAAAAATGCATTTTATTAAAGTATAGTATTAAATGGTAAAACTTTATTGTTAAAAGTTTCATAAGTGCACCATTATATTTTAATTGTAAATCATCATCTTTATACCCTTATCTCAATCATTTGGGGTCAGCGTAATAAGATTTTGTCCATATTACAAAAAGATTTAGTTTTTAGTTTTACGACCGGCCACCTGCCTGACGTCAACCCTCTTTGAGAATGCATTTGTTGGTGGTTTCCGCCATCTACGGTATGAAGGAAAGGATTGAGGAAAAAAGGAAGGAAACGTTGGTAAAGCGTAAAGGAAATTGGTAAATGAGGAGAATAATTGTAAATATAAATGATAAAAGTATTTTTGTTGAAAACGCTTTACTAGTTTCGGGACCATTCAGGATCTTTGATCATGAGTGGTCATGACGCGAATGCAAGCTACGAAATATATGTAAATAGAGCTCAGTTATTAGTACAATTAAAATAAAAGTGCTTTTATATCCATTTATCAGCAGTAACAAGCAAAACAGAAGGAGCATCAAAGAACGACCACTAGGTTTGATTTGTTTTATAATTATGATTATGAGGTCAACATCAAAAAAACCCATCAACGTTTAGAAATCCTCGGAACGGTAAGGTCGCTCCGTGAGGCCTGTGAAGAACCCAGGAAGCTTCTGTGCTTCTACGCGGAGCTAGGTTGGCTGTACTAGCCACGACTCATACGCACAACGGCCCAAATGAGAAGCTAAGCGCAGAAAATAAAGTCTTTTTCACATTTACATGAGGTAAAAAATTTACAAAATATAATAATTGCTCACCTGGCTAACAGATCTGTACACAACAATATAGTATTTTCAGCTTCACGGAACTTCTCCAGCACCCTGGTCCTCTTCTGTTTCATCTTGCCGTGTATTGCGAACACTTTGATGTCAGTTAGGAACACCGGGAGCACATCCGCCCAGTAATCGACACACGCACACGTCGGCAGAAAGAAGAGACCCTTCACCATTCTTCTGTTCCTTATGAAGTTTAACAGAAATAAAAACTTGTCCTGTGGTTCTACTATTACATAATAATTTTCTAGCAGAACCGGCGTGCTGATAGTGGACTTTTCTTTAACGCTGACAACCACTGGATTTCTAAGGCCGGCTCTGACCAGGTCTTGGAGCTCTTTCGTCTGGGTTGCAGAGAACAGGCCAGTGCGTCGCTGTCGCGGCAAGTACTGCAGGATTGTGGTTAGGGTCGCGCTGAAGCCGAGGTCGAGGAGGCGGTCGGCTTCGTCCAGAACTAAAAATTCCTATTAACAAAAATGATAATGAAGTGAAATTTATAGTGTGAATCATGCCCATAAGCCAATTTATAGGGGGGGGGGGGGGGATTCAAAATTAGAAATCTATTTTTTAACCACTTGCTAGTATCCAATTGTACTGAAATTTTACAAAAGGTTGTAGAAACTTGTGAAATGTTATGATAAAGCCCAAAGGCTTTAAAAAAGCTGTTAAACAGACTTGTTTTTCTTTTCTCAACTCCTTTCCATTATAAAGCCTTTATTGCTCAAAGTATTACATTATTTATTCTTATCTCCATTTCCAGACTGTACTTTGACATAGGCCTCTTCAAGACATTAACAAATATACATAGAATTATTTTATAGTGGTCTGTTTTTAAGAAAAATGTTCAATTAAAAAGTAACATACCAACTCTTTTAGTCTCCCAGGTAGATTTAGTTGCTTCCTTTCTGCCAGTAGGTCACTGAAACGTCCTGGTGTACAGACCACGATGTGAGCTCCCCTGTGCAGAGTCTCCATATCTGCATCCACAGACCTGCCTCCCACCAGCACAGCAAGCGTCATGTGGTTTAAGTCTGGCTCTTGAAGAAACTGTTCTATTACCTGAATGGAAAATATTTACTTAATAACTAGCTTTCACCCACAATATAGTCGGCGTAACCAGGATATGATTACTGACCAGGATAATGTATACCAATAGTGCGGGTAGAGTTACCATTCCATTATCATCCATTAAAAAAATAAAAAAAAAGTTCTACCTAATTGTGTACTGAATTATGTATTTTCCTGTTGCTTCATTTGGGTTTTCAAGAAGGTATGTGATTAATAGATCGCATAGGGTTTCACCAGTAAACAGAAGATCTTGGGTCTAGTTAAGTCGGCCACCATATATTGCATATTGTTGCAGAGCAAAATATATTTAAATTAACAAGTGGTGAAATGTCATCTCTTATATGTTAAAAATCTATAACAGTTTTAAAGAAAAATCTAAGATATTTACAAATGTTATGAAATGTCTGAGAAAATATGGGAAACAAAAAATGTATTGTTAAATTCAAATAGATCTTAATTCAAATAGATAGTGGATTACAAAGCAAATATATTTATAACTTGATGGTCAAGAATGTCATCCATCTTAAAACATTGTTGATGTTTTAAGAAGGATGCACGGCAACTACTGAAAAAATTCCCCTTATGGGAAAGGCCTATGCTCAACATAGGTTTTCCCATAAGGGGAATTTTTCAGTGAACAGTTAATGGTTTATGATGATATTTACAACCAACTACAATTGACTAAGCATGAATAATTGAGAAAATTCAATTATTACACTTGAAATGTTCATTCTATGCATAATTAAGTTAGACCCATTTATTCATATCATTTATGTTACGTACGCTCGGAACGCACCCAGTCCTGTCAGCATCTCAACACTGAAGTGTCAAATGACCTATGTCATAATTTTGAGCTGTCTGCTGTCACTTGCTTTTTACAAATTAATTACGTCCAATGATTCTGTTGTTGTGTGTTGTAATATAAATAGCATTACATTCTTCTTATTAAATATTACAAACAATATAAGAACCCACCAAACACAACAATTTACATCTCAACAACAAATTACTTCAGTAGCAATAAATTTAAGTTATACTCACCAAATATTTTCTAAAAATTTAAAATAAATTAATACTCGTTTCCACTCAAGGTTTGCTGGAAGAGAATTCTAACAGAGTTAAGCTCACCTGTTGGACATCCTCATTTAATATAGACTTAATTTAATATAACAATGTAATTCTTGTGTACAATAAAGTATAAATAAATGCAAACAGAACTAACCTTACTTATTTGGGTGGCTAACTCCCTTGTCGGTGAAATTATTACGGCATAAACGAAATCCCTCCTGAGGGGGGGCTCTTTTGATTTCTTTAACAACATTTCCAGCATGGGCACGACGAATGCCAGCGTCTTTCCTGATCCAGTCACTGCTTCAGCAGCGACATCCTTACACGACAATACGAGAGGTATTACGGCCGCTTGGATAGGAGTCATCGTTTTAAAACCTTGTGCATTGATGCAGTTTAATACCGGCTTTGATAATGCCGGTGTAATACGAAACCAGTCTTTGTTAACCATTTTATAATAACCAAATAAATAAATGAAATATTTCAAAACAAATCATATGGCGAATAACACGAGGGTATGACATTGACAATATCAATTTGACATTAGATTTGACATTTGATTGACAGCTGATAATGTAAAGTCGACTTAACACATCTTCACTTTTTTTTTTTTTAGTACGTTTGTTCCGTTTGGAACAGGCTAAGGTCGGAGACCATGCTGCCTAGTCTTCAAAAAGATAATTTGTCTGGAATACATCTTCACTCTGGAGTTTTCAAATGATCTTTCATTATTCTTATTTTTTTTTTCATCTTTCTCCAACTGAAGAATTTAAAAAAATAAACATTGAATTGGGATTATGTTACTATTTATATGAAAAGCGCAATGTGTAGACCACTGGTAAATAACTAGTGGTTGCGTGTAAAATCTTTATACATATACATATATATATATTTATATATATATGAACATTCATATCACGAAAAGTATTCGAACGGTGTGGACGTTCAGAAGTACAAAATCACACATAAAGATTTGTACTTATTTAATAATTTGTTAATTGAAGTAAATTTTGAAAACATCGTTTGAATATCAGTAAAATCATTTTAAGGAAATAGTATGCACTGTAATGTTACTAATGTTTAATAATATTAAAGATAAAAGTGATTAAATATTAATTTTCAGAACAAACTTCGTCTCAATCAATATGGCGCATGTTATGATAAATTGACAGCTGTGTTTTGTCTCCTTAGGTACGGACGTTGGAATGTTTATTTTGCATCGCCAGAAGGCTGCGAGTAAAATTAATATTTAACAATTAATAACAATGACTAGACCGTTCGGTAACAGTGATAAACGTTTTTCTATTGACGATGCATTTGAAGAGGAAACCGATGAAGCCATAAAAGTGTATGGAGCTACGGGCGATCGGTCTCCAATGCAGAATAAACTCAAGAATGGAGGCGATTATTTATCAAGGTAACTCCTACCTGCATTATATTTTATTAATACGTTGTAGTAGTGCGTAAAACTCAGTTCTTTGTTCCGATGTGAAGGTATTCAACTCTCAAAAGGTCAAGCGACCTTTTGCGAGTTACTTGATCACTAGGCTAAAGGGGATTGAACTCGTTCATGATTTCAATGCACGGTCAGCAGTGTAAATAGTACATTAACAGTTCATCATCATTTCTATCATTGTGTGACGATCACTGACCATTACAAATGAGGGCCTCTGTCAAAATGCAAATCAAATTGTTATTTATATCTCTAACTGTATTTCGCGCCATTACCCCGTTTTCTGCGTGTTAATTTAGGGCAGGGTTTATCTTTGTATAGATTCATTAATATCATAAAATCTTTCACATACTTTTAACTTTAATAAATTTTACATACTAATTGAAATTTCACTTCTGATATGTGTTATTTTAAAGGTCATACTTTTACATTTATAATAATACAATATATGTTGAATTGAAATGAATATTGATATGTACAATTTTATTATACACTGTTGAAGGAATGGAATTTAAAAAATTTACATTTCTGATTATCAAATTCATTTATTTCTTTAATATTTCAACTGATGCTTTAGTAAATATTACAAAGGCCAAGTGACAAGAAGATTTCAATAAGAAGATTTTATATATATAAATTCTAAGAACTAGTATAAATTATTAAATAAAATGTTATTAATATTTACTTTAATATAATTTTATGTTTCTTTTTGTAATATATGCCAATATATTCAGTAATGAGTTACAATTTAATTTAGAAACTGATAAAATTAAATGGTACCAATATATTTTTGTAACTGTTTTCGAAACCAAAAAAAAAAAATGATTTAAAGGAACTTTAAAGGAATAAACAAGTCTATTTGATTAAAAAATATTTCTATTCTATTCTGTCAATTAAAATAATAAAAAATCAATAATAACAATAATATTTTGCAAGTAAATTATTTTGTTAGAGTTGATTTTATTAATGAGAAATCCATGTCTTAGAAAAACGTTATCTGCGTTTGTAATTGGTGTGAATGCAATAAGCAAGTCCTGTATATTAATTAAAATTAATGTCTGTGCTTACACTGCTGATGTTTTGACCTTTTAAAATAAATTAAATAAAGTAGATAATATTTTCATAGCTTTATATTTGTTGCTATCTGTACTACGTGTGAAGCACTAATTGTTGTTAATGTTTGCTAATAAGAGTTGTACAATACAGTTTAATGCCCATTTGCGTTTGTATGTAACGGTACCATAAACTGACTAAATCATTCATGACTGTTAGCTGTGGACATAGTTCACTTATCATTGTTAGAATCAACAGTTATTAAAGCTATTACACTAATTAAATAGCTTAAAATGATCTGTAATTGTACCATTATTGTTTTGGAGATAACCAAATCAAAAAAGGTATGCATTTCCTTTTTGTATGCAATTTATATTTTTTTTTTTATGCAACTTAGAATGGTAAACAAGCTGAGGGCCCACTTAATGGAAAGTGGTAACCGTTACCTATAGACATGAGCAGTACCATGGACATAACAGAGTACACTGTTTGGCCTATGATACCATACATGCGTTGCCATTCCTGAGGACTCAGGTGTTATTCCTCTGTACCATAGAATGGTAAATAAGCTGATGATGATGAACAAGTTGGTGGAAAGTAAGTAATCATCGCTTATATGATACTAACAGTGTCATAGACATTGCAAAATGTACTCGTACAGATTCTTTTAAAATGATATATGTATTTTATAAACAATTATTATTATATATTATTTTTATTAATATTTACTGTATTTGTTATCACTCTTTTTACTTGGTAAATAAATAAATAAATAAATTATAAAATCCAAAGTACTTAAATTACCTTCATTGGAATTGAATAAAAATGATTCAGTTTTATTTATGGATTGTTTATTTTTTTTTATCTTTGCTAATTATGATTTTACACCAAATTTGAAAATTGCAGTTAACTTTAGTTTGTGTTTACTATAAATTTATCTTTTAAGTAATATTTTTTTCTAATTTGATAGAGTTTATCAAAACATTCTTGTGGTAGTAATACCCTGCCTTTTTAGCCACATTATGACATCTTTAATAATAGTTAAATTAAATTCCTTCTCTTGTATAATTAAATAAAAAATTGTGGCAGTGTTAATAGTCATATTTATTCTTGCATTATTTATTTTATCCACTTTGTTTACTCATATGAATTTTAAAATAATTGTTATATAATAATTGATGGTGTAAGCATGGCGTCTGTCATGTTGGATTCAAGTTTGCTCAGTGGAATGTGGGCAGGTGTAGAGTTATGTTCACCACAACAGCAATAATCGACTAATGTCCCTGGCTACCTCATTAGTGATTATAAGGTTGCTAAACCTGTTTGGAATTGTTATGAACTAAAAGAGCTTAACTGCTGTTCAATCCCTTTTAGGCATTATATTTTTTTCTTTTTACATCATTTAGCATTTTTGTTTGTGGTTTTTAGAATAAGGATAATAAATAAATTAGATCACTTCTAGTTGGGTATAACATACTCTAGTTTTTAAATAAAGTTTTCAAGAATACAATTCTTAAAACCGTATCAAATTTGTAGAAGTAATTTTTGTGTGATGCCGAAACAGATAGAGGCCAATATAATAATTTTAAGAAATTTGCTCCATTGTTCTTGTTAAGACCACTCACATCACTTTCAAGTTACAATTTTGTTATATTAGTAACATATCACAATGTTAATTAATTAGTTAATTAAAATTAAATTTTCCTATTGAAGCAATCAATAACAAATTATAAAATGTTACCTAAATCATTCATTCTGCAAAAGTCACTGCTAAATATGTCTAAATCAGAATCCATTAAGCTAACTCAATGCCAGTAGAAGAGGACAATTATATATATATTTAATATAATTATAATTCTTTAGATATTTATTTATTTATTTATTAAGTAGATGAGCTTTACAGTCTCCCAATACGCTCACCCAAGAAAGCTTCAGTATAGTAACACATGTATAATTAAATGAAATAATATTAATTTTATATATATACATATATATATATATATATATATATATATATATATATATATATGTGTATGTATGTATGTATGTATGTATATATATTATGTATATTTCAGCGTTTTGCCATGTTTTAAGAGGGACATTGCTGCCCATCCTTTCACCATGAGCTTACTTACTGAAAACGCTGAAATAATAATAATAATAATGTATTATAAAACAGATATATATTTGATTGTATAAACAACTTATGTATTGAGTACTACTTTTACCCACGACTTCACCGTGAGATCAAGATGTGTTTATAGACCGAGATAGAAAGTAACTTCTGTCTTTCTCCATCAGATTTAGTTCTTTAATGGACGATAATAGAATGGTAACCCCGCCTGGCTAACGGTATACACTGGCGAGGCACCAGTGAGTGGTGACAGGTGAGAATGAAAAGGCAGATCAGTGTAGTCCATCGTGATGAATAGGCATGGAATTCAGCACGATGGTTTCCAGGGAGACCACATGGAGGTCGACTTGGTTGGGTATATTGATAGCAATGGGGTCCTTAGCCTCCATTACTAACAATCCCTTCCCCCTTATCAGATTGATTACGTGTATACCAATTTTCATAGGGATTGATTAAACCGTTAAGGCACTATAAGATATAAACTCATACATCATACATACATACATATCTGTCACGCCTGTCTCCCATTAGGGTAGGCAGAAACAATGGAACGCCAAATGCTTCGATTCAAACAAACCTCTTTCGCTTCCTCCACATTCATCAATCTTGTCATACACGCTCGCCGGTTACGGGTACTTTTAATTTGGCCCTTCTTCAGCACGTCGCCTATTTGGTCGACATACGTCCGTCTAGGGCGGCCCCTAAACTTAACATAAACTCACTTTCACATAATATTAGTAAACATATTAAATGTATCGGTTTATATTTTCAATAATTTGTGTTGAAAAAAAAAAAATTATAGTTCTAAATCTGTTGTACAAGTGTATATTTATGTGGTTTCATGTATTCCCAACGTTTTTTCCCTTATTACAACAGTAGCTTTTGCCCGCGACCTCATTCGTGTTCTTTTAATGCATGATAATGGAATGGTAACCCCGCCTGCGCTAACGGGATACGCTGGCGGAGCACTAGTGAAGGGTGATAGATGAGAATGAAAAAGGGTCAGTTAGCTCATCGTGACGACTACACCTGGAATTCAGCACGATGGTTTCCAGGGGGAACCACGTGGAGGTCGACCTAATAGGGTATATTGCTAACAATGGGACTGGTAGTCTGCGTTACTAACAATTAAAATGACATTTCAAAAATGACAATTAAAATGAACATTTCAAAATTATTTGAAAGGCGAAACCTATCTAGTATTTATTATAACAATTTGTGTATTCGCGTGCGTGCGTGTACATGCACGCATGCATGTTGTGTGTGTGTGTGTGTGTGTGTGTGAGCGTGTACGCGCGCGTGTGCGTGTGCGCGTATGCGTGTGTATGTTAAAAATATAAATGTATATCCACTTACTCATATAAATGTTAAACCTATTTCTTCTTCTTCTTTTTTAAAAATATGGCTTCCACCGTAGAAGCAACGGTGATTTTCTGCCAATGTCAGGGTTAGAGAAGACTCCGTGTAATTTATATTATGACATTTTTCAGTAATGTAGAAAAATCATTCAGTTGAGTTCTCTGGAAAGGAGGACAACACAAGATATGTTACATACATGCAATGGAAAAATAAATTTAATATGATATGTGTGTAAAACCTATTTCAAATATTGTATTGTCTCTTTCTATTTTGTTAAATTCTCAATTTGAATGCAAGTGACAAAACAGTGTAATAGTTAAAATAGGTGTGTAGTAGTTTTTAGTTTTTTCTGAATGAGGCGGGATATTGTATAAGTTTTTTTTTTTTAATAATATCAATATGTATTCATAATACCACCGAGTAAGTACCGTCAACCACAATCGTGATTGATAGACTTGTTAATTAAAAAATCGAGATAACTGCGCTTTAAACGTTTTATCAATATGACCACAGATTATAGCACTTTAGTAGTAATAAATTGGTATTACATCAACGCAATTAGTAATTACTAGTATTACTAAACTACGTATTCGCATTGTTGTTATAAAAGCTCTTTATTGTTAGCAGATAATTTGAATTTGGAAATACATTGTAAATATTTGAATTTAGAACGCAGAAATACAATAAAAAATAATGGCAGTCTTTTGCTCAGCAAAAAAAAAGAAACAACTTTTTTTTTTTTAATGGGTGGAATGGTAACCCCGCCTGCGCCATCGAGATACGCTGGCGGAGCACCAGTGAAGAATGATAGGTGAGGATGAAGCATGTCAGTTGGCCCATCGTGACGAATTCAATAAGAATTATTCACGATGGTTTCCAGGGGGAACCACGTGGAGGTCGACCTAATAGGGCATATTGCTAGCAATTGGGCTGTCAAACTCCATTGCTAACAATACCTTTCCCAAGGCTGTGTTTCGGTTTAAAAAAAAAAAAGAAACAACTATATTTCTTGCAAATAAATATTCATTCATTCATATAATCGTCACAAAATTAATATGAGACCAATACGGGAGTAAATTATATTGGTTGCAAAAAGAATTGTTAGAATCGGGTCACGATCGCGTATTATTATTATTAGTTTTTTTATACAACTTAGAATGGCAAACAAGCTGACGGCCCACCTGATGAAAAGTGGTAACTGTCGCCTATACACATGAGCAGTACCATGTTGTTTGTGTTTGTTTCGCCCATGATACACCCCATGCCTTGTCATTTCTGAGGACTCAGGTGTTATTTCTCTGTACCTTATAAATTTACTGCCATATCCCACTCTTGAACTCGAAACACTGCCATGCAAACAACTGCTTCTAGGTTGAAACACGAATGGGACAGAGGTGTCCAAGCAATCGACTTTTGTACAAAGTCTCCCTCTGGTGATTATTCATATACCCCAATCACAAATTATATGATGCTTTATCTATAAAACAGTTGGAGACTAAGTCGATGCCAAGATTGTTATGCAGTACAAGAGGGTTTTCAGTGTTTTACAGAATGTTGCATCGAGAATTTATTATACATTTCGCCAGCAAATGTAACTTGGCAGCTTATCATACTAGTCGTTTGTAAAAATTTTAAAATATGAGCACTTACATACTTTAGAAATAACAGAATTTCATCGTGCCTCCGATTAAACTGTTTATAATTACCCCTCTCCATCCAAAGGTTGCCTGCAAGAGATCGCTCTTAGCGATTAGGTCGCCCATTGTTCTCTCATTGTGATTATTTCTTGTAATTGTTTATATTTATAATAAGTTTACTATTGTAATCATTTGGAGAAAACAATAAAGAGTATCTGTCTATCTATCTATCTATACTTATTCATCTATCTATACTTATTCATCTATTAAACTTTAATACACCTAGATAATATAAATGGACCAAACACAACATAGCGGGGCAGACAGGGATTGTTAGTAGTGAGATCCGACAGCAATATACCCTAACAGGTCGACCTCCACGCGGTTTCCTGGAAACCATCGTGGTAAATTTTTGATGAATTCATTACGATGGGGGTCAACTGGTCTGTTTTATCTTCACGTATCATCCCTCACTGGTGCTCCGCCAGCGTATCCCGATAGCGCTGACGGGGTGACCATTCCATTTTCATCCAATAAAAAAAAAAGAAGTTCTCAGTTTGATTGTTTTTTTTTTTTATTTTTGTTACAAATTCTTTTATTTGAAAGGATATACATACAGTTTGGTTTCATAGAAATTTTATCAAAATCGATTCTGTAGTTTCATTTTTTGAACAAAATAATTGGTTTTGTCATGATTGAAGTGTTTTTTTTTTTGACAGTCTTTAGTTTTAATGTCTATGGGCAACCTCTACATTTTCCATTGACCGTATTTAATTTGGCCGTTTTATTTTCAGCAAAACCTACAAATGCACTGAGGACACCACATCACGCGACTCCGACTCACTAATACACGAATACGAGGAAGCCACGCAGTCGATGTACTGCTGGAACCATCCCAAAGTAAGGGAGAACTGGAAAACAGTCTGCGCCGCTGTCATACTCCTGTTGGTTGGAGTAGCACTCCTGGGGATGGGCGCGTACGCAGTGGCCGAGCCTGAGAACGGGCTGCAGGGCGCTGTGTTCTTCGTGGCCGGTCTGATATGCTTCGTGCCTGGTGCGTACCACGTTGTTTACATCTGGCTAGCGGCCCGTGGCCAGAGAGGATACGACTTCTACCATCTCCCTCTGTTCACTTGATTCCGTTGTTTTTTTTATAGTCAATTGATATGTAAATCAAAAATAGGAATGCGATATATAGCAACCTGAATTCGGTGCTGTTGCCTGATTAGCTCTCTAATGTTAAGCTGGGTGTAGACCTACGTAATATGTAGTGTAATATTGTGTAATGTAATGCAAACGGTGTGGCCGAGAACTGCGAGCGTCTGGGTTAACACGAATGACAATGTGGTAAAAAAATAATTTCATTGCTCGATCAAATTCACGAACTGTGTCGTTTGTTTAGTCTAAAACTACTTAGTTGTGTATTCAAACTACTTAATTCTTTTTGCTCTTTCTCATAAGAACATCAAATCTGTAAAAACATGTTTTAGCTATTGAGATGTTTTGCCTGTTTTATGGTAAATTCTTAAAACTTAGTGTCAAAACTCGTTAATGGCTAAAATAGGTTGGTAGGAGACTTAGATTTTATAAAATACATGACTGAATTTTCCGTAATGCTGTCGACACATAAAAATTGCATTACATTACACGCAACATTACAGTACACACATCTGGACCCGGCTTTAGGTAAAGCTTGTAAGGTTGTAATATAGAATTCGTAGCGTAAAACTGGCAACGTTAGGGTATTATTTGTAAAAATTGATTTAATATTCCGATAGTGAAGTGAAACGTTAATTATTAGATTCTCATTATTTATTCTCTGTACTCTATTACTAAAATTTTATATAAAAATGTATTTAAGAACTTCTAATGAAAACATTATTGTAATGGATAAGTGTAGATTTATATTAAACTTGTTCTATGATTAACGTTTTAGGACAGGTATCAGCGTATTCAGCTATTTTTTTTTTTTTTATTATTCAAATATTTGTTTTCAAATTTGGTATCTAATTTATATGTTGCCAGTCCTAAAATACGAAAGCGTGTTTAAAAAAAAAATTTAAATACATTATATAACTTAATTGTAACACTGTCTGATATTGCATGCAGTTATCTTGAGTTCGATTTGTAAAGCTAATAATAGTGTATATTTTGCAATTGCTTAATTTATAAAAAATATATATATATATACTTAACGAATTTTTATAAACTCTGTCCAACTATTAGGTTTATCTTCTATGTATAAAGATCTCTTAGTTAAATGTAAATATAAATTAATTTAATTTAAACATATAAAAGTGATGGTACTCGTTAAAACAATTAGACAGTTGACTGTTTTTATAAAATTTTAATATGAATCTAATATTGTCCAATTTAATATTGAAATAATAATTTTAACATAATAATACATTGATAATAACAGACTATATAAGTGCCTAGACGCATAGAAATAGTGCATGATTTTATATATTAAATAAAAAATAAAATAATAATAAAAACTATACTTGCGAACATAGAACCTCCTTTTTTGAAGTCGGCTAAAAATGTTACTATTTTAATGTCTATTACTCTATGAATTAATGTAACAGTCCTATTGCTCGTTTAAAACTGTGAAACTATTTTTTATTCTACGTTTGATTTATTTTATTACGCCAAAAAGATTGATAGATACTCTTTATTGTTTCCTCCATAAGGTTAGAATAGTAAACTTACATATGCTATTCCATACAATATACCGTTAATTATAAACGATGTGAGAAACAGTAGATAAAAAAAACTTTCTCTAATTATTCTAATCGCATTTGCATTTTATCACCATTAGACATTGCGTGGAGCTCTGCAATGTGTACTAAGAAGTTTTTCTTCAATCTACACATACGAAATCATAAACGACGTACTCGAATACAATACAGGTGGTCTAACATGAAACGAAAAATCGAATTTTCGGGCTTAATTTCTTGTTTTTGTTCGTACCGAAATCGACCCAGTAAATGGAGCTTAACATTTCGTTCATCATAAATCCTATCCTAATAGTCTAGAGGAATAATGTTTTAACATTTTTAATAATTTTAAACAGCATGTATTATGTAATTTTAACATCAAATTTCTGTTTCGTTCGTGCCCGAAATTTCGGAAAATATTTCATGGTAGGCCCTTAGATCTAGCCGACTACACAAATGCCCTAAGAACAAGGAATTACATAGAAGGAATGATAAAATAAAAACTGTAAATCGTATGGTTGCCTCATTTCTTCTTATACACATTTTTTTATACGCTAGCCTGCTATGAATTCATTAAAATAGCAACCGATGGTGTATCTTTCGTCCTCTTTTTACTAATTATATTTGCATAAGAAGAAAGGAGGCAACCGTATGATTCATAGTTTTTATTTTATTATTCCTTCTATGCAATTCCTTGTTCTTAACAAATACCCGTATGATATTGACATTTAAAAAAAAAACCATTCGCGAGTTTTGATCGTTGTGGATGAGCGTGGTAAAGTAGATAAAACGTATTCAGAACGTTGTAAGTCGAAGTGAATCTTTTAACCCTTCTTTGCTTAATGGTGTAAATTTCCATCGTAACATTGAATGCCCAAAAATTATTTAAAAGAACAAGTTCACTTTAAGTTGATCGTGTCTGGATACCTTTTTAATGTCCATTGCAGAAAAAAAGACATAGCTGTCAAATTTATTATTTTACCATTTTTCCTTTAATTTTGAACATGAATCACCTTGATTTATTTCACCAATAAAAAAAAACATGCAAAGAAGGGTTAACATTACTTGTGCCACTGTGCGATAGAGAGAGACTCGAGAAGGGAATGTGTATATTGAAAGAATGTAAGAAAAAAACACGAGTATGGCATATATACGAGATAAGGCAAGAAGATGATGGCTGTTTAGTGATTACAAAATAAAAAAAAAAAAAAATATACCGCTGTGGTTAAATACATTGTATCGCGTTATTAGTCTTGGGTTTAAAAATCGAACGTCTTTAAAACTGTCTCGAATTATCTTTTAATATTCTCGTGCATCGAACTCTGCCCTAAGATGCTTCGTTGTTTGGTTTTCATTGTACATGAAAACTAGGCGAATGGTGTGTGATATTCTGCCAAAAAGGAATAATTAAAAAAAAATGTTAAAAAGTTTGCAAAATAAAAAAAAAGTACCTTTATAAATATAAATTTGTAAGTTGTTTATGTTTTAAGTGAATACAATACAGAAAGTAAGGATGCTTGAAAAATTTCCCACATTGTGATGTACGAGACGTGCGGACTTGCTCGAGCGTACCGGCACGCGATTCCAATGTTTTTTTTTTTTTAAGAAATCAACTGTTAAAGGAATTAATATTTAGAATAATATTTTATTTATAAAATTGAAGTTTTAATAAAAGAACTTTTATTTCATTGGAACTATTCGATATTTGTTTTTGGAATGATTTAATTTTGTGCATTTAAAATAATACGTAAATTTAAAATATTGTAAGCGTAATATCGTTTTTAATAGTGCCCTTTATAGTTTTCGGTGTTCATTTGTTTTAGTAAATTATCTAAATTTAATTTATAATGAACTAAATATAAACATAGGTATAATTATGTTAAGAAATTAATTTACAACGAAATGGAATTGAAAATTAAACTGGGATATATATAAAATATAACTTAAAAAAATCCAACTAAAAATAGTAAATTACTCTTAAATTCGAATGCCACATAAAAAGTTGACAATGCAAATATATGCTGCAAATGTGGATGGATGCAGGTACCGGCGGAGACGTGTACTAACCTATTATGATGAGAAAGACCATGTCCCATCTGAAACAGAAGTCAAGAGTTTTCGGAATCAGCGTGTATGCGAGAAACGAGCTATGGATGTGGAGGAAGCAGCAGATGTATGTAAGGATGTAGGTCTTTGACACTCTGTTCTCTTTGCCTACGCCGCAAGTGACTTGGCGTAAAGATAGGTAAACAAGTAGGAACTTGTTGCACCTGTAGATAGGACATTTTTAATATTATTTTTCGTGTATCGTTGCCTATACCTCCTCCCTTTATCAGATACGTCAATTAATTTTGTATTTTTTTTTATAAAACTTAGAATGGCAAACAAGCTGAAGGCCCACCTGATGAAAAGTGGTAACCGTCGCCTATAGACATGAGCAGTACCACGGACATAACAGAGTATACTGTTTCGCCCATGATACCCTCCATACGTTGTCATTCCTGAGAACTCAGGTGTTATTCCTCTGTACCCTGTAAATTCACGCCATATCCCACCCTTCAAACCGAAACACAGCCATGCAGACACAACTGATTTACGGTTGAAACACGAATGGGACAGAGGTACACAAGCAATCGACTTTTGTACAAAGTCTCCTTCGGTTGTATTTCTTTTTTGTATTACTTTTGTTGATGCCAAATTCATTTAGTTACTGATTTTCTCTCTATTTGCAATAATAATCGATTCGTAGATCAAGGATCTTAAATTATGAAATCTTTCGGACAATGGATCGTGTAACCGTGCTGCTTTGAAGAAAAATGGATATGATGTCATTTAGGATATTGGTTTATCAGTATGAATCAGTTGTTTTGCATCTCGAATGAGTTTCTTCAACTGTCTGATTAGCGGTGTTGTTAAAAATTCGTTGGTTCCTTCAGTTGACGCAGTGACTCACGCGCAGTTGTCGCAGATATAGTTTGGAATAGACGACGCAACATCAATTTATGTATTTAATACATTTTACTTAAAAAAAAAAGCTATTGTGAACACACACACACATTGACGAACGACGTATATATATTTCGTAGAAAATATTTGAATTTAGAACCTTGAATTGTGCAAATATAATTATGGAAATCGGTTTTACTATTGGCGACATAATTCTTTAGTGTAGCCATAAAAAATCAGAATAATTGAGTACTTTTTTTAGAAGTAGGTTAAAAAAACTTTAGTTGTTTTAGTCCAGCTGTTTTCAACGCATTTGCTGGTAACTGGAGAACAATAAAACAGTACGTCATTCGAAACTGTATATTTGAACTAACAAAAAAATGTGTCAAAAATAAATTTTGATTATGTTTTTTGATAGAAAAATATGAAAAAGTATAATATAAAAATACGAATTACTACATATTGCAAAGTTCTCCGCCGTATCTGTCTGTATGTTCGCGATGATCTCGAAAACTACTGAATGGATTTTAATGTGATATTCATTTATCAATAGAGTGATTCCTGAGGAACGTTTAGATGTATAATTCTTTAAGGTTTTGTGTAAATTGATTGAAATATGAAATTGTCTAGAAAAATCGAGCAATCTGGGAGTTTTCATCGAAAATGTTGCCTATTTCGTTTGAGATATGACAAAGCATAGGGGGGTTGTTCCTCTTTTATAGATTTACAAAAAAGTCTATTTCTTGTTGACTATACTTTAGGATGGTTTACTATGCCCACCAAATTCATAATAGGCGCAGCAAGTTGATGTAAAAAATGTAACAATATATACTCCATTACGCATGCGAAACCGAGGGAGATCATTAGTATGTATGTATAGTATAAAAAAATTATGGTTTAGCCAGTAATAGTTTTTATATATAAAAATAATAATAAAAATAAATGCAGTTGCGTTATCTATTTAAATTCATATCTGCGAGTTTGTGGTTTGCTTAAAACTGTTATTTTAATTGTTGTTCTAATGAACCTGGTGGCCTATTCAGAAATCAGCCTAGACTTACAAATGTCTAGTCGTTACAGTCTTTGGACAAAAACCACGTTACACAAGTAGGGCACGGATGTTCGTTAGAATATTGGCTGACCACAGATTTTGTTTTGTTATCAACCACTGACATTCCATGTATATTGACTAGACAGGGTATGTTTAATGGATGACAATGGTATGGTAACCCCGTCCGAGTTGAAGGTGTACGCTGGCAGGGCACCAGTGAGGGATGATAGGTGATGAAAAGGCAGGTCAATTAGTTCATCGTGATGAATACACCTGGAATTCAGCACGATGGTATCTAGGGGTGACCACGTGGAGGTCGACCTGACAGGGTATATTGCTAGCAATGGGACTGATAGTCTGCATTACTAACAATCCTTTCCTGCAAACAGGGTATGTAACTAGCAATGGGGCCATTGGGATTAATGGTTGCTAGTTAGTAGGTAAAAATAAATATTAATGATGGCCAGAAAGGGGGGATAGTTAGTAATGGGGATTAGTAGCCCCATTGCTAGCAATATACCCTGTCAGGTCGACCTCCTCGTGGTTCCTGGAAACCATCTTGATTGATTTAATGTTAGATTCGTCATGGTGGGTGCTTTATCGTCACCTATCATCCCTCACTGGTGCCTCTCCAATGAATACCGTTAGCGCAGGTGGGGTTACCATTCCATTATCATCCATTAAAAAAAAATTGTCCAGAAATGGGAAGGGATTAAATCGATGTTGACCTCCAAGGGAGTGCCCTTGGCCGTGCCCTTTCACATGTTCCGCGGTATTGCGGATATTTGGTTATGTAACACGCAATAGGAAGTAATTCTTGGCAACTGTTGTAAGTATGCATTGCTGATTCAACTATGTATTATATTTGAAATAATAAAAATGGCGTATGAAACAATGTAATCTTAGTAAAGTTATTAATAATGAAATGGTAACTTGATGGCTGAAGCGGTCTGAAGGGTAATAGAAGGTAAAATTTTTAAATTTTTTTGTCTATCTGTATATGTGGCGTCACGTAAATAGGTTCCCTAATTTTGTTCCTGAACACAGTGTAACTTAAAACCTGATGTATGTTTTATTTTTATCTGTAGTCTTGATGCACCGTCTAGAAGTGGTTGCAAGTTGCTATTTCTAAAATTCACGAGTACAAAGCTGCGAGCAAAAAGTAGTAAAGCGAGTAGTTGTTGATCATATAATTTATAAAACTATTTAATTATTTCTATCATTATGTCAGCCGCTAACTGTCCATTGTTGAACATAGGCCACCCCCATATTTCGTAAGCGTTAGACTTTAATGTTTTAACGTGGCTGTCCTTCGACCAGTACCTTTAGTCGCTTCTTACGACACTCACAGGAAAAGAAAGGGCCCATTCTATACTTTGACCACACGGCGATAATTTTTTACACTTGGCACGATTAATGCTTGATCGATTTTGACATGTCTTTTTGTTAAAATACTTGTACACGTAAACGTAGATAAAAATAAGTAGCTTGATTACATCTTGTATTAACTTGTTCTGATTGATAGTAATTTAATTAAAAAAAGGTTTTTAATTCGTCTGTTTTTCTTAATGTTACGTGAATTATGAATTATAGGGCAAGTTCAGCAAATGTAATATGTTTTTTTTTTGTATAAAATATTGGTCAAATTTATTGTAAAATAACATAATGCATGCCCAATCTGAAGCCGACCTCCTAGAGTGAGTCCAATCTCTGACCACGTACTGCAATTTCCATAATTATGTATGTAATCCAAGAAATTTACTTTTGTATTAATCCCATACAAATTTGCCATGTTAGAAATTGTTTTTCTCGATACAAAACTTACTTATTTTTATTACCTATTTTAGATATTCACAGATTAGAACACGCGAGATTTTTTATTGCTTAATTTATTGGTATTGATTTTATGAGATAGTTAAGTAAATGTATCTGATAATTTCACCGATTTTCCCATTGTTCATAAATAAATTATTCTGAATTTCTTCATGAATTATTTATCCAAATTTTAGTTAAGTTTTTCTTTTTTTTTTTTTTATATGATATCTAATTTGTGACTGATTCCTTTCGTGGGGCATATCATTTTGTAAAACAGATCCAGCGTGAACCTGATATACGAATTATTTTGTCCTGTAAGTTCCTTTGTAGAGTCCTTCACGCCGGATCTGTCACATCAATATGTCTGTTTTATTGTATGGTTGTAAATAGTTAAATAAAATAGCTAATTTATACTTAGTTTTTTTTATTTGAACCTGGATCCAATATTTGTTACATTACGGGGTCTATTTTGAAGTCCTGTGTTTGTAAACAAAAAATTGACTTTGATATTACAGCGAAGTAATACTATGAGCTAGCATGAAATAAATTTATAACAGAATTATAACTGTTTGCTTTAAATTTATTAGAGGAAGACGTAATTATCCCTGCCCATTCGTGTTTCAACCGTGAAGCAGTTGTGTTTGCATGGCTGTAGTTCGGTTTGAAGGGTGGGATATGGCGGTAAATCTACAGGGTATAGAGGTATAAAATCATAGTCTGGAGGGGGGGGACCGAGGCGACCCTGCTGCTACCTATGTGCCCTGTCAGGTCGACCTCCACGTGGACCCCTGGAAACCATCGTACTGAATTTCAGATGTATTTATCACGACGATCTAACTGACCTACCTTTTCCTCCTCACCTATCATCCCTCACTAGAGCTCCGCCAGCGTATACCGTTAGCGCATGCGGGGTTACCATTCCATTATCATCCATTAAAAAAACTAGGCCTCAAGAAAGTCAAACAGGGTTACCATGGGTATTGCAGTGTATTATGTGACATTCATGGTGCTGTATATGTCTATAGGCGATAGTTATCGCTTCCCATCAGCAGTGGCGTAACTATACCATTTGGGGCCTGTGGCAAATTCTTTTTAATGGGGCCCTATCAGTAAAAAAAAAACTAAAATAAAATACTCAGATACAATGTTAAAAAAAAAAATTCTGAGCTCTCGACCTCTTGAGCCGGGACCCTTTTGGGTCGGGGGCCCGTGGCATTTTGCCAGCCCTGCCACCCTATTGTTACGCCACTGCCCATCAGGTAACCTAACGGCTTATTTGCCATTCAAAGTTGCATATAAAAAAAGTTATATAAAAAAAACTTCGAGGTCCGTAACTCGATATTTGCATTAAAACATATATTTTTTAAGTTTTTTATTGGGATAGCGTTTAAGTATCGCGCCCCATAACTACTAATCCTTAGAATACAACAATATAAACCTCCCACATCCGAGATTACTTAGAAATGTTCATTTTACAAATTACTAATTCAATTGAAACCCGGAACACTGCATTCACGGCCCACTACGGTAGGCGTCACGACCTTGTAACGTTACGTAGGTTTGGACTTTTATTTTTACAATGAATCTCGAATTATCTGGTTTTAAAAATTAATAACCATGTATGTTCTACCGTATGTATGTCGTCGTACATGTATGTCGACTGTTCGTATACGAATTCTCAAATACTTCGGCCATATTATCCGGAATGAAGATTGTATGGAACGTCTAATTGTCCAAGGAGCGGTACAAGGCAAACGTTCTCGGGGCAAATCACCAAAGCGATGGACTGACCTCATCAAAACGGCCACACAGCAGTCTATTGTGGAATGCTCTCGCTCGGCGGCGAACAGAAGTAGATGGAGACATATTGCGAGGACCTCAACCGCGAAGGAAAGCCTCATCGACGATCCAGTGTCATTGTGAAAACCAATTTACCATATAGTATTCTATTATCTATGGTTCTACTACGCGACAAGATACATTGAACTTAATATATAAATACACTATACAGAAGCCATAACTTCCTTAATCCAATCTTAAAGTTTATTTTTAATCGAGATTCCAACTTGGAACGTGATTTACTCGAAATATGCATTAGCACAGGTCATGGCGGTCATTGGCTACTACAAAATTGATTGAGCATTAAACGTTCAACTGTAGGTCAACAGCTATTAAACCAATTCGAGGAATTTACTATTATTGTACAGCAGATACAATGACGTAATAATCACTGTTAGGTACAAGAAACACTCGAATGGTACTGATTCATGGGTCAATAGAGCTGTTAACGGTGGTACGTTGTGACTTTGTATCTTGTTTTGATTTCACGGAACATTAATTTATTTCCAAATGCAAATGACTTCATAGAAATCACGAGTGTAATATTTTTATGCAAATTGAAGTGACGGATGGATAGCTCACCGTAATGGATAGTGGTAAGTTATACATAAAGAAATAAACACCATTTTTTTTTATACAACTTAGAATGGCAAACAAGACGGCCCACCTGATGGAAAATGGTAACTGTCGCCTATAGACATGAGCAGTACCGTGGACATAACAGAGTATACTGTTTCGCCCATGATACCCCCCATGCGTTGCCATTCCTGAGGACTCTGGTGTTATTACTCTGTACCCTGTAAATTTACTGCCATATCCCACCCTTCAAACCGAAACGCAGCCATGTAAACACAACTGCTTCACGGTTGAAACACGAATGGGACAGAGGTGCCCAAGCAATCGATTTTTGTACAAAGTCTCCCTCTGGTGTGTCATTGTATATTATCGTATCACACTCTTTAAACCTGAAACACAACCATTTTTATTAGTCTAGTTTAACACTGTGGTTTGAAATATGAAAGGAAATATTTCTTTTGGTTTAAACAGACATGTAACATAATAAAGGCCATGTGACAAAACTTCTTGGTATCTGTTTAATTGCCTTAAAATATATATATATATATATATATATATATATATATATATATATATATATATATATATATATATATATATATATATATATATATATATTCAGTAAAACAATAACAACAATAAGTTTATAACAATGTTAGTAAAGGCGAACTTATCTCTAAAAGAGATTTCTTTCAGTCAACCTAACGCAGTGGCATAGGAAGTAGTGAGTGGGCAGTAGTAGTGCAAGACAGAAATTGTAGGCATGCAAATTTAATGTATTAATTAAATAAGGCTATAATACTAATGTTTGTGATTATTAAGATTAAAGAAAAAAAACATATTCAAATCAAACCAATAAATTTGTGTAAGTACATATTTAATATCGTCAAACAAAATTAATAATTACTCAAATTATTAATTTAATTAATTTATTTATTATTTATTTACTTTAATGCACAGTAAAATGCTATGCACATTTGGCGGACTTAACACCGGAGGGTGTTCTCTACCAGTCGACCATTGGGCGAACAGAGAAATACGTAAGCGGTGTATTTTTTAATAAAGAAAAAAAAATTACATTCTACATGTCAGTTTATAAATTTTCATAATTAGCCTCGTAAATAGTACACTGTAGTCAACCATGAGGTCACTCTGTACAGAATAACAGCACTGTATCAGTAGGTAAATAAAGTGAATCCAATTTATACCTATAATAAATGCGTAACTTTGTAACGATGGATGGATGGGTGTTTGTGTGTGGTTACATCCTAACTTAGCACATAATAAACTTTATGTATTTATTAATTAATTAGCATAATGCCGAGTGCTAGTCATTTTGGTAAGTAATTGCTACAGATTTTTTTTTTATGTAAATGCATTTGATGTTTTTCTATACGCCCGTCTGATGGCTGTTGTCAATGGAAATACTGCCTGCCGATAGCAGAACAAGAAACAACGGCGACCCTAAGTTGGTCTCCGAAAATGGCGAGATGTTTAAACTACAGAAATAATGGCACGTAGTATTTCTTTCACGTTTTTTTTTTTTTGATGGGTGAAAATGGTATGGTAACACCGCCTGCGCTAACGGGATACGCTGGCGGAGCACCAGTGAAGGGTGATAGATGAGAATGAAAACAGGCCAGTTAGCCCATCATGATGAATTCATCAGGAATTAACCATGATAGTTTCCAGGGAGAACCGCGAGGAGGTCGACCTGGTTGGTTATATTGCTAGCAATAGGATTCTCAGTCTCCATTACTAACAATCCCTTTCCCCCCTCCTTTTGCGTATTTGTTATCATTCGTTTGTTTATAATATTTACGTCCCGTGAGAAACTAGTGGTCACTGTAGCTCCTTGTTTTGGAGCTCAGGGGATTCCTTGAGTAACCATGAAATTACCAATTGTGCTTATCGTAGTGATTGTGATATATAAAATTGTAATATTTAAATAGAAAGTAAATGTTAATAAATTAATTCTTTAAAGACTCTTGTCTCTTGTATCTAATATGGTAAATGTTCACCTATGGATGCCTGCAACCTTGGAAGTATGTTACACTACGTCTACGCCTGCAATACTAAGAGCGTCACGTGTGCGTTGCCGATCCTGAAGAAACCTTAATATAGCCTGTATATTTATTGACAATAAAACTTTCCTACCTTCTTCTTAATTATTGATTTTTTTTTAATGGATGAATATGGAAGGATAACCTCGCCTACGCTATCGGTATAAACTATCGGCGCACCAGTAAGGGATGGGTGATAGATGACGATGAAAACAGGTCAGTTAGCCCATTGTGACGAATTCGACTTGAATTAACCATGATGATTTCCAGGAGGAAATGCATAGAGGTCGACCTGGTAGGGGGTATTGCTGGCATTGGGTCAGCTAGACTCCATTCCTAACAATTCCTCAACCCGGTTGGGCATATTGCTAGCAATAGGGCCTTTAGTCTCCATTGTGAACAATCCCTTCTTCCTTAACTACTGATAAGCTAGTATAGGCGTGCTATGTAAGAGTGTGCTATGCCCACTCATATTTGTTGGGTGCCCATCGCAGAATGCGGGTAAAGCTTTCAGCTGTGCAACAAGCCTTTTTAAGTGGTCAGTCTCCTCCTGGGAACTTGTTAAATATGCCAATGGTATGTTCCTTATGGTACATTTTAGATGACAAGATAATGGTCTACCTGATGGAGTGTTAACCGTGATCTACAGATTTGAACAACACCATGGAAGACAAAATCAAGTGTAATGTATTGATACCATTCATACATTGCCATTATTAGAGAACTAAGTGGTACATTTACAATATCACTAATATTATGAGTGTAAAAGTGTTTGTTTGTTACTTCTTATCAATTTAAGAGCTTAACTGATATATATGTAATATGGTATACAGGTACCATATGTGAGATCATAAGATACTGTTTATTACAGTCACAGATTAAAGGGAGTTTGAAATCAATATGTTATATATAATTATCTGAAAAGTTACTAATACTTTTTTTTGTAAAAATTTTATTTTTGATATTTCATATTTTTGAAACAGGCATATGCACCATCTGCTTGAACTGATAAAAATAATAGAAATAAAACAATATATTTTCAAACATAATTTATTAACTACTTCTACTATATTAAATGCTTTCTAGCAATTCTTTTAAGTTTAAAGTGTTGTAAAAACCGGAGTTCTCCATTCCATGACTTTAAAACTTGCATTTGGTGTTGGTCCATAAGGTCTGGCATCTCTAGACCACATGTTTCGAACTCCTCGTGTTCCCTTTTCTTCGTTATATTGATTATATCCTCCCGGCTGGCATGTTGGCGATTTTTTCTCTGACCTACAGAATTTTTTAATGCAATTTGCTCTAATTCCTCATCAAATCTACTTAGATATGTTTCTATCAATTGCAATGTCTGTTCTTTATTTAAAACAGCGCATTCTTCGGGTAATCTCTCTTTAAACCACATAATTTTTTCACCAATAAGGTTTTGTTTAATGTGCGTTCCTATTTTACTCTGATCCCTTTTTTCACATCTCTTCATTTTCTTTGATAGCGACATAGTTTTTCTGCTGTTGGGATGTTTTAATTTCTCCATATTTTTCTTTAAATTGGGCATTTTAATAATAATAAATATTCTAAATTTATTTAATAAAATATAATTCAATCACGTGTTTTTGTTTATGCTTTTGACATTTATTTGACAAATGACTACCAACATTTGTGTTACCTACATACTTAATATATTAGATGTTGCCATTACCGACTCCAAACTCTATATGTATATTCTTTGTTTTGTAAATGGGCACAATCAAATTTAATGACGTGTTGTATTAATTGTCACTTGAAGGACAGAAATGGAACTAGCTTCTTAATCTTAATTGCAATTAGAAAAAAATATATATCAATTTGTTATCTATATTTTATTTTAAAAAAACCGTCTACGGAATAATTTACAAAAAAATTATTACTCTATCAACCGAATGGAGAATTGTCACTTGACGATAACTGTCACAGATCAAATGTCATTGTCACTGATATTTAGATTAGGTTATATTTTTTATTTTCCATTGTTTTTTGATATTCTAATCTGAATATTCCTATTTAATTATTATAAACACTCACCTGAGTGCACAAGGTCTCTTGTTGTATACAATTACAATGTTTAAACGCCCCTGCCCCGGTGAAGATGAGGACGATATTCTTAAAATGCAAGAAGAGTTTCTTCGGGAGAAAAATAAAAACCAAAATTTGCAACCAGCAGCTCAAGTTGTTAACCTTCGCCGGACTGAATTGAAGAGACCCAGCACAAGTGATACAGGAATCCGTAAACAATCTAAGTATGCACAATCCAAAGGCCTTAAAAATTACACTCAAAAACACGAAAGTGGAGGTGCCTTAATTGGTGATATTTTAGAGAAAAATATGAGAGAGTCGGAACGTAATGAACCTGTAGATGAAGACGATAAGGTCTATTTTCCAAAACTCCAACCGTCAATACTGGGAGATATTGTGGAGAAGAATGTTGGTGAATGTATAGATTATGATTTTAAACTGATGCCAGCTCAAGGTTTCCCAGTTGTTACAAAACGAATTAGTAATGTAAATGATGAAAGTAACACCAATTTATTTCCTAATACTATAGAGGTAAGTTCATGTCAAAATATGGATATTGATGAATCATCAAGCTTTAGTTTGACAACTAACCAGTCAACAAATTTAATAAAGAATTTTCCAACAAAGAGTTACATTTTATCTTCTGCTGATGCTGATGATATACATAATGAAAATATAAAAACTCTTACAAATTTATCTGAAAAGGAAATTTTGGATGAACAACAAAAGTTGCTATCTAGTTTAGACCCTAAATTAATTCAGTTTTTAAAGTCGAAACGAGAACATGCTCTGAATAATCAATATGATAATAAACAAGTTACTCATACTCCACTTGTCAAAAACACAATTGGTGATGAAAAAATGGATACAAATGAATCATCTAATGATTTGACTATAGACCAGACCGATTCACTTTGGGAAAATGATATCCTGTCACATCCTGATGTCAATAAGTGGTTACATTTTGATTCTCTTGAGAAAGACAAATTAGAATGGATAAAAGGCATTAATGAAAGTAAAAAAGTAAAACCTGATGAGCCTTATGAAGCTAGATTTGATTTTAAGGGTTATTTGTTACCATATATAATGGAGTATACAGAAAAAACAAAAACACTTTTTCACCATGGAGAAGAACCACACCGACCTGGATATTCCTTATTGGAGCTTTTTGAACTATCTCGATCGACTGTGACACAACAACGAGTGATGGCTTTAAACACAATTGCAGGAATACTTGAATATTACATGGCTGGCACATACAAAGATATCATAGACATACCATTGAGTAAAATATTTTTTATCATAAGGTTTTCTATTGATGAAAATAAAACTATAATTCTGGAACCTGCCTTGAAAGCTATGAGGAATCTGCTTTATAACAGAATTGATGAGGCAAGCCTTGATGCATTATTAGGTTTTAAGGAAGGTACCTGTCAACCTTGTTTAGAGAATGATAAATCAGAAATTGAAGAATTGGAATCAAAAGAGTCTGAGCTCAATGATTTTCATTTAGCTGAAATAGATATTATTGCTGCTGCCGTGAGAAGTGATATAATTCAAAGATTATTTTATATATTAGATACAGTTAGGCCTAGCTTTAACTGTGTTCAATACTGCTTACAAATACTTATAAGATTGATTAGAGATTCAGATGAAATTGCTATGAAAATTGTACAAACTGATCATCTAATGAGAACAGTAATCCAGAATTTTATTCCAGTGTCAAGTCTCAGTTTTGCATTTTCACCACATATTGCTTATAATGGAAAACCAATTTTGGTTGGGCTAAAATTTCTAAGAATTCTCTCATTACAATCTAGAGATATAGGTGAAATATTAGTAAATAAATATGCAATATTTAAACCACTTTCTGTATATATAAGTTCAGGAGTTGATGGTACTTATGGATTACGTGTTCAAATAGAGGCAATCTGTATAATATCAAATTTGTTACAGTTTAATCTTGTAAATGAAGAGGCCATGTCTTTATCACCTGTAATTGTTACTTTATTGTATAAACATGTAAAAGGGACAGACATATTTGTTAAATCTTCAGTGGTGTCAGCAACACATGCGGCAATTGTGCTTCAGTTTGTAAATAAACTTTTAAATTGCAACACCATCAATTTAAAAACATTCAAAGAACAAGTATATCCATTGCTCAAAGAGGGTGTCCAAAAATGGATTGCACAGCTGTCATATTCTGATTGCTACACTTGTGGACATCTACGTCTTCTTTGTTCAGTTCTAGATTGCTGCTTAACTATATTAATATATGAAAGAGTACCATTAAAATTTCTTTGTGACTCCTTAAAAAAATTGGTCTCATCAAGGGGATTTAAGGAGATAGTAAAAAATGTTGTCGCATGTTCAAATTTATTATCTGGCATAGACAACAAAGATTTGCATTTAATCAAGAATTTGAAATCCCTTGGAACATCAGTTATTGATTCTGCCCAAAAAGTATTGCCTGTGTTAAATGTTGTATCACCAATACCTTTCTTAGTGGCACTGTTAAATTTATTACGTGTAATGGAAGATAAAGAACTTTCTATGAGTATAGTTCAACAATTTTCTATTTATTTAAAAGAAATTGAGAAAAAAACTCCAAGTCTGTGTGATAACTGGTTTAGTAGATTTGAAATAGATTTACTTTTTAGTCTTATAAAAATAGCAGTTCTTAATGATACCAATCTAAATGAGGACTTGCTTTATGCTGTATCAAATAAACTCTGTTATATTTTGAGAGTAGATAAAAAATATGAACTTGAATTTCTTTTTAATGCTGTTGTGTTCAACAAAAAATGGTTTACAGCCGAAAGGCTTTTTAATCTGATGTCAATATCAAATACAGATAGTTGCACTAAAGTTTTAACAAATATTATGAATATAAAAAGTTGTTACCGAAAAGTAATTAACATAAATCATAGGGCCATTGGACCTAATATCGTATTTCGTAAATGGCAGGAGCCAATACTTCCCAGAGATTGGATTTACCTGCCCATACTGATGTTGTATGCTAAAAGTCAGGATGCTGAGAATAAATCAGAACCTACAGAAGTGCATCCATATAGTAAATCAGTGTCAAAAGAACTTGACCAGAAAGATACAATCGTAAGCAGTAGCTTAGGGTGGATTTTATTAAACGAACTTTGCTATTCGGATCTTTTGAACGATATCGATGTGACCGATCGCTTCTGTCGCATCATGTGCGTCTTCCTTTGTGATAATTCTATATTTTTGGATGCAGGTATAAAAGATTTATTACATAAGTGCACTCAAATACTGTTCAAGAAAAAGCGGAATTCAACTTTGATAAGCCACTTGTTGGCTTGAATAATTTTCAAGATTTCTATACGCAGTTCTTGGAGCAGTTTCAGTCTGTTAGTTATGGAGATCACACATTTGCTGCATGTGTTCTGGTACCCATAGCACAGAGGCATAATGTCAAGTGGCGTAAGCTCCTGTGGTCAGAATATGCTGGTTGCTTGAGGGCTCTAGACTGTCCTGAAGATTTACTATGTTATGAAATGAACGATTACCTATATCCAGATGAGACTGACGAATCTCTCATTAGATCCTATCTCCAAGCATTATCCAGCAATCTATTGCGGCCAGATACCATAGCGTATAGAATAGCTCGCCATCATGTCGAAAGCTTTAAAAAGCGCTCTAAAAATGTAACCAATAGTGATAAATAGTATTTATCAAATAAACCATATTAATTAACCATTTTTTTTCCTCTAATTTATTAGAATTATGATCGAATCCCAGCTTATTTTTTATTACGTCGAAAGGCGACAAACTTGCGTGCATTTTATCTGATGCTAAGTGATAGGCTGCGGCCTATGGACACAAAGAATACTAGGGGAGTCACCTATGCATATTAAACTCCATGATATGCCTATATAATGCTATCAAATTTTACCGAAACAGCGACGGACGCCATCAATAAATAAACCTCAAATATGACCCTTTTCATGGGGTACACTGTTCCCCTTTCTTCCATTTATAAGATGAATAGTATATTTTGTCCATCAAAATAGAACACAAGGGAATGCAAATCCGCGGTGAAGACAGAGTAAATTTTATCCCACATTATGGCATGATACTCTTAACTCCACCTGCGTATCCATAGACGCTGGCAGGGTATTAGTTAGAGATGATAGGTGAGGACGAAAGCAGCTCCGTAAGTACATCGTGACGAATTCCACATGAAATAACAACAGGTTTTCAGTGGAAACCGCATAGAGATTTACCAGATATCGTATATTGCTAGTAATGGGGCTGTTACATCTTGCTGCTAACAATCCTTTTCTTCCCCCATATTGGAATATTAGTACCTCTATGGTGCATTGTCAGGTATGTTGCTCTCCGTAGATAAATGAGTACTTTATTTATCTATTCGATTCTCTGATATTTCTAAATTAGTTAACTCGTGTATTTTGTATTTTGGATTATGTCTCATATGAGTTCGTTATATGTATTTTCCTTTTCAACCGACTTAAAAAAAAGAAGGTTCCCAATTCGGTTGTGTTTCTTTTATTTTTTCATGATTGTTACCTCATAACCATCAGTAACAATCATGGTTTTTTGTCAAAAATGGTAAACCGATTTGAGTTTTCTTTTATCTGAAAGGATATACTTATGGATTAGTCCCATGTAAATTTTATCAAAATCGGCTTACTAGTTTTTAAAATAACTGGTTGCGCTACAATTGTAGTAATTTTTTTAGCAGGTTAATTATAAAGGATATAGGTACTTATAGATTAGTCTCATAAATTTTATCAAAATCGGTCCAGTAGTTTTTAAATCAACATATCTGGTGGCATTACAACTGAAGTCGGTTTTCTAACAATTTCATTATTATAATTTAATAGTAAATAAATAATTGTCTTCGCTAAATTTTTAATGTACCTACTTGGCTATCTCGAATTTATTGTTCACTACAACGGAAAATCGATAAATCGTCATAGTCGTAGAATAGTGACGGATCTTTATATGTAATCTTTGTCAGATCCGTCAGTATTCTACGACTATGAAGAAATGATGATCTCGTCAGAGATTATAGTCGTGATTATATTTTTTATAATATATCCATATATTTATCAATCGAAAAATAATGAATCCAGGTTAATTACGCTAACTCCAGATAAATACTACATGTACATATAAGTAGCTCAGGCATCGCTACATACATTATTATATTATTATTCCAATAATGATGTTACATAAATAAATTACTGCCGGTCTTATTTATTCTTATGGTAATACTTTACGTGTATGTCGAATGCGTCTCAGCGCATCGTTTCTGAACTAAAAAAAATCAATAATCCGTAACGCGCAGCAGTGTTTCACTATTTTTGCGATTGTGTATTATTTTTGTGTGCAATGTGTGTTATCAAGATATAATAGTAAGAAAAAGTGTAAACATTTATTTAGAGACAAGGATGAAGGTGAGGTGGACAGAATGCCACACGTTAAACTGAAAAAAAGAGTTCATAATGCACCTGTGAAATTGGATTTTGATTACATACGAGAAAAACTACTCCAATATACCGAGATACCGTTCGAAAATAGAACGCGAAAAAGTACACGGAAACAAAAGCCAAAAACGAAACACACTCAAAATAATCAAGAACTCAAGAATAAAAAGAATCTTGCTCGTTCTAATCTACGAGTGATTCAGCATGCCACATATAAAACGTCAAACAATGAGGAGTCTGAAAAGGGCCACGACAAGGTGTACTATCCAAAAATAATTCCATCCATCTTAGGAAAAATTATTGAAAAAAAATATAATGAACCCGTGCATTTAGATGATAAACAAATGCCACCAGAAGGTTTTCCAGTGGCAAGCAGACGGGATGAAACTGAACAATCAGTAAATGATACAGAAAGCTTTGACAAGTTTGATTCGATACCTTTCAATGCGTTGTCTAAAGAGGAGATTTATGAAGAACAGCTGAAACTCGTTTCCAAGCCCAATGATGATTTTACAGTGGCTGAGCAAGAAACAGTTACGGATGAATCAATCCCTCTTATATCAGACCACGATGAGAATAAGTCTGATCCAATCAATTCTCAATCTGATAAAATCAAAATTAATAACGACGAGTCATTTTGGGATAATGATATTTTCACTAATATTGATGTCAATAACTGGATGCATTTTGATACTATTGAAACGGATAAATTGGAATGGATGAAGAATATCGAAGAAAACAAAACTGTACAACCAGACGAACCTTACGTAGCGAGGTTCAATTTTAAAGGTTATTTACTGCCATATACAATGCCTTGTACAGAAGAGACTAGAACTTTATTTCACCATGGTGAGGAATCGCATCGCCCTGGATATTCCCTTTCGGAGCTATTTGTGTTGAGCCAATCGGAGTTTCCACAACAAAAGGCTATGGCGTTAAATACAATTGCCGGAATATTAGATTATTACTCGGTAGGTACATATAAAGATATACTTGATCTTCCTATAAGTCAAATATTCTTTCACCTTCGATTTGCAATAGATGATAACAGACCTTTGATTTTGGAACCAGCGTTAAAAGCTTTGAGAAATCTATTATGTAATAAAGTAGATGAAGCTAGTTTAGATGTATTGCTAGGAACTGTAGAAGGCATGTTACAACCACATTTAGGGTTAAGATATCCACAATCAGTTTTAGAACCAGAACTCAGCAGTTCCGAAAAAAAGATTTTTATATCGCCGAAGTAGATATATTTACTGTCCTTATAAAAAGTGATATAATTAAAAGGTTCTATTATATTTTGGAAACAGTCAGGCCTAGTAGTAACTGTGTTCAGTATTGCTTACAAATCATAACAAGGCTGGCTAGGCAAAATATGTCTCTAGTCGATAAAATCATAGAATCTGAACATCTAATGAAAACAATAATAAAAAATTTCATGCCTACAACCAGTCTTAAGTCTCCGTATAAGACACAACATGTTTATGGCAAACCATTTCTACCAGCCGTGAAATTAATAAGAGTTCTTACTATACAATCAAAAGAAAATAGCGAAATCTTGGTTGAGAAATATGAAATTATAAAGCCAGCTTCAGAATATATTAGCTCAAATGTAAATGATAATTATGGATTACGAGTTCAAATTGAATCGTACAGTATATTGACCAATCTGTTACATGTTGGTGTTGGACTCGGAACTATTACGTCATTAGCCCCTATTATAATCGGATCATTCCATAATCATGTAAAACGCACAGACGTGATAGGCAATTCTTCAGTTTTATTAGCTACACACGCAAGTTGTGTTATTCAGTCGGTAAATAAATTAGTAAATTGTAACACAGTCAATTTTAATAAATTTAAACATCAAGTTGTTCCAATGGTAAAAGAGGGACTAAAGAAATGGATTGCACAATTATTACATGCTGATACGTATACTGCTGCAATGTTACGCCCGATTAGTTCAGCTTTATATTTTTGTAAATGCATTATGCTAACAATGAAGGCCCCGTTGAAATTCCTCGGTATTCCTTTAAAAGAATTATCATCTTGCAAAATATACAAAGAAATAGCAAGTAAACTTGTGCCATGCTCGAATTTATTATCTGGTTTACAACCTAAAGACTTTCACACGGCCAAAAATTTAAAAACTCTTTGTACAACAGTCATAGATTCACCAGATAAAGTATTACCTTTACTACGCAAAGATTCACCGTTTACGTTTTTCTCGGGTATATTTAGCGTATTGTGTTTATTGGAGGAAAACGATTTAGTGAGTGTGGTTGTTGCTAAAATGGCACCTTATTTTAAACGTTTGTATACCTTAAAAGAACCAAGTCTATGTAGCAATTGGACCACAAGAATAGAAATATTTTTCCTTTTTAATTTTGTGATAACTGCATTTTTCAAAGAAACCAAATTAAATCAAGAATGGCTTTTTACCATATCGCATAAACTTTGTTACGTTTTAAGGAAAGATGAGTGGTCTAAGCTTGAATTTCTTTTTAGCTATATAATTTTTAGCAAAAAATTTATGACTCCTGAAAATGTTTTCGATTTTATGTCAATAACAGGAGTAGGAAATCCAAATAAAACTCTGAATTATTTTGCAGAAATTAAATTACGATACAAGGAATCATACAATTTTTATATAAAATTTATTAAATGTAAGGATTTATATTGGGAACAGCCTATTATTCCTAAAGAGTGGTTATACTTGCCAATTTCGAGTTTGTACGAGATGAAACATAGTTTAAATACTGGCGTGGATAAAGTAGAAACAATTGATGAATCTAAAATACCATCCTTTGTCGAATGCAATTTAAGATGGATCTTGTTTATTGAAAAGTGTTATCCACAACTAACGCGTAACGTAGATGTGACAGAGAGGTTTCTGAGACTAATGTCTATTTTCTTACTTGGCAAGTCAATATTTGCGAAATCCGTAATCAGAGATTTGCTGAGAAAATGTATAACTTTAATGTTTAAAAGGACAAATGATTTTAATTTTGAGAAAAAGTTTATGGGTGTTTATAATTTTGAGGATTTTTATAGAGAAATCTTAAAGCAGTTTCAGGCGGCCGGTACGGATGATCCCACATTCGTTGCGTGCGTCATGGTGCCCGTGGCTCAGGTGCATAACGTAAAGTGGCGCAGAATGCTGTGGTCGGAATTTTCCTCTTGCTTAAAGTCTATCAAATGTCCATCAGAATTGTTGCACTATAACGACAATGACTATATGTTCCCCCTGGAAACGGACGAATCTCTCCTTAACATATACACCCGGGCGATTACCACTTTTTCCTTAAAATCTTCCACATTAACGTATACAATAGCTCACCACCATATCAAGTCGTCGTTAAAAAAGACCTCTAAAACAAAAGCTAAAAAGGGAAATACAGCTATTCAGAATGAAAGCACGGACGCACCTTAAAAATAAATTATTATAATTCTATGTAGGCAGGTACTTTTAGTACCAACCTGTAATATTTAACAGAACAAAATTGTCTATCCAATCGGTTGGTGAGGCAATATTGTAATGGCTCTTAAAAATAAGATTCCAGGGTATTGTTACTTATTTTTGATATGACTATATGAGAATTTGCCGCTCAATTAACACTCATATAAACTATTAATAATACTTAGATAGTTTAAATATAAGATTTAGGTAAATCTGTTTTAGAATGACTGGAACTACGTACGCAGGAATCAACCATGTCTTATGGAAATCCTGAGATAACTGGCAACGTATGTTGCGTTCGGAAATCGATTTGTATCACTGTGAGAGTGATTTTGTCTTTATTATCAACTATAATACGAATATATTACTAGTATATAATATTAGATGGATAGGTACTTGAATGTGGTTCATTAAAATTAAATTTAAATAATAACTTTTACGAGTTAAAGATTAGAGATAGTGAAATAAAATGGTCTCAAACATATGTTTACATCAAGGGACCGATTTTGGGCTGATCACGTCTGTGAATGGAAATAGAGTGAGTGTCGGCAGATGAGAACGGAAATTTCAATTTTTTTTTGTTACATAACAATTTAACGATAACTCTTATTAGTAACAGTGAGGCTGTTAATTCCCGTTATTGAAAAATCCTCTATTCCCATAATCGAAATGTAAGCAATGTATAAAAAATGTACAGTAAAGTCACTTACCCTTAATCAGATAGAGGAAGCCGTAAATGATGATTTCGCATCTAAGATCAGATAGAAAGAGGCTGATGATGAAATTAAAATAAATATATAATATCATATATTGGGAGTTGTAATGTAAAATATATACAGAAAGATCTTCAACGCTGTTTAACTTGGTGGTACTAGCATGATGACCCCGCAAAGATCTATTAAGATTTACCAGAGGGAGACTTTGTACAAAAATCGTTTGCTTGGGTACCTCTGTCTTATTCGTGTTTCAACCGTAAAGCAGTTGTTTGCTTTCGTTTTGAAGGGTGGGATATGGCAGTGAATTTACAGGGTACAGAGGAATAACACCTGAGTTCTCAAGAATGACAACGCATGAGGGGTATTATGAGCGAAACAGTATACTCTGTTATGTCCATGGTACTGCTCATGTCTATAGGCGACTGTTACCCCTTTTTCATCAGGTGGGCCGTCAGCTTGTTTGCCATTCTAAGTTGCATAAAAAAAATCTTTTTTGTCGATGAAAGGCCTCTATGTCGATGTACGGCGGACGCCCCATAAATGTAAGCCCCAATATCTAAACATTAGTTATGGCTATACCTAGTTAATATGATAGTTATTTTAACTTAAAACGTTAGGTAGGTAATTTTATAATTTTATTTATTTATTTGCATGCCACGAGCTAAACAATTATTTTTACTTTACAAATATATTTAGGTAGATTAGTATATAAGACGTGACGCCTCGAATTGTGGATTAAAGTCAACTGAGACTATATTTTACCTTCATTTACTTTGCATATCTTACGAAACAGTGCATCTTATTTAAACTTAATCGTGTTATGAAACAAATTGGAAGATTCCATAATAACTATTTGTAGATGTGTCTCTAAAATTAATTAAATTAAGCCAATAAAATACAAACTAATGAAATTAAATTCTTTTTAAATGCAGTTTTTTCAGAGTACAATTTGAATAATTGTATATTTAAATTTAACTTATTTATTTTAGAATCAATTTAATAATTTTAGAATTTTAGAGATAAATTTATAAAATGAGAATTTATGATTGAAGTAAATCGCGTTAACTTTTTAGATATCTTACTGAACTACACTGATTACTTGTTTAGTGTTATTTTGTTTAGTTCTGCTGTCATTGTAGAACTTCTGTTAATAACAATAGTAGTCAATCTTCGAGTGTTGCCAGTCGCACACATATTAATGGTAGCAGAATTAAACAAGATAACTCTAATTAAATAACCAGTTTTAATTTTCGGTATACTGAACAACTTTTATACAACTATATAATCAAATTCACTTCATTGCTTCCTTTTAATTTCTTCCTTTGAATACATAGCTTTTGTATTGTTATTTATAGAGAAAATATGTAAGTAGATAGTTTTATAAATACCTAAGTGAATACTAAATTATATTATACTAATATAGGTTATATACTATAAATTTTAATAATTTTTTTATATCGTGTCCTTAAAACTAGGGTTTCCGATTTTATATAAATTAACGAAACTCGATCTTTCTGACCTCCTTTTTACATTTTTTAGACAGATATTTTTGAGACATAAATTTAAAGATTGACGGATGAACAGCTCAAGATACTGATCCCATTCTATATTTTATCATTCCTTGTTTATATGTATATAGAATGGGAGAAAAAAAGAAAACTTTTGTAAAAAGATGCCATCTGACATTTCTTGATTGGAATCGATTGAAATTATTGATACTATGATATCTTGATGGCCATTGCAGTGTAGTGGCAACACTGATTGTTTCGCGCAATCCAATTTTTGATACTATTTACTAATTTATTATTTTTCTTTAATAAGCTCCGGTCTTGTTGTCTCAGGTTGTGTCTCCAGATATCCCTTGTCTGGTTACTCGTCGTACAGGGTATCTTAGTTTCACTTAAACATTATGAAGTGTTCGTTTTGTCGCAGCGATTGTAGCTTTCGCGTCGATACCAGACTCGATTATTGGTCAAATATAAAGTATAAAAAATCACGATACGTAATTATCTGAATCAGGATAAAATGTTATACTGAAAATAGAGCGTAATTTACTTATATAGGTAATCTGTATCATTTCTTGATGGGAACAATAAAAAGTTTTTCATTTATTTATATCTAACGATCATATGATATTTGTAGTCAAACCATAGACTAACCCACTAAAAACTAAAATCTTCTAATACATTGTTTTGTCACCTTCTTTTAAATTAGATTCTTTTTAATTATTAATTATTTTAAAACAGTTCAGTAGAGCTAAAACAATTTTATAGGACGTATTTATGAATAAGGGGGTTAGTATAACGTCTTTTAAGAGTTAAACCTAAGCCTAATATATTCTTTAAAATTTTATAAAAAAAAATTAGTTTAATATGATACAGTTTTTTATTTTACTTTTCTTAGTACGCAAAGATTTTTTGTTCTTAGATGGTATATATTCCATTTTGCATTTGTCTTACGAAATGGTAACTATTTTTTTTTTTTCAATTATAATTAGAGTTATGTTATAGTGTCACATTTGTATAGGGGTTTTAAATCTTGTTTTTTTTTTTTATTTTTATTCTGCCATAAGCATATTTATTAATGATATATGTATTATGATCATGTCTGGTATGATGTTATTTAGCTTCAGTCGCAGCGTATATGTTGTTTGTTCCTTGTTAGCGCATTAAGAACGATTCTGTAATGTATTTCTCTAAAATTAGAGATACATACATAGAGTCGTTACTGTTTAAAAGTATAATTAGATCGATTTTAAAGTAATTCAATATTTTGTGTGTTAGAATGTGTTCATAATATAAATATATACACGTATCTGATTTTCTTTAATGTGTTCTTATTAAAGATATTGTAAATATATAAGTGTTTCTAAAGTTATTTGAATGTTTGTTACTTAATTACTTTAAATGGCTGAAGGGGTTTCAAATTAAATGGTGTCCTGACTCGTCCTAAATACACAAGAATAGTTTTTATTCTAATGTATGCGGACAAAACCACAGTTAGAATTACATTTCAGAATCGGCTATATTAATTTTAGTCTAAACATTATTATATTTATATCTGTGTACTGTCTGAATATTACGCGTCTTAAAAATGTAAATAATACTTAATATCATTGTTTCAAAGAGGACGTCCATTGATTATGTATTTTTTTTTAATGAGATTGGTAACCTGTTAGTGAAAACGTTTGTATCATTATTGGTGTATATTATTTATTTTTATAATTATATTGATAGATTTTCCACTATCTAACACAAATTTTGCACTGATATTGGTGTAATTTTTTTTATAATTATGTTGATAGAATTTCCTTTGTCTAACACAAATGTTGCACTATTATTGGTGTAAGTGTTCCTTTTTTAAATTATATTGACAAATTTTCTTTATCTAATGTTTATCAAAAAAAAAAGGTAAAGATTTCTTCATTAGAGATCATATCATAGCCGCTCCCCCTATTTAATTAATGGACGCTCCCAAACAAAAACAAGACCTAACCACACGAATTAACAAGGACTTTAAATATACTTATTTACATGTAGTAATGGATACATTTATAGATTGTGGATGAGTGATGTGGCTAGTTTAAATATTAAATAATATAGATACTTAAGTGTATGTGTTCGTTAAATGATTGTAAGTGAATGGTAACTTGTATGGAACAGTGGCATTTATACATTTGTTTGTCAAATGTTAATTTTATTGTTGTACTTGTTTATGTTAGCGATCTACTTCTTGATTACTCTGTTATAGTCGAGATCAGCACATAGACATAAAAAAAAAACTTTTACCTTTTTTTGTAGAATTTTAAAACGGCTCTGAAATTTAGCTGTATGGTTCTCATAGTGTGATTTATTTTTTTAAGCAGATCTATTAAAATATACCTGTCGTTTTTACGAATTGTTGAAAAATATGCCAAATATACTCATTTTAGGTTATAGTAATGAATCTAAAACACCCATACTTATTGTTTATAATATAATATTATTTCAAATATCTAAACTGGTAACACTGTAACAGAACTCGATTTATCGCATTATAATAATAAATAAGTCTATCCGTCCCAATCAAAGTACAAAACAAGGAGTATACATAATCATTTCTGGATATTTATTGTATCTGTCTACATACAATAGACACATAATACTGTACTTACTATTTAGGTTATAGCTATTTTAAGAATGTTAAATGTGAATACAAGTTAATAAATGTCAACAGTTCACTGAATTACTTTTTTTTATTACCAACCTTAGATCACGTATGTAGTGTAGGTATACATATAATAAAACTGTAGAGGTCGAATGTTTGTACATAGAAAAACACACTAAAAACCGAGTTAGAGGGATGTTAGAAGTGAAATAGAAAACATACAGATTTTTTCAAATTGTTTTTTTCCCTGTCTGTTTGTCTATTTGTACGAGCTAATCTCCGAAACTGTTGGATCGATTTAAATTAAATTTTGCATGGTGATATCTTACATCCCCGGTCAACATTTTAGATAATTTTAATCACGGAAAATTAAAGTTTTCGTGGAATAATTTAAAACTGTAGTAACTTATAAAGATTAGATCACAACTTACTTAAAAGTCATTTCAACCTAAAGCAAAGAGTGAGAACGACACGTCATTTGTTAATTTTGATCCAGTACTCCCAATATACAGTGACGCTCATCCTTCACGCTTTGCTTTTCTAAGGACTATGGTATTAACCTTCATACCGAAATTTATCTTATATGGCAAGCTTAAAATGCAAGGCTATAAGATATCATTTGATTTAAATTGGGAAGTTATCTCAAAGGAATTTAAAATATATTGACTACTTAATTGAATAAGATAGATAAGTAATTGTATCTAGATAGTAAAAAAAAAACAAAAATAAACAAAAAAAATACATAAAGTCACAGTACATATACATTAAGATTATTTTATGAACTTACGTCAATTTTGTTTCTATTCATTGTCTATATTGAAAATGTTAGCGAATGAACGCGTCAATAATTTTGGCGGGAAATTAGCCACCAGCCATTACTAAATCAAGATGATAGTTTATTAATAGTGTTGCCAATTCAGCCTTTTTATCCTTATCTAGCCTTTTCATTTAGAACGTAAACAGCCCTAAATCGAGATTTGTCGAAACAAAATGAAAATCTTTTTATTTACAAAAAATTAAATTTAAAAGAGTTATCTTTCAAATCCATTGATAACAATATCAATATCTTCACATATTTTTTTTATTATTTGCTGATTCGTGATATATTTTTTAAAAAGAAAACTTTACCAAAAATATGCACTTTATTTCATAAGTAGGTTCAACGATGTATTGTAACGATGATAAACCAATTTTCGGACTAGGAATAATTTAGCCAACTTTTTTTTCAAATCGGATTAGCTGTAATAAATGACTAGATATTGGCAACACTAACTATTGCAGTTGACACTCCGAACAGGTGTTTATTGTTTTCATCTTTCCTTCCCTTGTTTCTATATTAAATTTCATCACATTGTTAAATATAACAATAAAATCATAATGTTGTTCTGATCTTCTCTTTAGAGGTGACATCCACCAAACCTCAAAATGTTTATAGAAGATATAAAAACAGATTTCTACGATGTTTTACTTGGAAATGTATGTGTCAAACTTACACAGTGTTTACAAATACTATTTAATTTTTTAAATTAAATAAATTAAATTTATTCTACAGAGGGTGTTGTTGTTAGTACATTACGACGTCGACGCGATATGCACGTGTAAAATACTGCAGGAGTTATTTAAATGTGATAATATTTCATACACGTTGGTGCCTGTGGGGGGTATTTCGGAATTAAAGTCGGCATATGAAGAGAATAATGAGGAAATAAAGTACGTGGTGCTGGTGAACTGCGGTGGCACCATCGATTTAGTGGATATCTTGCAGCCTGAAGAACATGTTGTATTTTTTGTCTTAGACTCACACAAACCAACAGATATTTGCAATGTTTACAGTGATGGACAGGTTAGTATTTATTTATGATTATTGTTTTTATTATTAGTATTATTATATTATTATAAATCTACTTCATGATTTTGACCAGTCATGTTAAAAATATGGTCCACAGGCCGCCTTCCGGCCCTCGAGTGCAACATAATTACCTACCACCTTTTATAACTTTGATATGATTTTTAACAACTGTATATTATATACTTATATAATTTAATAAATAAAATGTCATAATAATTCAGTTCATTTTTTTTTTTATTTTCTGGCCTACCTACAAATAAAAATTTTTATATATGGCCCTCTGCGAAATTGAGTTTGACACCTCTGATTTAGACCATCAAAAATGTAAAACAGTAATATCATGAAATTATTATTATAAAATATTAGGTTAAGATATAAATTCAAATAACAGGTTGATCCTGTCCCTCCCCTCCCCTTTATTATTTTTGGTTTGAACTTGATTATTAACAATGACTATGTACTAGTAATTAGTACTACTGTTATTAGGTATGTACCAATTTAAATTAATAATAAAATACTAATTTCAATGAAATTAGTAATAAAATACTAATTTGTACTAAATTAGTAATAAATTCCTATTTTAAATTAAATTACTTTTAGAAAACACAGACACAGAATTATTGATATATACACTGATACAATACATCATCATATCAGTCATTAACTGTCCACTGCTGAACATAGGCCTCCTCTAATTGGGAGATTTGCAAGTAGTTGCCATGCTTGGTAGACAAGTTGGCAACCACAGTTAGGCTTTGGTGATGTTTTAAGAGCGCTGCTATCCATCCTTTGACCTTCGTCACTTCTTACAACAACCATGGGAATGGAAGGGGTGGCATATTCTATGCTAGGATCACAGTAAACAATATATATATGTAACAATTTGTTTTCAGGTGAGGATAGTGTACAAAGACAGTGAAGAGAACATTCCTAATTTTGACGATATATTCAGAGATGATGAAGATGAGGTAATATTTTTATTTTTTAAATAGACCAAAGCATGGTTCACATATGTATTGATTATAAAATTTACAGTTTCTATACAGGTAACCCATTAGCTTTAATATATTTCTTAATTTTTCAGTTTGTGTCTTTTGAATACATTTGTGAACTATTCCATGCTTTTCATTAGATATATTTGTTTAGTTTAGAAATCAGAAAAAGGATATTTCGCATGTGTATACAATAAATTGTTATACTATATGAATTAAATGTGTAATATTTGGCAATTGATGCATTATTAACTTATATTTTTGGCTGTACATATTTTTATTTGATAAAGTACAACTAATCAGCTGACTTGAAAAAGGACATTCTTGATTTGTATGTATATATTTTTTTATGTTACCTTATAATTTCGTCAGTTATAAACCACTTTGGAAAATTCTTTTTCTTATCTGCAAAAATACACCTACAGTGTGGTCCTAAAGAAACTATAGTATTTTTTTATCTATATAAAAATTCAGAATTACAGAATGAATATGTTACATTAGCATTCAGAAAGAAAATATAAACCTATGTGTTATATTAATGCTAAATACATTGAGACTATTCAACTTGTATTAACATCTTGCAAGAAGTAGTTTTTTAATTTACACTTGGTGTTATTAATAGTAATATTATCCCATATATTGGTGGGTAGTTCGTTAATAAGTTGAAAAAAAAAATCTTTACTAAATAACTTAATGTTTTATATCATTCGTGTTTCAACCGTGAAGCAGTTGTGTTTGCATGGCTGTGTTTCGGTTTGAAGGGTAGGATAGGGCGTGAATTTACTGGGTACAGAGGAATAACACCGGAGTCCTCAGGAATGGCAACGTATGGGGGGGGAGGTATCATAGGTGAAACAGTATACTCTATTATGTCCATGGTACTGCTCATGTCTATAGGCAACGGTTACCAGTTTTCATCAGGTGGGCCGTCAGCTTGTTTGCCATCCTAAGTTTTATAAAAAAAATTCCTGTAATCCTTACAATTTTTATTGTAGGAATAAAATCTTTATAAATAGTCTGTCTTTTAACATAGAACGAGGAGCAAGCGAGTGGTATGGAGGCCCTCGAGGCGGTGGTGGAGAGGAAACGGGCGCGGCGCGCGTGGGAGGAGAGGAGGCACACCCTCATGTTCAACTATACACAGTTCTCTTACTATGGGAAACCGGTTGGTATTTTATCTATTCGCGATTTATTTTGAAACCTCTAATGGTTTTGTTAGAATCAAAGCAGAATATAATAATAATAAACTCTTTATTGCGCACAGTAGAGATGTATACAAAGAGTATTTATACAGAATGTACATATACAAAAGGTGGCCTTATCGCTAGAAGCAATCTCTTACAGACAACCTGGCATAAATAGTAGTATATTTACAGAGAGAAAGGTAGATGGCGCTAGTCAGGGTAAATACAAAAAAGTAAACAAATAAAATATGTATTATTCTAAATATCATTAACATAAAAAAAGTAAGTAAATTATATAAACATACATTTATAATATATTTAATAGATAGATAGATAGATACTCTTTATTGTTACCTCCATAAGATTACAATAGTTAACTTATTATAGATACAAACAGTTACAAGAAAATATTACACTGAGAAAACAATGGACGGCGTTATCGATAAGAGTGATCTCTTCCAAGCAACCTTTGGATGGAGAGGAGTAATTATAAATAGTACATATGTAAACATAAATATATTAAATAGGTCAAAGTAAATAACAAGTAGTAAAACATCAATACAAATTAGAGAGATAGGTAATGAGATTTTACCTGCCTCTTGAATGAGGCAAGAGATTTTGCTAATCTAGAGTTCCAAAGGCGAATAGTTTGTATAGTGAAATAGGAATACACTTTGGAAGAGTGAACAGAAGTTACTAAACGAAGAGATCTCTGCTGCATCGTAATGCTGATCGCTGTGCAATGTATGGTCGAATGAAAATCGACATGAAACTCAAGACATATCTTGAAGTAATCAGGAGTTGAGGGGGGAAAGGCATTGTTAGTAATGGAGACTAAGAATCCCATTGCTAGGAATATAGCCAACTAGGTCGACCTCCTCGCGGTTCCCCTTGGAAACTATCATAGTTAATTCCTGATGAATTCATCATGATGGGCTAACTGGCCAGTTTTCATTCTCATCTATCACCCTTCACTGGTGCTCCGCCAGCGTATCCCGTTAGCGCAGGCGGGATTACCATACCATTTTCACCCATCAAAAAAAAATCAGGAGTTGAAGGATGGTAAAGAAACTTAACGGTATAGGGATGGGCAGCAACATCCATCGCTAAAATCCTAACTGCGGTTGCCAAACTGCCTGCCAACGTGACAACTGCTGGCGAAACTCCCCTTCTGGGAAAGGCTTATGTTCAGCAGTGGACAGTTAACGGATGATGTGATGATGATGATGAAAATTAATGATGATTGGCTATTGGATAACAAACAAATAATTATAATATTAATAACTGGAATTATGCAACTAAAGTTGTTTTCAAGGCTATGCATTGATATAAATATATTTTTATAGGTCTGGCATAGGACTTGGATGAGTAAGGAATTAATTTTAATACTATGTTTTACCTTCATAATGTATTTTTTGTTTATTTTGTTGTCTATGGACAATGAAGATGTACTTACTAGATTATAGAATCGAGAGACGCTAATTGCGAAAATCCCGGGGATCTCTAGTACTGAAAAACCAGATAATAGGGCGTTTTCATACTTTTCCGTGGAACTTCACGATATCGTACGATTGTACCGTCACGATACAATAGGTGAGTAAAATGTATTCGATGCATTTGTATGGAGAAGGTTTTAATAGCATTGGGCGCTTTTATTATTTAGCGAGCACGATTTATCGTGAACTTCCACGATGTGGCGTGCAAATGAACGTTTTATATTTTACCGTGGATGTCCACGATATCGTGGAGTGTCGACGCCATTTTTATTATTATTATATATTTATTTAATTTATATATATATTCCTTTGTGTGTTTGGTTAAAATCTTAAATTAGAACCAATTCATTTTAACTGATTTGATTGTAAAATTAACCATTAGTTCTATTGATATTACTACATTATAAAATATTTAATATTGTAATATTTGCATAATGGCCGTCGTCGCAAATAGACATAATTTGTATTATTTTTAACCCTGTGTAAATTAATAAATTGTAAATAACGTGTAAATTATTTTGACAACCATATTATGGTTGTCAAAATGATTTACACGTTTAAAAATGGCCGCAGACTCAAGATGGCGGATTACCGTTATAGGCTTATTAAATTTTTGTCTACCATTAAGTACCAAAAATGGCGAGGACTATTTTTTATAATTTTGTAATATAAAAAATATATTCAATGAAAGACAATATTAAATGGTTTGGCAATAGTGTTCAGCACCATATTTCTTTTCAACCGATTTCAAAACGATAAGATCACTTTTGAAATTTTTATATTCTAATATTTAATCTCTCATTTTTAAATTTTAAACATTAAATTCTAATGAAATCGACTGAAAAAAGACATGGGTATTTAATTTTTTTTTAAAGTTATGGGAATCCTCCTAGAAGATGGATAGGAATCAGCGAGTACAGGTATCTGCACAAGCACAATACAAAAAAATAATAATAACATATATACAAATACATATACTTACATTTATAGGAGAGTTTAGTTCTGCTGCGGCAAGGTTACGGTAGTGCCGTGCACGACCACATTATTATCGTAGCGAATACTTAAAAGCGTCTCTATACAAGTACATACATTTGCTTCTCCTATTGTATCGTGACGGTAAAGTCGTACGATATCGTGAAGTTCCCGATTCTTTACAACAGTGAAAGTCATGAAATGGGAATTAAAAATCAAGAACCGAGATTTTCGGAAATGAGAAATACATTTTATAATTGTTTATCTGTTGAGATAGAAGATATAATGTAATTTGTCCGCTGTGGGCGTGGCGTGTAGAGCGCGATGGTGGCACTGGAGGTGGCGTGGCGTGCGTCCCGCGACGGCGCCGGCGTGCAGTGGGCCGCCGCCGTCGCACTCGCCGCCGCCGCCGCCGCGCACGCGCGCCCGCCCGCCGCCGCGCTGCTGGACGCGCACGCGCTGCACCGCCGCCTCGCACACCGCCAGGTGAGTAGTCAGCACACCGCACTACACACTACACACTACACACTACACACTACACACTACACACTACGCACCGAACAGAGATGTCATGTGCAGTGGGCCGCCGCCGTCGCACTCGCCGCCGCCGCCGCCGCGCGCGCGCGCCCGCCCGCCGCCGCGCTGCTGGACGCGCACGCGCTGCACCGCCGCCTCGCACACCGCCAGGTGAGTAGTCAGCACACCGCACTACACACTACACACTACACACTACACACTACACACTACACACTACGCACCGAACAGAGATGTCATGTGCAGTGGGCCGCCGCCGTCGCACTCGCCGCCGCCGCCGCCGCGCACGCGCGCCCGCCCGCCGCCGCGCTGCTGGACGCGCACGCGCTGCACCGCCGCCTCGCACACCGCCAGGTGAGTAGTCAGCACACCGCACTACACACTACACACTACACACTACACACTACACACTACACACTACGCACCGAACAGAGATGTCATGTGCAGTGGGCCGCCGCCGTCGCACTCGCCGCCGCCGCCGCCGCGCACGCGCGCCCGCCCGCCGCCGCGCTGCTGGACGCGCACGCGCTGCACCGCCGCCTCGCACACCGCCAGGTGAGTAGTCAGCACACCGCACTACACACTACACACTACACACTACACACTACACACTACACACTACACACTACGCACCGAACAGAGATGTCATGTGCAGTGGGCCGCCGCCGTCGCACTCGCCGCCGCCGCCGCCGCGCACGCGCGCCCGCCGGCCGCCGCGCTGCTGGACGCGCACGCGCTGCACCGCCGCCTCGCACACCGCCAGGTGAGTAGTCAGCACACCGCACTACACACTACACACTACACACTACACACTACACACTACACACTACGCACCGAACAGAGATGTCATGTGCAGTGGGCCGCCGCCGTCGCACTCGCCGCCGCCGCCGCCGCGCACGCGCGCCCGCCCGCCGCCGCGCTGCTGGACGCGCACGCGCTGCACCGCCGCCTCGCACACCGCCAGGTGAGTAGTCAGCACACCGCACTACACACTACACACTACACACTACACACTACACACTACACACTACGCACCGAACAGAGATGTCATGTGCAGTGGGCCGCCGCCGTCGCACTCGCCGCCGCCGCCGCCGCGCGCGCGCCCGCCCGCCGCCGCGCTGCTGGACGCGCACGCGCTGCACCGCCGCCTCGCACACACGCCACACTACACACTACACACTACACACTACACACTACGCACCGTGTCATGTGCAGTCGCCCGCCCGCCGCCGCGCTGCTGGACGCGCACGCGCGCACCGCCGCCTCGCACACCGCCACTACACACACCGCACTACACACTACACACTACACACTACACACTACACACTACGCACCGAACAGAGATGTCATGTGCAGTGGGCCGCCGCCGTCGCACTCGCCGCCGCCGCCGCCGCGCACGCGCGCCCGCCCGCCGCCGCGCTGCTGGACGCGCACGCGCTGCACCGCCGCCTCGCACACCGCCAGGTGAGTAGTCAGCACACCGCACTACACACTACACACTACACACTACACACTACACACTACACACTACGCACCGAACAGAGATGTCATGTGCAGTGGGCCGCCGCCGTCGCACTCGCCGCCGCCGCCGCCGCGCACGCGCGCCCGCCCGCCGCCGCGCTGCTGGACGCGCACGCGCTGCACCGCCGCCTCGCACACCGCCAGGTGAGTAGTCAGCACACCGCACTACACACTACACACTACACACTACACACTACACACTACGCACCGAACAGAGATGTCATGTGCAGTGGGCCGCCGCCGTCGCACTCGCCGCCGCCGCAGCCGCGCACGCGCGCCCGCCCGCCGCCGCGCTGCTGGACGCGCACGCGCTGCACCGCCGCCTCGCACACCGCCAGGTGAGTAGTCAGCACACCGCACTACACACTACACACTACACACTACACACTACACACTACACACTACGCACCGAACAGAGATGTCATGTGCAGTGGGCCGCCGCCGTCGCACTCGCCGCCGCCGCCGCCGCGCACGCGCGCCCGCCCGCCGCCGCGCTGCTGGACGCGCACGCGCTGCACCGCCGCCTCGCACACCGCCAGGTGAGTAGTCAGCACACCGCACTACACACACTACACACTACACACTACACACTACACACTACACACTACGCACCGAACAGAGATGTCATGTGCAGTGGGCCGCCGCCGTCGCACTCGCCGCCGCCGCCGCCGCGCACGCGCGCCCGCCCGCCGCCGCGCTGCTGGACGCGCACGCGCTGCACCGCCGCCTCGCACACCGCCAGGTGAGTAGTCAGCACACCGCACTACACACTACACACTACACACTACACACTACACACTACACACCGAACAGAGATGTCATGTGCAGTGGGCCGCCGCCGTCGCACTCGCCGCCGCCGCCGCCGCGCACGCGCGCCCGCCCGCCGCCGCGCTGCTGGACGCGCACGCGCTGCACCGCCGCCTCGCACACCGCCAGGTGAGTAGTCAGCACACCGCACTACACACTACACACTACACACTACACACTACACACTACACACCGAACAGAGATGTCATGTGCAGTGGGCCGCCGCCGTCGCACTCGCCGCCGCCGCCGCCGCGCACGCGCGCCCGCCCGCCGCCGCGCTGCTGGACGCGCACGCGCTGCACCGCCGCCTCGCACACCGCCAGGTGAGTAGTCAGCACACCGCACTACACACTACACACTACACACTACACACTACACACTACACACTACACACTACGAACAGAGATGTCATGTGCAGTGGGCCGCCGCCGTCGCACTCGCCGCCGCCGCCGCCGCACGCGCGCCCGCCCGCCGCCGCGCTGCTGGACGCGCACGCGCTGCACCGCCGCCTCGCACACCGCCAGGTGAGTAGTCAGCACACCGCACTACACACTACACACTACACACTACACACTACACACTACACACTACACACCGACCAGAGATGTCATGTGCAGTGGGCCGCCGCCGTCGCACTCGCCGCCGCCGCCGCCGCGCACGCGCGCCCGCCCGCCGCCGCGCTGCTGGACGCGCACGCGCTGCACCGCCGCCTCGCACACCGCCAGGTGAGTAGTCAGCACACCGCACTACACACTACACACTACACACTACACACTACACACTACACACTACGCACCGAACAGAGATGTCATGTGCAGTGGGCCGCCGCCGTCGCACTCGCCGCCGCCGCCGCCGCGCACTCGTATACCGCTAACGCAGGCAGGGTTACCATTCCGTTATCATCCATTGAAAAAAAAAAACCCTCGCTATGGCATATACACGTGTGATGATACCATTCTCCCGGTGAGGGCGAAGACCCCACCACACAATCCAGTGTCCGGGCGCTCAATTCCAGCACTTCAGCCAGTTCTAAACGATCCTCTGCCACTTCAGGTAGGGATCGAGATACGATGGCCTTGTAATAGAAATTGGACTCTATTTTCCGCGCTTAGCCTCTCATTTGGGCCGTTGTGCGTATGAGTCGTAGCTAGTACAGCAAACCCAGCTCCGCCCACAAGCACAGAAGCTTCCTGGGATGTTTACAGGCCTCACGGAGCGCTCTCACCGTTCCGAGGATTTCTAAACGTTGATGAGCCACAGCTTCACATTCCAGGATTACGTGAGTATACGATGGCCTTAGTCGAGGTTCAAATCGCATAGCGATGCCCTCAAACGATAATTGAGGTCAGCGAAAGGCCGCTTCATAAGTCCTTCCGTGGGTTCAGAGTGTCATCTGCATTTAGACACAAGACACCCCTAGGGGGAGGCTTATGTTCAGCAGTGGATAGTTAAATACTATACTTTTTTATACTAAGAATGGCAAAAAAGCTGACGGCCCACCTGATGGAAAGTGGTAACCGTCGCCTATAGACATGAGCAGTACCATGGACATAACAGAGTATATTGTTTCGCCCATTATACCCCCCATGCGTTGCCATCCCTGAGGACTCAGGTGTTATTCCTCTGTACCCAGTAAATTCACGCCATATCCCACCCTACAAACCGAAACACAGCCATGCAAACACAACTGCTTCACGGTTGAAACACGAATGTGACAGAGGTGTCCAAGCAAATGACTTTTGTACAAAGTATTGTCCCTCAATATAACACTGCATTCGACAAAAACATTATTTCTATTAGATGCAGCGCCGAAGCAGTCATCCGGAATAGATACAATACAATATTTATCGATGTATTTTACAGTCGTGTGGCACTGCTGTCGTACTAGAAAATGATGTGTGGCTGCCGCTGTACCGTAGCTGGTCTCTGGAGGCGGCGCTCCGTCACTCGCCGGACTTCGGCCCTCACCTGAAGCTGCACACCCTCGCCGGAGATAGCCAGGTGCGGCAGCTACTGGCCGATATGGGGTATGTCTTCCTTTTGGTTATCAGGATCCATTTTAAATTTTCTATAAAACGTTAAGTTAGAGTGTTTTAATTCTTGTTTTTGGTGTTTTTTTTTTAGTTCCATCCATTTTAATTTTTTTTTTTCAATTTGTTGAGCACCTATACTAAGTAGTAAAATAGAAAATACTAAGTTGTATACATAATGTATCTTGCATTGAGATGTTACTAAAATAGAAATGTGCATAATAGTTTACGATAAAGTAAGGCGAAGAAGAAAGGTCGATCTCTACGCAGTTGTTTTAGAAACTGTAGGTTTAGTGGTTTTTTTTTTACAACTTAGAATGGCAAACAAGTTACAACTTAGTGTCATTGCTGCTCATTACAAGTAGTTTTTCCCCTGGAGATGAATGTGTGCAAGTGTGTGTGAGGCCAGTTTTTTTTTAAATGGATGATAATGGAATGGTAACCCCACCCGCGCTATTGGTATACACCGGCGGGGCACCAGTGAGGGATGATAGGTGAGGATGAAGCAGGTCAGTTAGCCCATCGTGACGAATTCAACAAGAATTGTTCACGATGGTTTCCAGGGGAAAACACGTGGAGGTCGACCTAATTTGGTATATTGCTAGCAACGGGGGTGTCAAACTTCATTGCTAACAATCCTCTTCCCCCTTGTGTGAGGACGGTTGGCTGGTGTTTTTTCAATGGGTGAAAATGAAATAGTAACTTTGCTATCGATAAATACCGGTGGGGTACCGGTGAGGGTTGCTAGGTGAGTATGGAGATTTTTTTTTAATGGATGAAAATGGATCGGTAACCCCGCCCGCGCTATTTGTATACACCGACGAGACACCAGTGAAAGATGATAGGTGAGAATGAATGCAGGTCAGTTGGCCCACCATGATGAATTCGACAAGAATTAAACATGATGGTTTCTGGGGGGAACCGCGTGGAGGTCAACCTGAGAAATGAAATGAAATGAAATGAAATTTATTTGTTATAAAAGTAGTACATAATAGATGGTATGGTTATTTATGTTATATAGATCTCACTTTTAGTCTTTACAGACATGCAAATACATATTTGAATTAATCTATTATTATTCTTTATATAATTCAATTAAAGTTACATATTATACATTTATTATTATTATAAAAGTATGAAATTATTGTTATAAAACTGTCAATATATTCATGACGAATGTCAAAATTATATCAAGTATGTATTGTCAAAATATTATGTTTTCTAATAATTATAGTTCAACGTCGTTTATATAATCACTTATTGAATAGTAGCATTTGTCAATTAATAAATTAAATAATTGTATTTTAAATTGTGTCGATGGCAATTCCTTTAAAGAGGTCGGAAGTTTGTTGTATATCCGGATAGCCATTGGATAACAACTTCTTTTATATAGGTCCGTTAACATTATAGGCAATATTAGCTTATTTGGATATCTTCCACGATAATTGTCGACATTATTACAATACTTTTCAAATAAATAAGTATGTGTTTTAACAAAGTTACATGTTTCATAAATATATAAACAAGGTAAAGTTAGCAGTTTCAGCTTTTTAAAATATGGTACACAGCTAGTTCTGGGTGTGAGTTTGTTTATAGCACGAATACATTGCTTCTGTGCTATAAATGCTCTTTCCAATTCTGTTGAATTTCCCCATACCAAAATGCCGTATCTAAGATTGGAAGCAACATATCCATGATACGCCAATAAAGCAGTTCTTTCATCAGCTATATTTACAAGGCGCCACAAGACATAGGAAAAACTATTAATTTTACTGTTTAGGTTTTTTATGTGTGGTTTCCATGTACAGTGATTATCCAACATGATTCCTAGAAACTTCACAATGTCACATTCATTAATTAATTGATCTTTGTGTTTAATCATTAAGTCAAATGTTTTGTTAGTTCGTTGATTATGAAATTGAATATATTTAGTTTTGTCTATATTAACTTTTAGATTATTTTCTTCTAGCCAATTAATAACATCAGATACGGTTTTATTAATTTCTTTATTATATACATTCTCAGAGTCATAAATATTTGGTATCGCAATGGCTATATCGTCCTTCATTCACGGTCATTTATGAATAAAATAAATAATAAAAGAGTAATAAAATAAATAAATAAGAGAGGGTGTATTGCCAGTAATGGGGCCACTGGACCCCATTACTAACAATCCCTTTCCCCCCAGTATGGAGATTAGATGGTCCGTCGTGGACAATTAGTAATCCCGATGGTTACCAGGGGACTAGCAACTGTGTAGAGGTTGATGAGTAAGAATGTGTGGGCTGGCGGCGCGTGCCGGACGCAGGTACCCGCTGGCGGCGGCGCGGCAGGCGTTCGGCGCGATGGACGTGGAGCTGCGGCGCGGGCTGGCGGCGGCGCTGGGCGCGGCGGCGGCGCGGCGCCGGCTGCCGGCGGCGGCGCGGCCCGCGCTGCTGTTGCGCCGCGCCGCCGCCGGCAGCCGGCGCCGCGCCGCGCTCGACCTCGCCTACGGGCTCATGGCGCTGCTCGAGCACGTGAGTTGCTGCTACTGCCACACACTACCCACTCCGCGTACACGCCCGCTCACGCCGACTACACCACCGAATCGACGCCTACAAATTAATCTCGTCTTAAACTGTCTTAGAGGATAGAAACAGATACACTGGGCTAAAAAAAAAGCCCATACTCTTTGAAGCCGTTTGTTACAAATGTTAATCATTGTTGTTTAACGACGAAGTAAAATCCCATTATAAATACAATTAATTGAAGAAATTCAAAATACAAAAAACAGCAAATCACATGACAGAACAGTGTAAAACTCCCATTTCGTAATTATTCCCTTTAATACCAAAAATCCTGGTTCTTGATTTTTACTATTACAAAAATCTAAAAAAATCCGAAATTTTGTTCTATTACATTACAAATTACAGTGAATATAAGATATTATAACTTATTTTAGCTAACTTTAAGTTACTGACATAAAGAAATCGGTTTCTTTTACTTGCATCATCTTGGTACAGTGTACCTTGCGAGTACTTCACAATATTATTTATAAAAATAGAAAATGCATAGTTTTTTAATTACCAATGTAAAAAGAATAAAAGCTTCAGACCATATTTTTTCATAATGTCTTCACATTTTCTACATTATACCCATCTATTTGTAATTGGTCTGGGCTGTCCCGATAGCGTTTTTGGACATTTGATTCATATTTTTTTAAGCCAAAACAAAATGCATTTTTTTTGCTGTTGCCAGAAATAGGATTAAAATGTCTTATCATCAGTGTCGCATACAACATACCAGAGGGAGACTTTGTACAAAAGTCGTTTGTTGTGTATCTCTGTCCCATTCGTGTTTCTACCGTGAAGCAGTTGTGTTTGCATGGTGTGTTTCGGTTTGAAGGGTGGGATATGGCGTGAATTTACAGGGTACGGAGGAATAACATCTGAGTCCTCGGGAATGGCAACATATGGGTATCATGGGCGAAACAGTATACTCTGTTATGTCCATGATATACTGCTCATGTCTATAGGCGACGGTGACTTTCCATCAGGTGGGCCGTCAGCTTGTTTGCCATTCTAAGTTGTATAAAAAAAATACCGGCTCGTACTCAGGGAGGCATACTTTTGCGTATCCCAAGTATTGGAACCGGGATAGATAGCGGTTCAGTAGAACCACAAATACGTGTTTTCTGGAGAACAATGTGACATTTATTCTTTCTTCCACGCACAACCACTCTTTGGAATCAACTTCCAGCAGCAGTATTTCCGAACTGATACGACATCGTAACCTTCAAGAAAAGAGCATATTCCCTTTTAAAAGGCCGGTAGCACACCTGCAACGCCGTTGGTGTTGTGGGTGATCATGGGCGGCGGTAGTCACTTACCATCAGGTGAGCCGCATGCTCGTTTGCCCCCTGTGTCGTAAAAAAAACTTTCTTATATCAAGTTGATTTTATTTGTGGCAATGCGTGTACGACAGGAGTCGCTGCCGCGCGGCGTGGGCTTCCAGAAGGCACTGTGGGCGCTGGACGTGGGTGCTGGCGGCGACGACACGGACGGCTGCGAGGCGGCGCTGCAGGCCGCGCGTGCCGCGCTGCAGGCCGCGGCTGCCGTGGCGCACGCCACGCTGGCCGGCCGCCGCCTGCATCTCGCCGGGCCCTTCAGCTACTTCATCGTGCAGGAGGTACCGTTTTCTCTAACGTGGCAAAATCGTCACTGGTCCTCACTCGTTTCGGAGCAGATAAGGCTACAGGGTCACTATTTCATTTATTGAAAAAGAATGGATCCTTCTGTAGTCCTCTCGGCTAAACCGCCGGTTTGGTTTTATTTATGTATTCCCCGAAGAAATATTATAATCAATTTATTACGCATGATAACCTAACTAATTGGGGGGAATGGGATTGTTAGTAATGGAGACTGAGAATCCCATTGCTAGCAATATACCTAACCAGGTCGACCCCCTCGCGGTTCTCCCTGGAAACTATCATGGTTAATTCCTGATGAATTCATCATGATGTGCTAACTGGCCTGTTTTCATTCTCATCTATCACCCTTCACTGGTGCGCCGCCAGCGTATCCCGTTAGCGCAGGCGGGGTTACCATACCATTTTCACCCATCAAAAAAAAACCTAACTGATTTGGCTTCATCCTTATCTATTACCGATATCTTTCCAGCATTCACCTATAGTATTTGTGAGGTTTTTTTTTTCCATTTTTATTTAATTAAAAAATGAATGGGAAAGGGACATCAAATTCAAAAGACATCCAAAAGAGCCATACTAATGTTAATATTGAATTCGACTTTGACATTTCGAAGTTAACTGACAACGCGTTCCCGGTCACCGCTCTCCGATGATCAAATACCGATCACCGGAGATCGAAGATCTGTTCTTGTCGTTGGAGGAGATACGCCGTCAAAAATTTTACTAAAAACATCCTAAAGTGGGCTAAATTCGGCCTTTTTTTATACAACTTAGAGTGGCAAACAAGCTGACGGTCCACCTGATGGAAAGTGGTAACCGTCGCCTATAGACATGAGCAGTAGCATGGACATAACAGAGTATACTGTTTCGCCCATGATACCCCCCGTGCGTTGCCATTCCCGAGGGCTCGGGTGTTATTCCTCTGTGCCCAGTATATATATGTCGTTGTTGTAAATGGTGTGTGTGCGGTTGCAGGGCAGCGCGGAGGCTGGCTGGGTGCGCGGGCCGCTGTGGCTGGGCGTGGCGGCGCGCTGGGTGGCCCGCGCTGCCTCGCCGCGCGCCCGCACGCGCCCCCTGGTGGCCAGTGCGCCGCTCACGCACGACCATTGCATATTACTCGGCATCCCGCCCAACTTCGAGGAGGAGCCCAGGAAGTTCGTATACTTGTAACTTTTTAAGGCGCAGGAACTGTCCCCAAACTGCTATGTTTGTTTGTGGAAAGCTAAGGAACAATTCTCGAACAGCTATGTTTGTTAAGGGGATCCAATTCAACGGTAGAGAAATAAATATAAGAATGACGAATAATTGTAAATCTATACGCGTAATAAATCTGTAGAGAGGTCAATTCTGTACATGAAATATATTTACAAAATAACTATCAGCGGGTGATTAGTGATCGATACTGATGCCAAAAATGCAATCAGTAAAGTTTTTGTCTGTCTGTCTGTCTGTATGTTCGTTATAGAAACAAAAACTACTCGACGGATTTTAACGAAACTTGGTACAATTATTCTTCTTACTCCTGGACAGGTTATAGTATACTATTATACTATATTATATAGTATACATCACGCTACGATCAGTAGGAGCAGAGCAGTGAAGGAATATGTGTCTGTTACATCAAAACCACTAAACCGTGAGGAAGGACATAGGCTACTTATTTTACGAAAAACGACATCCACATCATCACGAGGTACACAAGCAATCGACTTTTGTACAAAGTCTCCCTGTGGTAGGATCAGCGCGGTTAATGTAATTATGTAAACATTTGTTATTTTTTATTTATTTCCTTTGTAATTGCATTTATATTTATTTTTGTATTTATCGTACCGGCAGCTTGTTCGGCGCGGCGTTCGAACAGGCGGCGAGCCGGTGTGGAGCGTCTGTGAAGCTGGACTACGCCGACACGTCCGTCATCTCGCTGCCCGTCGCACAGCGGGCGCAGTTCCTCGACGCTCTCACCGCGCTGCTAGCCTGACCACGGGCCAGCATCCACCCTCTCAGTACTTCCCGGCGGACACACATATCGTCACCTTTACTGTAAATTTACGAAACTGAAAAAAATACATTTTACAGGGGAACGCTTTAAAACATTAGAATGCAAATAACTTTTGATAGAAGACTATTGTAAAATTTCATGCTAACATTTTAGTTTTAAAATCCTGTTTTTTATTGAATGCGCTTAATTAATTATTATTATATTACAAGTATCAGAAATAAATGCATATTCGTTACTTTGCACCTTCATACGTGAGAGTTCCTAGGTATTGAGTTATATAACAGCAAATCTACGAAAGTGGCAGTTTCGTAAGTTGCCAAAGAAAATCATTTATTTTAATATCTGGCAAACTAACGAAAGTGCCACTTTCGTAAATATACCAAGGTATAAATCACGTCTTTTGGAGAGAATTTCAGTTTAAATAACAACGTTAAAGCAATCATTCATGTAAAATAACTAAATTAGGATTGAAAAATTGATAAAATAATTATTGAAATTTTCAAATTAAAGTGTTTATCATAGAAAATAGTATAAAAATATGCCAAGTAAGTTTACTTTGGGTATATCACAAAAATATGGAGATTCGAGTTACTCGATTTCTTCAACCGTTAGAGATAGAAATTTGAAAATAAGCCACAATAAGTAGTATGACGCAAAATGTAGATTTTTAAAGAAATGTCGAATTTGAAAAAAACTGCAGATTCGTAAATTTGCCATAGAGGTGACGATATGTCCTCTTTCTACATATAACATTGAAGAGTGTCCAACACGCTGACATAATATCTTAATAGTAAGTGATCGCTGACATCTATATTCAGATTACAGACAAATGCACTCAATTATAGTTGATTTTAAACTTTCACGTTTGTTTGCATATATTTAAATACATTATTCGGACTTAGCGAAGTGAAAAATTTAGCAAGTAAAATAAAGAAGTATATATGTAGGTACAATTTGCCTGCAAAATTTTTCCTAGTCCCGATAGTGTATTTAATTAAATATTTACTCAAATATAATATAAATAATATATTTTGATTGTTTGCTTGTTTATCTATTATAAACTCAAAAACTATACTACTGATTTAAAATTATTTCACCTATAGAAAATTAAATTATCAGCCAGTAAATAGGCTATGTTTTATTATAGAAAATTCTTTGTACTCGTGTGAAGCCGGGTCGTGTCGCTAGTTTAATATAAAAAGTGTAAATATGTATGTGAACCATAACACTATGGATGTTACAGTATATACAATGTTATGCATATTGTAGACTCCATACATTGCTATTTCTGAGAATACAGCTATGCAGTAACGTGTTATGTCCATGGCACTGCTCATGTCTATAGGCGACGGTTACCACTTTCCATCAGGTGGGCCGTCAGCTTGTTTGCCATTCTAAGTTGTATAAAAAAAAAGGCAGATGTACACATGCATACTATTTTTCCTTTTACAGTCTCCCTTTAGAAATCCTTTATTAGTGAAAGAAAATCAATGTCATTTTTGATGATATAGAATATGGAAAAGATTTATAAATAGTGACACCAAATTCCAAAAGGGTTTTATAGGGAGTCCAAGACAATGGGGTTGATTCTAAGACAGCATTCCTCTAAATATATCAATTACCAGAGGGAGACTTTGTACAAAAGTCGACTGCTTGGGTACCTCTATTCCATTCGTGTTTCAACCGTGAAGCAGTTGTGTTTGCATGGCTGTGTTTCAGTTTGAAGGGTGGGATATGGCGTGAATTTACTGGTTACAGAGGAATAACACCTGAGTCCTCAGGAATGGCAACGTATGGGGGGTATCGTGGGCGAAACAGTATACTCTGTTATGTCCATGGTACTGCACATGTCTATAGACGTTACCACTTTCCATCAGGTGGGCCGTCAGTTTGTTTGCCATTCTAAGTTGTATAAAAAAAAAATTAAAATTTCAATATGATGTCACAGTAAAATCTTTATTCTAAGAACAAATATAAACTAAATTTTCAATGTATTAGAAGTCAAATTTTTTATAAATCTAGTTTATGATGGTTTATAAATCAGTCATCAGTATCATACCAGCCTTTAACTGTCCACTGCTGAACATAAGTCTCCCCCTTGGGGGGGTTTTGCCAGTAGTTGCCACTTTTGACAGGCGGATTGGCAACCGCAGTTAGGCTTTGGAGATGTTTTTAAAGGGACGCTGTTGCCTGTCCCTCACCCTTCCTTAGTCGCCTCTTACTACCCATGGAAAAGGAAGGAATGGCCTATTTTATGTTTACAAAGGAGTAATTTTATGAAACTATAAAATTAAAATAAGAAATAAGTTTAGAGAAGTGACGTCTCGGAATCGCCCCAGTAACAATGTTATTTATAATATTTTTAAACGTTTATAACGAATCTGTGGCAAGATATAGAAGACAAATCGCATGGTTTTTTTTTTAATTGATAACAAGTATTTAAGTGTAATGGAAAGGAGTGATAATTTTAAAAAAATGAATGCAATTTTACATCTGAAACTATGGTTCACACACCAGTCTAGGCATTTGATATTTACAGTTTATAAATGGCAAGTTGAAATCAAATTTTAATCTAATATATAAAATTCTCGTGTCGCGGTGTTTGTTACCAAACTCCTCCGAAACGGCTTTACCGATTTTCATGAAATTTTGTGCGCATATTCGGTAGGTCTGAGAATCGGCCAACATCTATTTTTTATATCCCTCAATGATAAGGGTAACCCACCCCTAAAATTTTATTTTTTTGACATATATTTTTTTTATTTAAATATGATTTAGCATTGAAAAATCCATACCACTTAAAATTTTCACCCTTTTACGATCAACCCGATGTTTTTTAAACGCGATTTTTATATTCCGCAATAGAGTTGCAAGATGTCAATCGAATATAATAATTCTAATACGATAAATTTTCATGTATAGTTCTAGAAATAATGTATATGGTAAAACAACGTTTGCCGAGTCAGCTAGTTATTATTATAAGCATGTAAGTTGTTGATATAATTGTATGGGTTACAGTATCAGATCAGTTCAATTAAAATGTCAAAATATATAAAATCAACTCTCCACTGTGCTCAATGGATAATAATATAGTAAAGCAATCGACAATAGCAGTAATTAATTAGTTTAATATTTATTTTTAATTAGTTTTATAAAATAAATGAGATTTGAATTCCTTTTACGATTTTTTTATTATTCACTCGTTTTATATATTTTCCTATACTATAAAAGAATTTTAACTTCTTTCCAATACATAGTTATGTGTAGGAAATCCTATTATTAATTCTTGTGTCCACAAATTAACACAGATAACGGATAAGCTTGACATATTTATAAAAGGACTATATCTCTGTAAGCATATTTTTTTTAACAGATGATAATGGAATGACCCCACCCGCGCTATCGGTATACACCGGCGGGGCACCAGTGAGGGATGATAGGTGAAGATGAAGTAGGTCAGTTAGCCCATCGTGACGAATTCCATAAGAATTGTTCACAATGGTTTCCACGTGGAGGTCGACCTAATAAGACATATTGCTAGCAATGGGGCTGTCAAACTCCATTGCTAACAATCCCTTTCCCCCTCTGTAAGCATATTGTTTATAGCTTGATAGAATAATAATAAAAGATTTAAGAATTATAGTGAGTTAAGCTGAGAAAAGAGATTTTTACTTTATGGTTTATATCAACATCTCAACTATTATATGGACACTGTTAAATATAGCCCATCCCCACGGATTGTCATAAGGAACATTCCTGAGCCACCTGCATCCACTGATTCCCTGCAATGCATTTGAGGTTGTCAATTTATCTAGGGAGAAGGGGGGGTCATTCTTCATTGCATTTGCCCATATGGGATTGCTCGATCGATCGAACTTATGTTCCCCCATTGCTTATCGGTTCTTTGAATTTTGTGACCAGCCCATTGTCAACCTTCAGCTTGCTAATCCTTCAGGATATAATGGTTTATATACTTATTTTGGTATATTGATGGTTTAAGTGTTTGGTAAAATAATGAGTATTTTTAGTAACCTTTTTCACTTTTATATATCTGATAGGTAAATCTCTGTGTACCTTTACCAGAGGGAAACTACAAAAGTCGAATGCTTGGGCACTTCTGTCCCATTCGTGTTTCTACCGTGAAGCAGTTGTGTTTGCATGGCCGTGTTTCGGTTTGAAGGGTGGGATATGGCGTGAATTTATAGGGTACAAAGAAATAACACCCGAGTCCTCAGGAATGGCAACGCATGGGGTGTATCATGGGCGAAACAATATACTTTGTTATATCCATGGTACTGCTCATGTCTATAGGCGACGGTTACCACTTTCCATCAGGAGGGCCATCAGCTTGTTTGGCATTCTAAGTTGTATAAAAAAAAAACATGGCACTAGCTTGCACTATCCATTCATTCTCTACCTTTCGTAACAGGAAAGAAATTTAATAAATGAGAGATCATCAACATTTTGAATAAAATACATAAAAAAAAACATTTAAAAAATAACTGGTAGTTTAATGTACAAAAAATATTAATTACAACAGAGAATTATTAATTTAACTGGGTCCTTCATAATTTATTTCTAATAAATCTAGTAATCAAATCCAGTGCCCAGCGCGGCTGGTCATGCGGCACCATGTGGCCTGCATCTCGCACCAAGACTTCAGTGAGGTTACCAGCTTTCTTCACATATCCGGCTATGTCGTCACCTACTCTCCAGATATGTCTTGGAGCTGTTTTGTATTCATTGGCTGCTGAAAAGTTTAAGTTACGAAGGAAGTTCTCCGTTAAGGGGTAAGCCACAATGATATCCAGTTGGCCATTGTAGAACAAGATCTGGTAATGTGACAACAACTCCGATACATAGGATGCGACTGACTTCAGTATATCATATGCTAAATGTATCTGAACTTCCTCGCCAGAATTAAACGGCAACCCACCTACATGGACACTCCTTCTGACTTTATCATTCTGCAACAAGTTTGCAAGCGTAGATGTATCAATATCCTCTTTGGTATATAAGAAATTATAATAATCCTCAAATCCTGTGAATGATTTAAAGTATGAAAAATTGGTAAGAGCTCCATCCATTAACTTGTCCATAAGGAAATCTGCTTGTTGCCAGTTGCCATCTTTAATTTCAGCAACAATTTGAGACTGCAATTTCTCAAAGACCAGCAATTGATTATTGTCAATTAATCCATGTTGATATAAATAATTCCCATAATCTATTTGGTGGACAGGATCACAATATGCATTTCCCATAGCTAGTCCTATTAAATTAATCCTACCCTTTCCACCATTAGAGTTTTGGTGATGGATCTCCATAGCTAATGCTGGCACATACTTTCCTGCATATGATTCACCAGTTATAAAAAACTCATTGTTTTTCAAATTTGGAAACAGAGTAAAGAACTGTTCTAAACTGCTATGTAATCCTTTAGCTACACAGTTTTCATCAGAACAATACCCCTTTTCATTATCAGTGAAGCTGAAACCTGTACCAACAGGGTTGTCGATGAAGATAAGGTGATGATTGAGAGCCCAATGATATTTTCTAAGAGCAAACCCATCTCTCTTTGCAATCAATGGCCCCAATTCTGTAAATAAACCAAATAGAGAGCTACCTCCTGGTCCACCTTGGAGCCAGAGAATTACAGGGGCGGCTGCGTCCTTTGAAAACGGCGGGAAATACCAGAAATATTGGTTGGAATTGTAGGATTCTTCAACCGTAAAGAAGCCGGCATAGCTAACAAAACCAATTTTATCTGTTAAAGTTACGCGCGATAAGTTCTGAGCTTCTGAGATTAGACCCTTCTTTAGGTAAGGTGTGAGTATTAAAGGGTCTCCGGCATTACTCAACGTCGCTTCCAATTTTAAACGAGGATAAACATAGGGAAATATTATACCGAGTACCAATGGGTATACACTGGACAATAGGAATAAAGTTAACGGAACACACTGATTATATACTTTCATATTTTAAACTTTAAATAAACCTGCACTACTGTATTAAGTATAACAAGATAAAGAAATGGCCTTTATTAACTTGTTTACACAGTCGTATATATATCTTAGTGATTGTTTATTTGAACTTTTGACTTTTGAACTGTATTTATTTGACGTTTAAAAAACGAACGAAATGTTTTTTTTTTTTTTTTTTTCTTCTTTTGTGGCGTTCACCCCGATATTAGGGTATTTTGCCAAGAACAAAACGGGGAAACGATAATAGTAATAAAAATACCTAACACAAACGAATTTAGAAAGGATAAGGATTAGGTCTAGGATATTTATAGGATATGAAGGATATACTTGTACATATGAGAATATACTTATAAATATATAGGAAAAGCAATTGATGCAACTATAAATGTATTCATGTAATATAACTAAATCTTAATATTGTTATCATATATATATGAAGATAGTATTTTATAGATAATAGGATCATTGGAAGAAAGTAGAGTAAGAATAGAAGTTGGGAATGGAACACGGATGGATCGGAGATGATTAAAAAGGGAGGTGTGGTCAAATTTAGAACATGAGAAGAATATATGATTCAAGTCCGCCACTTCAGCACCGCAATTACACGACGAACTTTGTACAATACCAAGCTTGTATAAATGAGAAGGTGTGCATACGTGACCTAGACGCATACGAGTTATAATAGTTGTTGCGGTCTTTCCAAGCTTTAATTTACAAAACCATGGTTTGAAAGGAATATCGGGTTGTATAAGACGATAAAATCTTCCTTTTATTGTACTTGTTTTTTCCCAATATTCCTTCCAGGCATACCTTAAATATATTTTTGGGAGACAAGCTAGGTCACTACAGTAATTATGATACGGATACATATCACCACAAGTTACAGCCTCTCTTGCAATAAGGTCAGCTTTGTCATTGCCGCTAATACCACTGTGTCCTGGTAACCAGGCAAAAGAAACGGAATACCCTCTCAACATGCAAAGATAAAGACTTTGTCTTATGTCACAAATAATGGGATAAACTGGTTTTGATTTAAACGGATATTTGGCTAGAGCTTGCAAAGAGCTCATAGAGTCAGTGAAAACTATTGCCTTATGTAATTTCATTAAAAGTATATATTCTACAGCTTTTAAAATACCATAGCATTCCCCGGTAAAAACTGAAGATTCCGGTGGAAGTTTAATTTTTTGAACGATATTAAATTGTGAATGAAACACACCCACACCTACACAACCGCTATTGTCTGGTTTTGATGCATCAGTAAAGATGTAGTGCCATTCATTCCATTCAATGTCAGTTATAAACATAAATTTGGCATTCAATTCTGAATCATTTTTTGATAACCCAAAATCATATTTAATATTAGGAGATAAAACTAAAGATTGATATGAGCATTTATAAATGGGAAAACAGGACGATGTAAAAGTGGGAGATTCTATGGATTTATATTTTTCATAACTTTGTATTAAACATGGAGGTTTTTTATGTTTCCAATAAGATGAAGACGAAATAAAGATATATAGTTGAGATAACTTTTGAATAAGCGGATGATCAGATAATTGTAAACAACGAAAAAAGAAGCGATCAGATAAATATTGCCTTCTTAAAACCAAAGGTGGATCACCGACTTCGAGCTGTAAAGCATTGATTGGACTTGATTTCATTGCTCCAGAGATAATCCTCAAGGCCTTTGATTGAATTAAATCCAATTTCTTAAAAGCAAATGAACTTCCTGGAGCTAACTAAAAAGTTCCATAATCAATGACACTCCTTATAAGACCATTATAAGCAAGTTTTAGTGAAACGGGATGTGCTCCCCACCAAACTCCAGCAAGGCACCTAAGAATGTTGAGGTTACGCTCACATTTCGTGGAAATATAATTACAGTGGGACAGACCTGTTAATTTATTATCTAGCACGATACCTAAAAATTTAATTTCAGTCTTTATAGGAATGTATGAGTTATCATAAAGCACCTTAATTTGTTGCGGTGATCTCATTCTTGAAAACAAAACTACACTACTCTTGGTTACAGAAAGATTAAGACCATTTGCATCTAACCACGTTTTTAACAAATCTAATGAATCAGATAATTTGGCAGAAGCAGATTCTATGGACTTCGCAATAAAATATAATAAGAGATCATCAGCATATTGTAAAATTTTGACGGATTTATCAAGGAATGATTCTAGATCGTATGTGTATATGTTGAATAAAATTGGACTGAGAACAGATCCTTGTGGAAGGCCTTTCCAAACTGTTCTAGATAATTTGGTATCTTCATCTAGATCCATATGTATTGTTCTTTCTGATAAAATATTAATAATGAAATTAGAAAGCATTACCGGTACATTTAAAGCTTGTAATTTAGTTTTTAAAATAGAAATTATTACATTATCATAGGCAGAATTTATATCTAAAAAGGCTGAGAGGATTGACAAATTTTGTGAGAAAGCTATATGAATATCTGAAATAAGAATGCTCACATTATCTAAGGTGCTCTTACCTTTCCTAAAACCAAACTGGTTCGGGGATAGTAAGTTATTACTTTCTAAAAACCATTCTAGACGGTTCTTCACTAAATGTTCAGCTAGCTTTAGTAAGACAGAGGAAAGTGCAACAGGACGGTATGAAGATGGTTCAGAAGGTGGTTTATGAGGCTTTAGAAATGGTATAATAATCTGAGACTTCCATGAAGTAGGTATATTTCCCGAAATAATTATGGAATTAATTATATTTAAAAAGTAAATTAATGTCGCATCGCTAGCATTTTTAAAAAAGGAATACGGTATACCGTCTTCTCCCGGTGCAGAGTCTTTAATACAAGCTAGAACACCTTTAAGTTCTACAAGAGTAAAAGGAGACTCAAGTTCGGATAATTCGTCAGAGACGGATAGAGAAATATTGTAAAGGCATTCCGGCACATAACTAGGAGCAAGGCAATCTAAAAATTTATTCGCTAAAGTTAAATCGAGTGCAGAACGTGATGTATGATCACTAAAGGCAGATCTGAATCTTTTAATATTATTCCAAACGACTGATGAATTAACTTCTGGACAGATAGAAGAACAAAATCTTCTCCAACCTTCCAATTTCTTTTTTTTCAGTAGTTTTCGAGTAGAACGTGAAACTGCGGTGTAAATTTCAAAATTTTCTGATGTCATGTAATTATTATAATTTTTTTCAGCCTTTTTACGATTTTTAATTGCTTCCGTACAATCTTTGTCCCACCAAGGTGGGGAGGGAATTTTCCCTGAAGCACTATTTTTAACAGGAAATAATAAATTAGCAACCTCCTTCATATTAATTATCAAGTCATTACAACATTGATGTTCATTTCCATGATAAACAATAGGTAACTCCGATATTTTATTATCTAAATATTGTTTGTAAATATTCCAGTCTACATTTGATAAATTATATTTAAGTCGAGGACCACTCTTTCGACTTGAGGGAATGGAAATTGGAAAAGAAAGAATGAGGGGAAAGTGATCGCTTCCGAAGGTAGAGGAATGAGGATACCACGACAGTGAAGAAGCTAAATCAGAAGAACATATTGAAATATCAGGAGCACTAAACCCTTCATTCGGTGCAGTTCTACGTGTCGGTACATCTGAGTTAATAATACATAAGTTGTAAGTGTCAATTATCGTCAGGAGTTTTCCACCATAAAAATTAGAAGTAGAACTGCCCCACGATTGGTGCTGAGCATTAAAATCGCCCATTACGAGAAAAGGTTTAGGTAAAATTGAAAATAATTGTTCTAGTTGTGAATATATTTGGCATGTAGGATCAGGAATATATAAAGTAACAAAACAGATACCATTTATAATTATAGCAGCTGCATTAATGCCGCTATATACATGAAGCGAAAAAGAAGAAAAAAGAAGGGAGTTTTTGACCAATATGGCAACACCGCCATATCCGTCAGCTCTATCATCACGGAGACTTGTAAAGCCTGAAATCCTAAAAGGATATCCTGGCTTTAACCAAGTCTCTTGTAGAGCTATTATAAAAGGATTATATTTATTAATCAAATAAAATAAGTCTGATTTCTTATTTGTTATGCTACGACAGTTCCACTGAATTATTTGGACTTTGTAATCCATTGTGAGAAGTTAATAATTGAGAAAATACATTGTACATGGCATCGTTGGACGGTGGTAAAGTTGTTTGTATCATTTTTGATTGCGATAACACTTTAATAAGCATGAGAATAATATCAATGATGGATTGATTATTGTCAATATTATTTGATGATAATGCACAACCATTAGAGGGAGCAGGAATATTATATTCCTTAACTATGGCTTCATGGGCAGAACGATCATATCCTTGTTGTATTTTTTGAGGAGAGCGTGGTTTAAGTGTAACTGTTTTTTTATATGATGATTGTATATGTGGTAATGATGATTTCTCTTTAAGGAAAGAAGATTGAAAATGAGATTTATTGGAAGGAGATGATGATGTTAATACATCTGAATATAGTTTAGAAGTTGGAGGATGAAATTTTGATGCTTCAGCGTAAGAAACACAACTATGGGCCATTGTTTCTTTAATGGCTTTCTGACGTGCATATTCAGGACATTTTTTACTAATTGCTGAATGAGAACCATTACACAAGATACAAGAAACATTTTCCTCATCTACTTCACATTTATCACCTGTATGATTTTGCCTGCATTTATAACACCGAGGATTTGAACGACACTGCATCTTGACATGTCTGAACCTACAGCAGTTATAGCATTGGATAGTAGGGTAAATGTACAAATCTACAGTTAATGATGTGTAAAACATAAATACTCTTTTTGGCAATATTTGTCCATCAAAAGTAATAACAATGGTTTCAGTATTAATAAAACTTGGTTGTCCTTCATTAATTGTCTTTTTCTTTATTCTTCTGGTTTTAAGAATTTTCCCACAACCTATCGGTACTGATATATTTTGGATTACTTCCTCTTCTGTCCAATCTTTAGGAATACCCCTCACAATTCCCATACGGGTTACATGGAAAGAAGGTATAAATGCCTTAAAATTATGTGTTTCTAAGTGACTATTATTTAAAAATGCATTTGCATTTTCAAAATTTGAGAAAGAAAGCGATAAACGGTTTCTTCCTATTCTTTTGAGGATACCATTCACTATATTATTTATCTTATTAGTGTGTAAAAAGCGACCAAATGCAATAGGATGTAATGTAGTGTTATCATTAGGATGTGTTTCATTTTTTTGTACATGAACGACATAAGGTGCTATATCCTCGGCATTGTACAAAGTTCTGCTTAAAGTACTGGGTGGAGAAGCAGGTTTAACAGACTCGGTATTGTTTACAACTGGTATTGATACTTGAGTTTGATTCTCATCTTCAATACATTGACAATCACTATCTTTAATTTTAGATTCAAGACCCTTGGTGTGCCTCCTTCGTTTTTTATTGCAATGTTTGCAAATGCGACGTTCACCACGTACTCGCTTACGTTTAGAACTTGCAACGCTAGAACCATCTGTGTCCATACTAGATTCACCCAATATATCAAAACTATTATTGAATGGAATAGTTATATTTGCAGACACCTGGGGGGTTGTCCCCCCAGGGTCTATAGGTGGATCCATAATGTTAATATAGGTAATTTACTTACCAATATTTACAGCAACAAACACTATTACTACAAAATATACAATTAAATATACAATCTAATACACAATATATAAAAAAGACTAATCCTTATATAAATAAAAATAAAATTAATTTAAAGAAGATCAAAAAACACTCCCGCTTTTTTAAACGTTTCCCGCGCTTTTTTTCGAACGAAATGTTTGTCATTGTCAAATTCGTCCGTTATTAACTTATTAAGTTGGCTGTCGCATCGATTAAGGATCTGTCAATCAATTAATAAATTAATTATATCATTATAAACGATTTAGGGACTACTCACACTTATTCAGCTCTATTCAGGTTTTGCCTATAGAAAACAACGATTTTGTATGGAGATGTATACGAAGCTGAATGGATGCAGCTTTCCGCGTCTATTTTGCTTTTGCGGCAACCCAGCATAAAATGATGATAAATATATATTCATCATGCGAATGCTATAGAGAGCGTTAAGCGCTGTTCCGCCGCATTCCCTGTCGAACGCGGCGAAACAGCTCTTTACAAGGATGTTTCGTGATTCCTTGTCGACAAGTTCCTACCTGTATTGTTTCTGCATTAATTTGATTTATTATTGCGTAATCATTATGTACGTAAAGATTAAAGAGTGCAGGCTTATTTCATAGTAATTATAATTATTTTATTTTTACGAAATGCAGCATATTCAACGCTGTACGCAATATACAAGTATTTCAGCGAAGATAGCACGCTATGACGACTTTTCTCATCCTTACGACGCCGTACGCGGCTGATAGAAGCAAAGCTGTATAAGTGTGACCAAACTCGTTCAGCGAAACGCGAATGGAGTCGAATAAGTGTGAGTAGTCCTTAAGTGACAAGTACGTAGGCGGGGCATCTGTGGAGGATGATAGGTCAGAATGAAAAAACAGGTCATTTAGCCCATTGTGATGTATACTCCTGGAATTCAGTACAATGGTTTTCTGGGGGGACCACGTGGAGGTTGACCTGACAGGGTTTATTGCTAGCAATGGGACTGGTAGTCTGCATTACTAATATTCCCTTCCTATTTTCATAACGGGGTTATTTCACCATAGTTTATTTGGTTTTGTGTACATATTTATACGGATATATTACAGATGTTATATACAGATACATGTTTGAATCCAACCCGCCAAGTGCCTACAGCAGTCTCTCGGATAACAAGGTTCTTCATTGCCTGAGACTTATTCAAGAAGTTTAAACAGAACTCACAACCTTTAGAGTCTGGTAATCGGAGTAGTATACTAAGCACGAAGTTCTCCATAATGAATAAAATTTACTATAAAATTTGTTACTATTTTGAATAACTGGAAATGTGGTAATAATATTGGAACGTACATAAAACAGAATTATTAACATTTAGTTAAACTATAAATCAATAATGTGTCTATGGACAGTTGTAAAAGAAAATATGCAAGATTATTATCAAATATTTGGGTCGCAAATAGCGGGATTCCAGATAGATAAGCTTACTTTAAATAACTGACGACGTACGTACGTTAATAATAAAAATGGTCATCTATTCGTGGTCACGGTTCACTTTTCAGTTATTGATAGTAGTGGAATGTTTTCTATACCTCTATCTGACAGCACAGGTTGCTGCGGATGGTGGAAGGAATTTCGAGGATTCGCTCATCCTTACTCCCTATATAGAGAGGGGGAAAATCTCGGAAGGCAGGCGCCTTGCGCGTGTACCTCTCACTGATAGCCTGAACATAACTAGCTACTCAGGTTTCTTCACAGTTAACAAGACCTATGACAGCAATCAATTCTTTTGGTATTTTCCGGCGATGTCTCAAGATAACAAGGCAGCTCCAGTTGTAGTATGGCTACAAGGTGGTCCCGGTGGATCTTCGCTCTTTGGACTCTTCAACGAAAATGGCCCACTCCGAATGAAGAATTCAAAACTAGAGTTTCGTAAACATAACTGGGCTCTTAACCATCATCTAATTTATATCGACAACCCTGTAGGTACTGGGTACAGCTTTACGAAAGACCCGAAAGGATATTGTACTGATGAAAAACAAATCGGCGAAGAGTTGTACTCAACTGTAATACAATTTTTGCAATTGTTCCCAGAGTTGCAGAAGAATATGTTTTTCGTAACCGGAGAATCATACGCCGGGAAATATGTTCCAGCTCTTGCGTACACTATTCACGAGAAAAATAAGAGGGCCAAAACTAAAATAAATATGCAAGGTTTAGCTATAGGCAATGGTTTTACAGATCCTAAATTTCAAATGGTATACAGTGAATATATCTATCAAATCGGACTCATCGATTGGAACCAGAAAAAGTTATTAAAAAATATAGAGAAAGATATAGTTGAATATATAAAACAAAACAAATGGAATGCCGCTACGGAAAAGTTTGATGAATTCCAAGAGTTTTTCTACAATGCAACTGGATTTCGATCTTTTTACAATTACTTATATACTCACGAGCGTAGTGATGGTGAAGATTATACAGTTCTAATTCAGTCCAATTCTGTACGTCGTCAAATTCATGTGGGTAATCTACCTTTCCATAACCGGACGGAGGTGCGGAACCATTTGAAGGAAGACTTCATGAAGTCAGTTGCTCCATTAGTATCTAAACTGTTGGACCATTACAGAGTTTTACTTTATAGCGGCCAACTAGATGTCATTGTCGCTTATCCATTGACTGTTAATTATTTGAGGCATCTGAACTTTACTGGTAGTGAAGAGTACAAGACGGCGAAGAGATATATATGGAAAGTGAATAATGATATTGCTGGATACGTGAAACAAGCGGGTAAATTGACAGAGATTATGGTCCGAAATGCAGGTCACTTTGTGCCATCTGATCAGCCTGTATGGGCTTTGGATATGATAACTAGATTTACACGAGGAAAGTCTTTACATTGATATTATAAATAGCTGCAATTTTAGTAAAGTAAGGTGGTTTTTTTTGTATAAATAAAGGTCACGTCTATGCATTACATTTTATTTTACAGGTTCTAAATTCGACTTAATATTTTTTAATTGAATGTTTCGCGACAATTGTATATATTCTTTTTCGATTTTAATGATTCTTTTTGTATATCATAATTACTTTACTGTCAATTAGAATAATGGTTCATGATCTTTTTATTTATTTATAAGAAATTGAATATATATATGTAATTTTTTTATGCAACTTGACCCACCTGATGGGAAGTGGTAACCGTCACCTATAGACATGAGCAGTATTATGGGCATAACAGAATATATCGTTTCGCCCATGATACCCCTCATGCGTTGCCATTCCTGAGGACTTGGATATTATTCCTCTGTACCCTCTAAATTCACTGCCATATCCTACCCTTCAAACCGAAACATAGCCATGCAAGCATAACTGCTTCACGGTAGCAACACAAATGGGACAAAGATGCCCAAGCAAACGACATTTGTATATAATAATTTGTGAACATCCGGTTCTCATACAAAACGCTTAACATCTACATCTCTATTTAAAATATTTTATTAGTCTTTGTGTCTCTTTTAATGAGTATAATCTGTGATCTGTGCCGAAGAATTTAAATTTGTACATATTGAGTGATTACCAGTCTATTTAATCTGTGGTGGTTACTTGATCTTTGATTTGAATTGAACATTTTGAGGGGAAAGGCGGGAAACTCGAATAAGAACAAGCGGGTTTTTTAAATTTTTTTTATTAATTTATTAAAACTATCTCTATCAATTCTTATTATTGAATAAAATATTATATTTTCACTAAATTCAGCGACAGTAATATAATAAGCATTCATGGGGAAGCGCAGTTGTAGAAAAAGGAAAAAAAAAGATGACGATTCAGGTGATGTAGACCATGAACCTTGTAATGACAAGGATATATATTCGGAAGATACTTCTACTGACTCAGAATCTGAAATTGATAAGGCCGATAAGTATAAACCTTACTACGTCACAGATTATATTAGAAGATATCCCGAGGAATCCCCTGGGACAGAATTTGTTGTCTTTGTAGAATCCTCAGATAGTCAGAAAACCATTGGATCCAGAGACTTGCTCTCACTCTCCTCCTGTTTAAAACGATTTAATAAAGGGGTAACTTATCTTAGATCTATAAATAAATTCAAAATCGGAGTATACTTTCAAAAGCCAGACTTAGCCAATGCTTTTTTAAATAATAAAACTTTTTTAAATGACTACCATTTTAAGGCCAGTATTCCTGCTTCTTCAACAGAAGTTACAGGCGTTATTAGAAATGTACCTACAAATATATCTAATAAAAAAATATATACTATGATATCGAGTTCTAAGAAAATTATTGCTATTAAAAGAATTTTAAGAAAAAATACCTTGACTCATGGATATGTGTTACAGCCAACTCTAACCGTGACAATTACTTTTGCTGCATCTGTATTACCTGAATATCTGGATATTGGAGGTTGGCGCCACAATGTCACTCCATATATACCACCAGTTAAACAATGCTACCGGTGCTTGAGGTATGGACATTTAGCTAAATTCTGTAAGAATTCTGAGCGTTGCAGCATCTGCAAAGGTGAGCATAATTATAAAACTTGTACAACTGGAATGGAAAACGCTATTTGTGTACACTGCAATGGAAATCACACAAGTGTATCACCGCAATGCCCTGTTAAACAAAAGAAAATTGCTGAAAATAGATCTAAATTCAGACCTGCTTCTTTTGGAGATATACTTAGCACTGAAATATTTCCTAAACTGGGTAACAAACCTAAAAAAAATGTAGACCTAATTTCAATTCTAAATTCTGATAACAAGAGTTTATCACTTTTAATAGAAAGCATAATCAAACTTATTTCACTACATAACACAAAGAACACATCTATTAACACTAAAAGTGTTTTGAATGTGTTATATGATACTTTTGGTAATAGACCTATTTTACAAAATTCAATCGAGACCAATTAACTATCATACAGTGGAACGCTCAGAGCCTACTGAGCAATCGACATATTTTTACACAATTTTTAAACGAACATCATATTCACATTGCTCTCATCTCAGAAACTTGGCTAAAACCACATTACAAATTAAAAATTAAAGATTATTGTATAGAACGAAATGATTGTGGTAATAACCACAATGGAGTAGCGATTATTATACATAATAGTATTAGATATAAAAAACTTCACTCTTTTTTCGACAATTCTTTGCAAACTATAGCTATTAGTATTGAAGTTAATAATTCTTGGTATTCAGTTGCCAGTATTTACTGTCCTACCAATAGTACACCTAGTTTTACTAAAGCCAAATTTAAGTTCTTTTTGGAGTCTCTTCCTAAACCCACTATCATATCTGGAGATTTAAATGCACATCATACTATGTGGGGTTGTACCTCCACTAATACAAGAGGTAAAGACATTCTTGATTGTTTAGATGAATGTAATTTGGTACTATTAAATGATAAGCAAGTTACTACTGTTGGCTCTCATATTTGGAGACCCAATGGCCTTGATTTAACTATGGTATCCCCATCCATATCATTAAAATGCGAGTGGTCGGTTCATGATGATCCGTTAGGAAGTTATCACCTGCCGACTTTTACTAAAATAAACACAAAGAACTCTTCATCAACTCCGTCAGGTGAACAACATGCTCCTATAGATGAAGTTAATAAACTTTTGTTAAATCGTATAAACCTACGTCTCGTTAATTGGGATCTTTATTCTGAAACTGTTAATCGATTACTTTTGGATTTCGAGTATGATGTCAATGAACCCTTAAACAATTACAATAGGTTCTGTAAAATTATTTTGACAGCTGTGGAACGTTCCGTTCCACGTAGGAACTTATCAAATAGCGGTGCAAATACTTCAAAGAGGCACAAACATATTGCAGTACCTTGGTGGAATAACAGGTGCGACAGCTGTCAATGATAGTAAAGCGGCTTACCTTAGGTTTAAACAAAATCCAACTCTCGATAATTACATAAATTTTAAAAGAGTTCAAGCTGTTAAAAAGTTAGTAATTAAGCAAGTAAGACAACAGGGGTGGCAGGAATTTTGTTCCAAATTTAATAGATTAACACCAATTTCCACTGTTTGGCAAAATATGAGAAAACTAAATTCAAAACATCGTCAAAATCATTTTAAAGATATATCATGGGTCAATGATTTTTTACGCAAATATACTCCTGATTTTGTACACTCACCTTTTGATGACAAACAGTTTAATTCTGTTAATTCATGCCCAAAATTTCTCACTGACCCATTCTCAATTGATGAAATATCCAGTGCAGTAAAATCTAGAAAAGATACAGCTAGTGGCCTTGATCGCTTAACATACAATATGTTTCGATTGCTGAATAAAATAAACCTTACTAAACTCTTACAAATTTTTAACGATTTATGGAAGGACTGTATTATCCCACCAGAATGGAAAATGGATTGTTTGATTCCAGTAATTAAACCCGGTAAAGATCCTACAAATTTCGACTCCTATAGACCTATAACATTGACGTCCTGTGCAGGCAAATTATTCGAACAATTAATTAAACAGCGTTTAGAGTTCTTTATTGAAAGTAATAGTATATTACCATCGAATCAATTTGGTTTTCGCCGTGGATATTCAGCGCGCGAAAGTTTAGCGAACTTCTATGTCGACCTTAGTACTGCTTTGAATAACGATGAATATGTTCAATCTGTTTTTTTAGATGTCGTAGGAGCTTTTAACAATGTAAATTTAACAGTTCTATCTTCGATTTTATCCTCATTTCTTCCAATGAAACTTATCGAATGGATTTATAATTTTCTTAGTAATAGAGAAGTGTATGTTAAAGTAAATAGTAAATTAATAGGACCTAGGTTAAGCTCTAAAGGAGTATGTCAAGGTGGTATTCTAAGCCCGCTACTATATATTTTATATATCTATAAACTTAATTCAATTTTAGGAAACAGTGTGAACAACTTGCAATTTGCCGATGATTTATTAATTTATATAAAAGGAAAGAATATTATTGATATGCAATTAGTGTTAAATGAGTCATTAAAAAGACTTGAGAAATATTTTTCTTCTTTCCTCGATATTAGTTTAACCAAAAGTAAAGTAGTTGTTTTTCATCAAGTTCATAAATATGTTCCATTAATGAATATTATATATAATAATCAAACTCTTCCAACAGACTGTAGCGTTAAATTTCTGGGGGTAATTTTTCATCAAAATTTAAAATGGGATCTATACGTTGATTGCTTAGTAGATCGTGCTTTAAGAGCCACTAATATAATAAGATCTGTAATTGGTCGTAACTGGGGAGCTGATCCTAAAATTATCCTTTTACTTTACAAATCTCTTGTTAGAAGTAATTTTGATTACGCTTTCTTTGTTATGCCTCAGAACATAAATTAGTAGAAAACTCGAAAAATTCAAAATATGAATTTAAGACTTATTTTAGGTGCTATGTATACTTCTCCAATTATCTCAATGCAAGTAGAATGTAATTTGCCTCCTATCCTTCTTCGTTTCGAATACCTAAAACTCAAATTTCTCTTCAAAGTTTTTTCAGTTTCCAATAACCCTGAGTGGGTTATTGGAAACTGAAAAAAAGTACTCAAATTATTAAATTGCCCCATTTCTATGTTTTTGAATAAAACTATTGTCAATGATTTGAATTTACGAGATGAATATAACATCTATAGTAGTAAGATACTTCCTTGTTATAATGGCCTTTATGAGAGTAAGTTCTGTAAGATCAAAATTGTTATACGTAAAGACATAAAAGAAAAGCACGATATGTATGAGACTTTATCAGAATTTATTGACTACAGGCAGATATATACAGATGGTTCCAAAAATGCACTTAGCACTTCAGTGGCTTTTTACGATTTGTCAAATAGATTTGGTCACGGTTATAAAATTTCAACTTTGGCTAGTATTTACACAGCAGAAGCAAAAGCTATATTTTTAGCATTAGAATACATAGAAAAACAGGTACTATATTCGAAATGGATTATAATTACAGATAGTATGAGTGTTCTTATGGCATTAAAAAATAACACATTCATTTCATCATCAAACTACTTAATTCAAGAAATTCGTAATAAATATTATCATCTCTGTACTATATATGGAAAAGATATTATCTTCATCTGGACCCCTTCACATATTGGAGTGTTTGGGAATGAACAAGTAGACACTTTGGCTAAAATTATTAATTCAAGTGCTGCTCGTGTTCAAGATTTACCCCTTTGTTACTCAGATTGTAGTATTGGAATACATAAAATCGTTACAACTAAATGGGAGGAGCATTGGACTCAAATATTACAGACTAAAGGCAAATGGTACCGCAAAATTAATTGGCGTATTGGAAAACCGTGGTTCTGCAAAGGAGAGGACACAAACAGAAAATTTTACACCAATATTTGTAGATTACGAATCGGCCACGGACATTTCAACGAACACCTGCACCGAATGGGCATGATCGCTTCCCATCATGCACATGGTGTAACTCAAATACAGCCCAATCTCTACATCACCTTTTTTTTGATTGCTCTGAATTTGTCATTCAAAGACACATTATGTTTGACGAACTTAGGATTATCTTCAAAAAACCCGAAAATATCCCGCACTCAATCCCGCTTCTCTTAAGATTTCCTTCTTGTTTCAAAGCTATTTTCACTTATATTACTACAACATTCAAGGAGCTATAAGAATACTTTTATTGAATTGCAAGACAATGATTTTTTATAATTATTTATTTTTAATTTGATAAATCCACTGGTTTAAGAAAACTCAAGAAAAGATATTTATGAAAATGTACTTACCGGATTTGACAAATGAAATATTGAAGATTATGACAATAATTAAAGCGACATTAGAAAAATAAAATTCCAGACAAATTATCTTTTTGAAGACTAGGCAGCATGGTCTCCGACCTTAGCCTGTTCCAAACGGAACAAACGTACTAAAAAAAAAAAAAAAAATGAACATTTTGAACTTTCTGTGTAAACATTGTGATAAATATTACGATAAACTAAAATAACTTGGGAAATTAGCATGCTCTCATTTATGTTCGATTACCAGTGAACGACACTAGCGTGTATTTACTAAAAGTGGTTATAATGAATTACCTCTTTTTATTTATAACTATTGTACAATTTTTTATGTCAGTCCGGTGTTTATTTCACCGGTATCCAGAAATTGATTTGGGTGAGCGCGATGGGGACGATGCAGGTGATCCGCTGTTCCTTACACAGTACATAGAGAGCGGGAATATAACGGAGGGAAGGCGGTTAGCGCGGGTTCCATTCACTGAGAGTTTGAATATTAAAAGTTACGCCGGCTACTTCACAGTCAACAAAACGTATGACTCCAATCAGTTTTTCTGGTATTTTCCGGCTATGGTATCTGACAATAAGTACGCTCCCGTGGTGGTGTGGTTGCAGGGCGGCCCGGGAGCTACTTCCCTCTATGGGCTTTTTACAGAAAATGGACCCATTAAAGTTTTAAATGAGAAATTTGTACGCCGCAAATACAACTGGGCGCTGAATCACCATATCATTTATATAGATAACCCTGTAGGTACTGGTTTTAGTTTTACCAATGATGTCAAAGGATACTGCACTGATCAAGTACAGGTGGGTGAGCAACTATACTCCACTGTGATACAATTCTTGCAATTGTTCCCTGAACTGCAAAATAATAAGTTTTTCGTCACCGGAGAGTCGTATGCGGGGAAGTATGTTCCAGCCCTGGCCTACACCATCCACAAGAAAAACCCTGATGCAAAGTTAAAGGTAAACTTGAAGGGCATTGCGATTGGGAATGGTCTAAGTGATCCCGAACACCAGATGGTGTACAGCAAGTATTTGTACCAAATTGGTCTGATTGATTGGAATCAAGAGAAAGTATTCTCCGAATATGAGGCGCAAACAGTGAAGTACATACAGCAGGGACAATGGGAGGAAGCATTCAACACATTTGATGACCTCCTCAATGGTGATTTAATTAATGGGAGCAGTATATTTCACTCTATGACAGGCTTTAATTTTTACTTCAATTATCTCCATACGAAAGATTACTCTGATGAAGGGTTCGGTAAAATGATTCAGAAGAGCTCTGTACGTAAACAGATCCATGTGGGAAACAAGCCATTTAATAATGGCACTGAAGTCGAAAAGCATTTGAAGCAAGACGTCATGAAGTCCGTTGCACCTTGGGTATCAGAGTTGCTGGACAACTACTATGTAGTGATCTACAATGGACAATTAGATATTATTGTTGCATATCCATTGACTGTGAATTACTTGAGGAATCTGAACTTCACAGGGTCTGAAGAGTATAAGACAGCGAAGAGGTATATATGGGAAGTGGATGGTGAGGTAGCAGGATATGTGAAGCAGGCTGGTAAACTTGTTGAGATACTGGTGAGGAACGCCGGTCACATGGTGCCAGGAGATCAGCCAAAGTGGGCACTCGACTTGATTACTCGGTTTACACATGAGAAAACCTACACTGAACATAATCAAAGAATTAGATTTTAAGTTTAATGATTGTTTCTAAGTATGGATAGAATCTTTGTACTTTTGTATAATTTTTTTTATTAATTAGCTGATTTATTGTTTGTTATTTGCTTAAGTCTAAACTCATAAAAATTTGGCCTTCACTTCCTTAGTATCTGTCAAAATAATTTGTTTACAAGTTATAGACTGTTTTTTATTATATTTATATTAAAAGTTGCAATTTAGATGGTTTTTTTTTTCAAATTTCACATGCTTTTTCATCAGGATAGTTTATGGGATAGTTCTTGTTTCTGAAACTAATGTATTTTAGATGTAATAAGTATAAAATAAATTTTTAATTTGTAATCAAACTACATTGTTATATTTATATAAAAAATCGTGTTAAACATGACCTTATTTTATTGTTTATTTGAAACTTGATTCTACCTATGACTGCTCTCTGCTAACTCAGGTGTGACATCATTGTTCAGTGCGTACATACCTACTTATTGTTATTACATTTATATGTATGAATATTTTAAACAATATAATTTTTGAAAATAATGATTTCTGAAGTTTCTTTTTACCTAATAATACTGTTATTTCAAATTTTTATGACAATTTCTAGATAGACAATTACTTGATTATGTATATAGTTGAAACTTAAATGTTTTTTCATATATAAAATGCTCTACCTACTCAATTATGACCAAATATTATTGCTTTTGAACTTAATAGCTTCATTCTGTTTCCCATAGCTTTGGCTATGTGAATCATTATAACATATCCTATGTGTTTGTGTATATTTTAAGCCAGGAAATAGCCTATCTATGGATTAAATTTTATTCAAATCTGTTCAGCCATTACTTTGGTAACAAACATGCAAAAGTCAAGCTTTCACATAATATCATAATATACTTAGATCAAATTTAAAAAGGTGTGGGTTTATGAAAGTTAATAAATACAACAAGTTTAGTACAATAGAAATGTCTCTTTAATAACACAATGTTTTGAATCTAATGTCAAAAACCATTATATTAGATGAAAAGGAATAGTCTCGCAGGACTGTCAATTAACAGAAACTTATGTTTACTACACACTCAATACAGTCGAAAATGATGCTTAATTTTATTAACACAGTTGATTAATCGTAAGTATGAAAGGAATGACAAACTAAATTAATATATCTATCGTCCCTCTATGTAAGTAGAAAGTTCTATTTCCTCGGGGAGCTCGGTGATGTTGACATCGAAGCGGTCCTGTACTTCATTCAGGATCTTGGCATCGTTCTCATCAGATACCATGGTGATTGCGAGACCTTTGGTGCCAAAACGCCCTGCTCGGGCCACTCGGTGCAAGTATGTATCAGAATCTTCAGGCATGTCATAGTTGAACACAATGTTCACTCTCTCAATATCCATACCTCGACCAAAGAGATTGGTAGCCACCAAGATTCTTTTCTGGAAGTCCTTGAACTGTTGGTACCGGGAGAGACGTTCATCTTGGGTCATGTTGCGATGGATGCCGATCGCTGGGAAGTTTTGATCGGTGAGCAGCTGTGCTAAAGCTATACAGCGCTGTACTGATTTTACAAAAATAACTACTTGATTAAATTCTAATACATCCAATAGCTCAAACAGCTTCTTATTCTTCTCATTTTCTTTGAGTTTAACATAGTGCTGCTGCAAGCCGTGCAGTGTCAGCTTGGCTTCATCATCTACATACACCTCCATAGGATCCTGCATGAACTTCTTACACACAGGGCGGATTTCTTTACTCAATGTAGCGGAAAACATCATCACCTGTTTACCATGGGGGGTATTCCTGAATATTTCCTGCACATCTCGCCTCATGTCCAGAGATTCGAGCATTTTATCACACTCATCAAGTATGAAGTGTTTCAAATGTTTTAGATTCAGCTTTTTACTGTTCACTAGCGCGAGAATACGGCCAGGGGTGCCTACAACGATGTGGGGACAGGCGGTTTTAAGCACCTCCTCGTCTTTCTGTATGGGCATACCGCCGAAAAATACCGACACCTTCACGCCTGTCATGTATTTGGAGAATCTCTCGTACTCCTTGCTGATTTGGAAAGCGAGTTCCCGCGTGTGGCACATAACTAGGACGTACACATGATCGTCAGTGGGCTCCAATTGTTGCAGAGTCGCCAAAACAAATACTGCTGTTTTACCCATACCGGACTTTGCTTGACAGAGAATGTCCATGCCCAAAACGGCCTGAGGGATACACTCATGTTGCACTTCTGAAGGGTGCTCGAAACCACAGTCGACAATGGCTCGCAATATCTCGGGTTTTAATAGAAAATCTCTAAAGCCGGAGCTGTGAATAGATACATAAGATCCCTTAACCTCTTTCTTCGCTGCAGTTTCTGTGGGCCCTTCAGCGGTCTGCTGATCCGCTTGCTCTTCATCCTCGTAGTCGAGAAGGTCGTCGTTGTCGGCCATAATTTCTTTGTTTTGTATTAAATCAAATAGTAACTCATATACTATGAGAGAGCACGTGAAAATTATTTTGGAATATCAAAACTGCAACAATGGCGTCAAGTCGGCGTCAATAATAGTGTTGCTTTGCTTAGTGTTGTCATGTATATTTCAAACAGATGATTCGATTAATCGATTGGATTTAAAAAAAAAATAATCGATTGAAATTATTACGAATTGATTATTAGTCTCATCAAACTTCTTATAAATCTATTTTGGCTATAGAACTGTTTTGTCTCTTTTTTATGCAAAATTTTCAATTTGAAAGAAAGTGACAAAACACTATAATAGTTAAATTAGTTTGTAACAGGTTTTAATTTTTATGAATAAGGTGAATACTGTATCGAGTAATATATTGAAAATATTTATACTGGTTTTCTTTGGGGTTGCCCGATTAATTTCGCACTCGACATGTATCGTACTCGAGTCTCCCAATTGACACGATTGGCTGGACATTTACCCTATCAAAAAGCTTTATAATTTTTTTTACTAGGTTTTGCCATGTGCCACGAAATGAGTACGATAAAAAAAGTATATTGATTTATTTATTTCAAATAACTTAAGTACATACTATTTTGTTAGTATGTGTACTTAAAAATTATATTTAAAAATACTAATTTCTATTTATTTATAAACATCTTCAGGATATTGTTGGCACTGCCGCGTATTTATGTGAGAACGGAGCTGTCTTTTTTATGTTTTTTGATCATGCTTTCAATTTTTTTTTCCTTTCATTCTTTTACTCCATTCTCTGTTTGGATACCTCTATATACTTCACAAGTACCCTAACTGTCCAAAAAATTTATGAAATTACTTTACACTCATTTTTCTTTTCTCAAATAAATCCATTTCTTCAAACTTTCATGAAACGCAAAATTTACTTAAAATAAAAAAAAAAATCAATCTTGTAACGCTGGCTTCAAACATCTAGGAGGGTCATACTAAAATTCATATATGTATATTATTGCAGAGGTCCTTTTAGCTCTTAGTTACGTCACTGTTAAATTAAAATATCAATTCATCTATTGCGCGCGTAATAATTTGATTTTATTATATAAATCTTACAAATTAATACTTACATTATTTAACAGGAATCAATTAATTTTTATTTGTCATTATTTTACCATAAAAAAATCGAATATAATGTAGGACGGCACTATTTTTAGTTTATGATGTAAAAGGATAGGAACTTATCTATCTTACCATTTTTAGTCTATGGTTTTAGACGAATTAATAACCGGCTAAATCAGTGATTCATAGACATGTTTGTTGGTGTTGTGACTCAGCCATACTTACTATACTTTTCCATTCGATCTATAGACTTTAGTAATAACATACGCATGTATTTATAGTATTTTTAAAATATAGAATGTACCACGGTTCTCTCATAATAGCTAAATGGGTTAAAATATAATCATAGGGAACGTATAATGTATCTACTTATATGCTTGAATGTAACCTTTTTCCATAAAACAGAGCTATTTGCGATGTAATAGCAAAAGATAGAATTAATTTTAAATAGTAAGTTTAGTTCTTAAATCACTTAATAGAGGAAGCACCATCGTTGCTAATCTCTTTCACGTATCTAATACAAAAGAATGGGGGTAGAAGGGATTGTTTGTAATGGGGATTAGAAGCCCCATTGCTAGCAATATACCCTGTTAGGTCGACCTCCTCGTGGTTCCTCCTGGAAACCATCGTGACTGTTAGTTTTTTTTTTTTTTTCTCTCATGAGTGACAAGTTAATAATTTTTTTTTTGATGGGTGAAAATGGTAACCCCGCCTGCGCTAACGGGATACGCTGGCGGAGCACCAGTGAAGGGTGATAGATGAGAATGAAAACAGGCCAGTTAGCCCATCATGATGAATTCATCAGGAATTAACCATGATAGTTTCCAGGGAGAACCGCGAGGAGGGCGATCTGGTTGGGTATATTGCTAGCAATGGGATTCTCAGTCTCCATTACTAACGATCCCTTTCCCCCTGTAAATGATATTAGGTTATACAAAATAATTTCACAACCAGTTTTTTTTTAATTATTTTATTTCCATTTCTATTTGTTTCTTATAACAAAGTCTAAGTATTCTAAGTAATTAAGCATAATAAAGTGTTACACGAATGCAGACAGTAAGACAGAAGTGCATTGTCTGACGTGATAGGTCTACAGTACACCAAGGTAATAAAAAAGTTCACCTTTCTTACATCAAAATAGGATATACTTTACATAACCCGCCGAGTTTTTTATGTTAGAATGGTAAACGTTGTCATATCCTTATAGACATGAGCAGTACCATGGACATAACGAATACTGTTTCGCCCATGATAACACTCAGGTGCTATTCCTCATGCATATCCCATCACAAGCTGCAAACACAACTGCTTCACGGTGGAAACACGAATTTTGGTTCAACTTACGTAATTTGATTGTTCAAATGCACTATTATAATCTAGGTGTCGCTGTAATATATTACGTTTTTAAATTCTGCGTCTTTTTTTTTAAATGTGGATAGTTTGAAAGGTATAACTTGTCGAATTACTTTTATTAAGTTTATTTGGAAAAACTCAACACAAATTACTTCACAACTTTTATGCACTGTACGCAGCGATGAGTTGGTTCTGGTCGTTTTGTTTATATATATATATATATATATATATATATATATATATATATATATATATATATATATATATATATATATATATATATATATAGGATAATATATCAGTATTTGGTTTTTAGTTTTACGACCGGCCGCCTGCCTGATGTCAACCCTCTTTGGGAATATATATATATATATATATATATATATATATATACTATAAACTTCTGTTTTCGTACGCTGTCATTGTTATTAATCGCTGCTAACACTATCACATGTAGTCTACACTTTTAACTTTTATTTTTAGTCGTTTTTTAATGGAATAATATGAGGAAATATTTTTAATATACTTTAACATAGGACAGTATTGTTTACGTGAGAGCAGCGCCCTCTGTCCTTTTGTATATGGTTTGGTATTTGGCTATTTCGAAGGGAGGGATAGAGGACGTTCGTTGGCAACTCGAGCCCACCGGAATGTAATGTATGCTCAGAATACAATATAGAATAGACAACAGACAAGTTTAGAGTATGACGACGAGTAGAGCCGTCCGCAAGTTAAAGGAAAGAGGCAAAAAAGAAGAGTTTTTTCATATTTTCCCTCACATTAGAACCTAAAACAGCCTATTAGTAGAGATCTTTAGATCCTAGATCTTTAGTATTTGGTGGTATATTAAAATCTAACAACTACAGACATTACAAGTGAAACAACTCGTGGAACGTTCTAGAACTAACATTTCTCACTATACGGCTTCAACGGTTTGAAGTCAGCATTGCCGCTTAGGTATGCGTCAACGAAGTTCTGCACTGAATCGGTGGTGATTTCATCCCCGTACTTCATCGTCACCAGTTTTTGTTTGGGGAAATCGATGACCGTCAACAGTGGAACGGCGTCGTCTAAACCGATATGCTCTCTCAGCATATCAGCACAGTCCGCCCCATCGACGCCAATGTAGAACATGGTGTGTTTAAATGACTTCTTCTTAACTCTTGAATGTTTGGAAGTCGAGTAGTCGAAATCCATGGTTTCGTCGTCCGATGAGTTCTGGTAGGGGCAGAAACCAGGGTACTGGATGCTGCACTCCTCGTAGTAGGATTCCGCTGACGGCGTGAGGACCGACTCGGCGAATTCTATTTCGGAGTCTTCGTCATCTGTAAAGAAATGTTCTCATTGAATACTTTTAATCATTAGTACTTACTTGTTATTTTGTTGTCAAAGATTTCTTTTTTATATATAATTTGTCTTTTTGTTTTGTCAAAATAGAAATTGATTTTTTTGTTGGACCCAATCTTTAATCTTTAATCATTAATTTAACAATAATAAAATTTAAAAAAATAATTATTGTATGTTATTTTTTCTGTAATGTTTGTTTGTGTGTAAATTTCCTTATTAATCTCTATTAATAACATATTGTGTCTTGATAATTTCTTCATGGATTCCCGCGATACAGGTTCGCCTAATACGAAGTCCAATGTACTCGAGTTTGTACATTTATTGTGTTTAAATAAATAAATAAAAAATATTTTAACAACAGAGAAACTGTTCGAGTCGTCTGCGAAAAATACGAATGCTAAAAAAAATACGAGATGCTAAAATACCTATAGTAAGTTCCACTCGTATTTTCCCGCCAAACAGTTATTTTTTTTTTTAGTACGTTTGTTCCGTTGTGGAACAGGCTAAGGTCGGAGACCATGCTGCTTAGTCTTCAATATGATAATTTGTCTGGAATCCAAACAGTTATTCTTGTTTTGTCATTTTTTTAAGAGTGAGATTAGGCACGGCAAGGAAGTAACGGAAAAGTAACACGTGAAGGTACAATGACATAACGAACGTAACGTAACCTGTAATTGTTTATAGATATTTCCATCAGATGAACTCGATTTCGGTCGACTAGATCGATTTGTTTTCCATTCCAAGCCTCATAAAAATATCCAATAACATACGAGTACTTGTACTCAAATTGTCTTTTATTTACTTTTTTTTTTATATTATAGATTAAAAATTCTGGCCAGAGATAATGAAAAATATTTTTTTAATATTATTTTTTCAATTTTTATTTTATATTCCTGTTTTGCTTCGTATGTCAGAGGCCTACGCATTTGATCTACAAGCCCTTGGCGCTAGAGGGCGTTATCCTCATGCAATTTGTATTACTAGTGATACAGACGTTAATATTAATGAGGCTTTTAGTGAAAGTACTAAGCTTCTTATCATTCTAAGCTTTATTTCACCTTTCCGTAAAGTCTAAATTCCTGCACTGTGAAGTTACTCGCTTTTAATTATTTCTGACATTGTAGTAAAAGGCAGCTAGGTGAGCAATAACGCTGTTTATTTTATTTATATCAAGATAATCTTTACATTGCCATTAGAATTTGAAAAATCAATACGAGACGCCGGAGCTAGAACATTGTTTACATACATATATCAAAAACTACTATAACCATGTTTTCTTAATGTATTTATTTATTTATTCATTTAGGCACAGCAACAGTATTACAATTCACGTTACATTGACTATAATAAGCTTTATAACTAAGTAATTGTTATAAAATGGTACACCGTTAGTTGCTACGCGCAGCGTTAGCTTATATGCTACTAGTTTCAATATTATATACAATAACTATAGAAAATAAGAACAAATATATATTAAACTTAACACTTCTTTTGCCATTTTAAGAAAAGAATTTAAACTATAAGCATAGATGTCCAATTCATTACAATGGTAAAGAACCACACCTGCGAATATGATGTATACGTCTGGAATTCAGCACGAAAGTGTCCAGGGGGGACCACGTGGAGGTCGACCCGACGGGGTGTATTGCCAGCAATAGGACTGGTAGTCTGCATTACTAACAATCCTTTTCCCCCTAGTCCATGGTCATTAACCACCGGTCGATACAATTATAACAACAAACTCACCAATAAATAACACGACAGCCGGATGCCGCGCCATCTTTAGCAGAGCTTGTTCGGTGAGTACGGACACTGGCCTGTGAGCCCACGGAAAGTTCTGGAAACAGGTATGAAGAATTAAGAGCCATAAAATAACACCAGATGTTACCAGACTTTGTACAAAAGTCGTTTGCTTGGATACCTCTGTCTCATTCGTGTTTCAACCGTGAAGCAGTTGTGTTTGCATGGCTGTGTTTCGGTTTGATGGGTGGGATATGGCGTGAATTTACTGTGTACAGAGGAATAACACCTGAGTCCTCAGGAATGGCAACGCATGGGGGGTATCATGGGGGGTAGCAAACGAAAACTTATCTCTAAAAGAGAATTCTTCCAGGGGGAGTAGTAGTGCAAAACAGAAATTTAAATAAATGTTTACATAAGTTACAAATCATTATATATGTAACGAAAAAGAAGAGAAGATACATAGAATAGAAGACTTACATATCCCAACGGATCTGTCGTCAAGTGCTGCCGACCATTCGACGTTAGCACCTTGCCAGCGCCGTCTGTGATGACGAGAGCGGGTATGCCGGCCACGCTGAGGGCGGCTGGCAACGCTAGCCTGGCTTCCGTCGCGGACCACGGCACGGACAGGGCTCCGACTCCTGACACCGACTGCACTGTCCGGTTGTAGGATTGTTCGCTTCTGTAATATAAAAAAAAAGATTTTTTTTAAAGAAATTGGCTTCGACCTGTCAACATACGAGTACAGCCGAAACTGCTTGGCACACACATTAATAAATCTAGCAACACTGTAAAATGTAACTTTAATCGATGTGGGTCAAAAATTGACATTAATTATGGATTGTGTTTGACGAGAAAAAAAAATAGACTTTACAAATTTTATTACATTAGTAAAGTTCTGCTTAGCAACAAGCAAGACTGCACAAAAGTCGATTGCTTGGGTGCCTCTGTCCCATTCGTGTTTCAACCGTGAAGCAGATGTGTTTGCATGACTGTGTTAATTCACTGAGTACAGAGGAATAACACCTGAGTCCTCAGGAATGGCAACGCATGGGGGTATCATGGGCGAAACAGTATACTCTGTTATGTCCATGGTACTGCTCATGTCTATAGGCGACGGTTACCACTTTCCATCAGGTGGGCCGTCAGCTTGTTTGCCATTCTAAGTTGTATTAAAAAAAATATTTATAATTACATAAAGCGATTTGGCAAAATAATCGCGTATTGCGGCCACACAAAGTGCGAACGTATGAAAAACCTTCTTTTGCTTGAAAATTGTTAAATTTTCCTCCAAGATTACTTTTCTATACTCCGTAAAAACGAAATACAAAATATATTCCATTCGTGTTTATAATTTTCACGAATATGTAATATTGTTGCCGAAACACTTCTCTCGTATGAACTGTGGGTCTGGCGCGGCGCCTTCTGCGGAATTATTCTGCCTTCACCAGAGTACGTACTTACTCGTAACATGCTGAGACGTGCTCGGAACAGCCAGTTATTTACGAGATTTCGTTTAATTTTCGATCTGACAGATAGATACAATTCCTTTGCATTAATATTATAAAAAAAAAATTACAAAACACTACATTAAAAAAAAAAAAACAAAAGATGTCTCCGTAACGAGGGAATCGAATAATAGGTAGTTTTATTTTATAAAAATTCCCGAAATAACATTATCCACCTAATTATACACCACATATATATACGAATAGATAAAATGATTAACAAAAATTTATTTTTTAAATTTTTTATACAATTAGAATGGCAAACAAGCTGGCCCACCTGATGGAAAGTGGTAAACGTCGCCTATACACATGAGCAGTACCATGGACATAACAGAGTATACTGTTTCGCCCATGATACCCCTCATGCGTTGCCATTCCTGAGGACTCAGGTGTTATTCCTCTGTACCCAGTAAATTCACGCCATATCCCACCCTTCAAACCGAAACACAGCCATGCAAACACAACTGCTTCACGGTTGAAACACGAATGGGACAGAGGTGCCCAAGCAATAGACTTTTGTACAAAGTCTCCCTCTGGTAAAACTTCGCATTAATACGAAGGTACTAAAGAAGAAGGCTATAAACTTCATACAACACAGTCATAAAATAAAGTCCTAAAAAGACGTTATAAAGTGGTTTAATAATTTCTATGTAAATGTACAGGGTGTGGCCAAAATTGACAACTTTTTTTTTGTGTTCAGACTGTTTTTTCAAGTTTACTTTCCTGGAAATAATCTTTAATTATGTAATTTTGACATGTTCTGCCACCCTTGAGTGGTACTCGCCACTGTAAATCTTATTATTTTTTTTAATCGATGATAATGGAATGGTAACGGTAACCTGCGCTAACGGTATACGCTAGGGTGGAAAGGGATAGTTAGCAATGGAGTTTGACAGCCCCATTGCTAGCAATATGCCCTATTAGATCGACCTCCACGCGGTTCCCCCTGAAAACCATCGTGAACAATTCGTCACGATGGGCTAACTGACCCGCTTCATCCTCACCTATCATCCTTCACTGGTGTCCCGCCGGTGTATACCGATAGCCCGGGTGAGGTTACCATTCCATTATCACCCATTAAAACGGTATACGCTGGCAGGGTACCAGTGAAGGATGATAGGTGAGAATGAAAAGGCAGATCAATTAGCTCGTTGTGATAAATACACCTGGGATTCAATACGATGGTTTCTAGGGGGGACCACGTGGAGGCCGACTTGCCAGGGTATATTGCTAGCAATGGGACTTTAGTCCGTATTACCGAGAATCCCTTTCCCCCTTGTTCTAACTGGTTCTAACAGTTAAACTGAATAGATTTCCTATAGACACGTTTAAAGGGAAGACTGGTAGGCCGCACCCAGCCCTTTATTCTCGGGGGAAAGGTATTGTTAGTAATGAGATATAAGAGCCCTATTGCTAGCAATACACCCTATTAGGTCGACCTCCACGCGGTTCCCCCTAGAAACCATAGTGGTTAATTCTTGTTCAATTGGACACTATGGGCCAACTGTCTTCATCCTCACCTAACATCCCTCACTGGTGCCTCGCCAGTGTATACCGATAGCGCGGGCGGGGTTGCTATTCCATTTTCACCCATAAAAAAAGGCCTGAATTCTCTGGTGTCCATACCATGATCTGAGCGAAGCTTTATAAAGTTATGTCTGAGAGTGTGTTTATGCTTTTTTTTAAGGTGTCAGCACTCCCCCCTGGAAAATAATTTAAAAAATGTCAATTATTTTTCCCCAAAGGAACATAGGTAAAAAAATATATTTATTTACAGCAAAGCGAAAGATTACAAATCACATAATACATTAATAAAATAAATATTACATGAAACAGCATTAAATTTGCACTCCAACAACTGCTCTGCATATCATTCGATATTATATACATTAAAAGAATGACGGCTACAAATTTAAAGTAACAAATAGGCAGCCTTAATGTAACATTGCAAGGATTGTTGGAAAATATCAAGCTCCTTGTATACATTGTTATACTTTCTGCATATGCGGATAATTGGATTATATATATATATATATATATATATATATATATATTTTTTTTTTTTTTTTAATCTGCAAAAGATGCTTTTTTTAATTATAAAGCACTATGATACCTACTTGTACAACAATTAGTCCATTACCTTAAGGTTGTCTTGAAAAGATTGCTCTCAGCAATAAGACCGCCTTACTGTACTTATACAATTGTATCGTTATGTCTGTAAATTGTCTTGTTTATTTCCTATATTGTATAATGCAAATAAAGTATACTCATTCATTCATTCATTCATATATATATATATATATATATATATATATATATATATATATATATATATATATATATATATATATATATATATATATATATATATATATATACATATATATATATATACGTATAATTATTCACTTCATCCCTGTATAAATGGTGGAACTTATGATTATAATATCGACCATCGTAAATTGTAACAGGGGCGTAGTAATAAGATGAGATTTTTACGAGCCAACTTCCCGGTAATCCCGCGCGGGATCCGGCCGCCCGGGTAAAGTTACCGTCCCGGAATAATCGGGAGTCAGCTTCGGTCTCTAGAAATGGTGACTGCCGTTATCAGATTACTTGGAGTTTGGCCGGGAATTAACTACCTACGTACAATATTCACAACCGCCTTCCATAAGGGGCTATCAACTCTTCGTGAATGTTACGCGTCGTCTTTTTTTAATTTGAATCGATTTTTAACCGACTTCAAAGTGGAGGTTAGCAATTCGGTTTAAATTTTTTTTTATATTCGTTACCTTATAACTCCGTCAGTTCTAAACCGATTTGGAAAATTCTTTTTTTATCTGAAAGCCTATACTTGCAGATTTGTTCAGTAGAAATTTTATAAAAATCGGTACAGTAGTTTAGTTTTTAAATGAAAATTGTGGAAAGAAAGAAATTATTAATAAATTTATTCATAGAATCGTGCAACTCACATAGTAGAATAAATGAAAAAAAACTAAGTATGACAAAATATTTTTGTTTTTTCAACAAAAAACAAAAATAAACAAAAACTAATAAATAATAATAAGTGTAAGTGTGTAGTCGTGCGAGTGTGTGTGTGTGTGTCGCAATGTTCCGTGAAAAAGGTCCGCGCTCAGCATGTTGCTTCAGCGTTTGAGGCGCTACAGTGCTGTTTTTCAGCACAAACACAACCTCAAATTATTTTATGTTTATTACTTCAGAACTCTGGTCGACTTTTTTTTTGGAAAACAATCTTATTACATATAATATTATTCACTAGTGGGCAGGGCAAACGTTTGCCCACTATAGATCACTTACTGGGATAAAAACTATACTATATCTCAAATGGAAATTATTAATACATGGAACTATTAATTATTGAACGAATGAATGAAAACTTTTTGATTGTTCCTTTCACAGAATGATACAAATTATAATGTTTAACAATTATGTACACAAACAAAATAAATACTTAATTATATACCTAAACTTAATTACATAAGAACAAAAAACGAGATAACAATAAGCAGAAATTAACATATGGTACTATTAATGCATGGAACTATTAATGCATAGAACTATTAATGCATGGAACTATTAATGCATGGAACTATTAATGCATGGAACTATTAATGCATGGAACTATTAATGCATGGAACTATTAATGCATGGAACTATTAATGCATGGAACTATTAATGCAAGGAACTATTAATGCATGGAACTATTAATGCATGGAACTATTAATGCATGGAACTATTAACACACAATATTAAATTGTATTAACTATATTGTTATAAACGATAGGTACATAACAGAGTTTTCTGTTGTGACAGCGAAACATTTATACAATTGCGTGGGTAGCTCCGAGTAGGTAGGTACCCACTAACAATATTGGTTCGTAAATCACGCAAGTTTGTTTTATAGGCACAAAGCGTAATGTGAAAAGTTGGTGGGTTGTAATGTGAGGGGGAGGCGACTTCTAGGGATATTCTAATTTGATATGTCGACTTTCAGTCGCCATTTTGGTAATTTGGAAGTTAAAAGGCATGAGATATATATTATGCCAATATATAAATATTTATTTAAACTTAATTGCACCATTTATAAAAAATAATAGATATAGTAAATTTTAATGAGAAGTGATATAAAAGGTAAAGCAATTTCTTCAGATAA